AAAACAACATAATAAATGCACAGCAAATTGTCAAATTTTCAGAAGATCTGTCACGCCTTAGACAAAGCGCCCGCGGTATATAACAACAAATAACAAAGATAATTATCTTCTAGTCTTACAACGTTATCTTTGTTAGGTGGTACCTGGCGGTTGGCTTAAATCTGCAACGTATAAAGATCTAGAACTATATAGTCCTAAGTCTAGCTGTAAGATTAAAGCTTTTTAATTGCGGTATACATTACTGACGTCATAACGTGAGAACATGCAGTAAAACAAAAAGGGCACAGACCGCAAACACTGAAACATTTCAGTTGAAATAACAGAGTCTGTTTGCATATATATAAAAATATAATTAAATATAACACAGGCAACATTTTGATCGGCTATTTCGGGTTAGTAGCTAGTATGGCGAAATTTAGTACAAAGAAAACTGAGTATGAAACTGGCTTTTCAAGATAAAACCCAAAGAGTACTGTTACTTGTGTGTCTGTAGCAATGGCTAATAAGCACCAGGCTTAGGCTTGTTATAATGAACGTCAGGAGATTATGAACAGATTTATTTGGTAGAAGGAAAATATCTAAACTACGTTCGGGTCAAAAATGGGGAAACCGCAAAGAAACGGGAAAAAGCTAAACAGGACATTTTAATTAGATACTAATCTGAACTCTGTCATTGAGCGTAACGGCTAAAGACTAAAAATTAAAGTATACAGATGCACAAATCTAATTTTCGATTCATATTGATCTCTCAAAACAATTATGCAACACCGTTGCTATTTTTAAAACATGTTACGAATTGTATTACGTGATCGATTATTATAGACATGTGAACAAAAATTAGAACAAGAATTCGTTGGATTAGGTAACATTGAATATGTAACTGTATCGTAACGTACAATCGCCTGAAAACCTTTGAGCTAAAAATACGACTAAGTAATGCGTAAAAATGGAAGTTAGTCTAGTATCTAGTAGTCTAGATTAGATTTTAGGATTTGTGAAATACTTGTCTTTAGGAGAATTAGTGTATCACTATTCAAAATAAATTTTGTTTATAAGTTTTATAATAAAAATTAGATAAACAAAATACTCTGACATTGATCTTATAAATGAATATTACGCACTAGTATTGATACACACTAAGTAACAAACAACTAAAGAAATTAGAATTTGTTCTTTTACAAAATTCTGTTTAGGATTTTTATTAATATAACATGAAATATTGGTATATTTACTACTAAGTAAATTTTACTTTTGTGAGAAAATCACGATTTCGTGTAAATTGTGTGTTTGCTTATCAAAAAATGCCAAGTTAGAAAAAATAACCAATAATATTATCGTGTTCTGTCGACTATTCGGAAAGCTACTGACATCGCTAAGAAGTAGGAATCAGCATTAATGGCGCAATGCAGCGATCGTGCATAGAGTTATGCATTTTGTACGTTACTGGAATACGAAATCTATGATTATAGTGTATGGTAAATGGTTGGCGCCGTTTCCTATTCGATTGCAATATGGCGGTATTCGGTAAAACGAGAGGGCCGCGATTTCGTAACGCGGGGCGGATCGAATTAATGGCTGCGCGCGCGCCTTGATTTATAATCCTTTAAATCATATTTTGTGTTTTACGATATTGTATTTAAGTGTACATCGGAATCGGAAGTCTCTTATCTATGTATATATATATATAGGCACGAGATATTCTAGGTAACGAATGCGAATAAGCATAAGACATTGATTCTGTTGGAGAGAGCACTTTGCATTTGTAAATATAATCGATAGTATTCTCAACACGATAAAGAATCTACCCCCATGGCCAACAACGATAGCAAAAAAATGTTAAGTCAAAAATAAAATAAAAAAACTCAGTTTCCCGCGTGGCACATAGCGAACACATTTCTGTGTCCGGTTCATTGTTCCATTCTTTCACAGGCTTTCGAAATAATCTACTGTTTCTGCAGGATTCAAAGTTAGGACCTGTAGCACTTGACCGCGTCTGTTGCCAAGCAGCTAAACGTATAAAATGTTTATATCAATATTGTATATAACCAAAACCTATAAAAACAATTTTCGGCAAGGTTAATGGCTATATTTAAAAACACCAGTAGTGATTCTTACTCTAAGTAATAAATATAAATGATATTTCGATCAGTACAGTAGGTACTTAATAAAAATAAAACCTTGTACTGAATACAAGTTTCGTCACATATGGGTATTAAATTACTTGTATTTATGATCGACCCAATTATACCGCTTTGCGTTAAAAAACGTTTTATTGTATGTGTACCACTGGCGTAAAGTACAAAACCCAATTCATTTGTTTATCTTTTTTTTCGTTTTTCCACCACCGCTATTTTTACAACCAAACCACTACCTACTACAAAAGACATACCTCAACTTTTTTCATAGACTTCCTATTTACTAGTAGTTAGGTGTACAGTTCGGTTATAGTATATGGAATTCTTAACCAAAAATTTCAAAGAATATGAAAAACTGGACCTTATTACCATAAACTACGAATAAAAAAAATATTAAAATCAAACTAGTGCATGCATAGTTATGTTTTAACATGGGACTTTGATATGCGGCATAAAGGTTTTTACTTACTTCTCAAAAAATTTCCCTTTAAGTACTTTATGATACACCCGGGGCTTTTTTAAATTAAAACATGTTGCCCCACGCCAAATATAACATTTGACACTATTTGATTGCCGCCATAGGGCGTAGGTATACTCATCAAAATATTTCGAATTTTTTTACACGCTTTATATTATTGTTAACATAGAAATAGGTTAAGTATGAGTCAGCCAAATGGTTACTTTGTATTAATTCTTGGTCAAAAAAATGGATATAAAGTATCATAACCTAATTAAAAAGTATTATTTAATTAATTAGTTATTATAAATCATAAATGTTTATTAAGAAACAGTTACTTCCATGGAAAACGACATATAGGTCAGTTGATTTTTCGAATTTCTTATCAAATTTTCAGTTATTTATTAATTCTATTTTTTGCTATTTATTCAACATTTCAATTTTACGTTTTTTAGGATTTAAAGTAAACTCTAATAAATAGTAATAGACTAATAGGTAATTGCAAGACTTCAAGACTCTTGCTCAAACCACCAAACCAAGACTGGGAGCAAGCCACCAAGACCAAGCCAGTGTATTGGCCAAGACCAGACCAAGACTGGCTAAGTCTCGTCTTGTTCTTGCGTTTGGGCAACACTAGATACAACTAAAACAAACTATGTATCTACAGAATAACATTTTAATGAATGATATCCATATTATTATAGAGGTAGACTTGTATGTAATGGACAATCTAAAAAACTACTGTGCCGATTTCCAAAACTCTTTCATTATCAGAAAACTATATTACCAGGGAACTTGGGCTTTATTTATAGTCATAAGGAAAATTATAAACGATTTTTACTAAAATATCAGTGAGGTAGCCGAGGTGTAAAAAATCTTTCATCGCAACTTTTACATTAGAACGTGATGATAATTGATAAATTGCAAGTTCTATATAACCTTTTAAAAGTTAAAGCCAAAAAAAAAGGTTCTTTGAAAATAAAGAATCACTAGCGACAAAAAACCTTATATCCAGCCTTAACGTTATGTAAAATGACGATTTATAACATATCAAAAGAAATACCAAATAAATATTTGGGCTAAGTCTCTGGCGGCAGCGTTTTTCGGCCGGTGGCGTGTGTGCGGTGGTCTTAAAGGTCTTGTCTTTAAAACACACTACGGATTAGGGTGCTCATTAGTTTGTGCATACTAATTCACCTAACTTTCACGTGCTTTCTTCCTTCCTTAGCCTATTTTATCGACCCCTTTCGCTGAGAGCAATGTCTAGTGAATTATCTAAATTCATATGATAAATTTTATATGCTTTACGGGTCCCATAGACCTTACGAATGCGCTGTTATTAGAACTCGGATGTCACGTCTGTCAATATATATCTCAACAAATTTCTAAATTTAAGAATAATTTATCCTTAAGAAGTGAAATAGGTAATAAATATTAGAGGGTTTACAAATTTATTATTTTATTACAGAACCTGTGCCAAGCCCGATCTTCAATTTCACACACTAAGATATAAGAAAGTACAAACTACTGTCATACAAAAATCGCAAAGAATAATTGCGTTATGTAAATTGAACATCCGTTCTTTTCATACAAGTACATGTAAGGAAATCCAGATAAATAATTCTGTACACATACATTCTTTGTCCGATGGAAACATAATATGTACTTGAAATTATTAATCAAATACACAAACTGTTTACTCACATATTATTACTATTACTTCAGTAAGATTTCATTTAAAAAATATATATTTACAAACATCTAATAAATATCTTTAATTTTATACAGTTCAAAACTTTGGGTAATGTGGTTAGAAAATAGTGTGGACTGGTCACCCGGCGCTCTGTCTGTGTTTATATTTATAGAAAAAAATCCATAACAAAAATTAAACCCCTAAAAATAATAGTCAGCTTATAATACAACAGACAAATGTATCCTAATAATTATTTAGTAACCTCATAAAGCTCTTATTGTATTAAGTAAATATGATATATTTTTTTATAATTTTTATATAGCTGCCTTTTAGTTATAACCTAGTACATAAGAATTTATTGTTGTAAACCATTCCTGTGGCGTTTGTAATTAATACAGTTAATAAATAAATAAATCAAATATATTATCTAATATAAATAAAAAATATGATAGGTCAACACCTATACCTGATAAATGTATTCCAATTACTTCTGTATGACTTAATATGATCTATAAATTTTGATAATAATTATAATCTTACATTGAGTAACTTAAACTTAATAAAGCTCCCCTTTTATTCACAGTTTGAGAACTTAAGATGTAGCCTATCAAAGTACTTTAGAAAAACTTTTATAACTTTATAATATTTACTTAATAAACAAAGATATGAGACATGAATAAAGAATGCGAATTGTAATAATTAATCTAATACATACCGAAAAAATCCTCCCAAGTCATAGAATGGTCCGAATCAGCATTAGTACCTTCCATTTTCGTTGCACTAATGTTATAATATTATACATTATCTATCAAAGACATGGAGCAACACAACTATCACCGAACACTCATCTTCAAAAGTCCAATTAACACTAGTTTACTGTTTACTTTCTTTTAAACAAAGTTTAGATAAAATTGTTGACAAACAATTAGACATCGCGATGTTAGTAGCTCAACCGAACGCACGTCCGCTCTAGCAATTCAACTCGCCGAGAATAGCACAGATGTAATAATACACTGTATGGAATGAGTATAGATCACAGCACAGAGTGCTTATTGTATCTTGTATAATAGAAAAATGATAAGTTAAATACATAGTCGCGCTTATTCATTATTTATTCATATTAAGTACTGCATTTTTTTAAATATTTCTACTAAATAAAATAGTATACTTACTACTCTCTGCACTTTAATCAAATATATATTTTACAAAATTTCCGGGGCTCCCTTAAGCGCGGGCCCGTGCGGTCGATTTAATAATTGATGGTTTATTTGATGACGGTTTTCCTGTATAATATAATAATACTGTATTTCGAATAAAGTCTCAAAACAAAATACTTTCTTACTATCATTTTGAATAAATCACATCACTTATATTTAACTGTATTTTGTCTGTGCCTTGGCTGACGTATATTATCTGTAACTTGGATGTCACATAAATCACAAATGTACATAAAAATAAAAAATGAACATGGCGATTGTCGATTACATTCTAACGATTTTTCGATCCAGTTTGTGAATTTAGTCTAAGTTCCAACGTATGCTATATAAATTTAATGAATCGCATCAAAAGATTCACACAATTATTCTGAGAGGTAAGGTCTTTAAGAGTAAAATAATTTTAGAGAATTAGAAATCGCCATTTCGTGTAGTACTAGAAATGTTTTACTCGTCTAATACTAGTTTTGCAACTTGTTAATAATTCATATAGTTGACTTTTGCAGTTTATTTGATGCATTGAATGAAATATTTTAAACCTGTAAGTAAACATCGCCTATACCCCAAATGATTAAAACGTACAGTGCATATCATGCACCGGCGTTGTTTAGGCGAATTTATGTTTTGCAATAAAACTAAGAAAACGATGGACGAAAGTATGTGCATGGATACAAGTGTCTGTGATGACGAACCTTTGACTCCTGGAATTACCATAACAGACTTATGTCAAAGAAAATGGCGCATTGGAAAGCCCACAGGTAGTTTTTATTTAGATACTTTTTAATTTTACAAAATTTTCCCTCTAATTCATACCTTGATCACCTAAATCTCTTGTTACATTCTTATTTCAATCATTACCTTTGTTTTCTTATAATGTTTTATGTCATAAATTAAACATATTTTACCTGTTACCAACCTTTTCCTTTTTCTTTTAGGTCGTGGTAGTTTTGGTAGAATATATCTTGCTTCTGATGATATTGACAATGAAGTGACTCAGGTAAACGCTAGGTATGTGGTCAAAATAGAACCACATACTAGTGGACCACTGTTTGTAGAAATTCATTGCTTGATTAGATCAGGAAAAACTGACAAAGGTATGTTCACAAAACAATACATTGGCAATTTACAAAGAAGCTTTATTGCATTTGTGAAATAATCTTCAAATGGTGTTGCATTAAAATGTTATTATTTATTTGTAAAACTTGACCAAACCAAAACTGTTACCAATTTTGCATTAAATATAATTTAATATGTTTTATCTTCCAGTAAGGGCCTGGTATCAACAATGCAGACTATACCATTTAGGCATGCCACATTACATAGCGAGCGGGTCTTTCACTGATGAAACTACAGGCATTAAATATAGATTTTTAGTACTGCCACGCTATGATGTAGATCTCCAAAAAGTTATTTCAAAGACTAAAACTCTGGACACTAATAATACCTCAATAATTGCCATACAAGTGTTAGATGTCTTAGAATATATACATGATCAGGGCTATACTCATTCAGACATAAAAAGCTCCAATTTAATGATTGGGTTTGATGGAAAAAAATTCAAGATTCCTCCGTTTAAACACACATCATATGAGAAAAATACAAAACAACCTGTTGTATTATCAAGAAGACCAAAAGGAGCTAAAAGGGACAAAAGTAGACATTCAAACTATTATGACGATGATGACTTTATTGTACGTCACACATCTAACAATGACACAGATAAAAAGTTAGCTAATGTTAAGCAGAAGATTTCCAAAATATTGACTGAACAAGATAGAAGTGTATTTAGACAACCAGCGTTCAATCTACGCCAGTTAAAAAATAATATTAATTATGCAGATAGCTCTATATGCTCCGATTGGTCTTACCAAAAAATTGATGAGTTCAATCAGTTGCCTGATGAATTAACACATTTCAAAGACTTAAATGAAGTATACAAGGAAGCGGTTTTATCTCAATCAAATGGCCAAGTATATCTACTTGACTTTGGTTTAGCATCCAAGTTTCTAGACTCTCAAGGAAATCACAAGGACTTTGCAATGGACGCCAGAAAAGCACATGACGGAACATTAGAGTATAGTTCAAGAGATTCCCATGTTGGGGCACATTCAAGAAGATCTGACTTAGAAAACCTTGCATATAATTTACTTGATTGGTTGACTGGTTCTCTGCCTTGGAAACATACGGAAATTCTTTCAAAACCCGATGTAGTTCATGCAGTAAAGAAAACCTTCATGAGTGACATAAAATTTTTATTAAAGACATGTTTCAAGGCTAAATCCTACCCCACATGTATGGAAAAGTTTTTACATTACATTACCAAATTGTCATTTACTGAAAAACCTGACTATGATTACTGTCGAAGCCTGTTTAGAAGTGAGCTCTTGAAAAGTGGTTACATTTTTGGCAAAGAGTTACGAGTTAATTTTGATGATTCTCCTACCTCTCCTATAAATAGAAACTGTTATTCAAAACGATTGGCCAAAAAAAACACACCCCATGATTTTCTTGTAAAGGGTGGTATCAAAAAATCTTTACAAAGAGAGAATATAAATTCCATTGAGAATGGTCTCAAACTGGAGCTATTGAAACTAGCCTTAAACACATCAAGTGATGGACACAGAAAACCTTGTTCTTCAAGGAATTTCTTCGTTTCAGATGCTGACTTAAATGTTCGATTAAAGAAATATCTTAGGCCCCATGATTTATTCGGTAAAAAATTATCACCAAAAAATTTGCGTTCTAAGAAAAGAACAGACTGCAAAAGTATCCGACGACATAGCAATAACAAAGGCAAATTTGGTAATTTCATGGGTTCCGATAAACAATTTTCATGGGCAGAAGTATTAGCTGGTAACCCAGAAGATATAATACGAAAGGACCGTTTTACGCAAGTAGAACCATTTGATGATGATTCAACATGCAAATACAGAATAAGAAAATTATCATTCTCCTCTGAAATTTCAGATTCACAATCGCCATTGTTACAAAAAGATTATTTAGATGGACTTAATCCTACATATGCTATGAAAGAAGTTATAACCAATTTGAAAAAGAAAACACCAGTAAAACCTTGTAAAGATACAGAAGAAAACCTGGTTAATGGTACAAGGTATACTCCTGCTATGTTAAAAGTTTACAAATTGAAGAGGAATCACGAGTGTAGAGCGAGATCTGCAAATGGCCAAGAAATCAGAGTTTCTAAAAGATGCACAAGGTCTATGAGTAACAAAAAAAACGAGGATAATAAAACAATACCCAGTAATGAAATGAAAAATTCTGACAAAAGTTCAAAAGTTGTAAAGAAGAAAGAAATAAAAAATAAAAATAATGATGTGACTAATGCAAAAGAATCAATACGAATACTTCCTCCTAGAAATTGTAAAAAGTCTCATCACCAGGAGGTAGATATCAAAATTAAAAGACAGAAAGCAGGAAATAATGTCACAATCCAAAAACGAAAATCTACTAGGAAAGTCTCTAGCATATATCCTAAGAAGGAAGTTTTAAACAAGTCTAAGAAACATAGTCCTGTCAAAAAAACTGATGTAACAAAGTTAAGCAACACAACAGATCATAAGAGAAAATCTTTGAGAATAGTTTTAAAGAGATTAGACATACAAGATATTTCAAAAGGAATAAAGACCTGCAGTAAGTAAATACTTCTTTTATTATTTGCCAAATTAACTAAAAATACTTTACATTTTTATTATTTGATACTACATTTGGAGATAAAAGTGCTTGTATAACGCAGAATCGAAACAATAATTATTATGTATTTGTTTTGATTTTTTTTTATCTTTTTTAGGTAATGAAAACATGACCACAACAATAAATGGAAGGAACCTAAGGAGTCGTAAACTTAAAAATTAAGTAGATATAGAAATTTTATTCTTAGTTTAGTATTAGTACTTCTTCTGAATGGCTTTCTACACCGTTCAAATAATAAATGAAATAATGTTATAGTCTGTTCCAATTGCTTTGTCTGAAAATAAGATTTAATAATCTCCATATATTTAAGTGCATAGTATTTTGCTTCATTAAAACCTAATTGCCATTTTCAGACAAAACCTATTGAAACAAAGTATTCATGTTTCATGTATTAAACAGGATATTTTTATTGTAATGTTAACTGTCAAAGGTTTATATATACTCTACAGTATCCTGTTAATAATAGACAGATAGTCATATAAGTGTAAAATTCAGATTTTCCTGTGCTTTTGATAGGAATAGAAAGTGCACCAGCATTCTTTTATAGAATATTTTTTTTAGTTAGTAAATAGGACTTTTTTTGAATTTCAAGCTGACTAACCACACAGCATCTAAATTACACAAACACAAAGTATCTAAATTATTTTGAGGTATCAATCTTACTAGGCAATCACTTTGAAATAAACATTTACAGTATTTAAATAGTAATTTCTTCTAATTGAAACTAATTAAATTAACAAAAGTTTTTTTTAAAGTACATATCACTTGTTCTTCAGTTTTTCTTATGAAATCACACTTTGTTTGCATATTTAAGAAACTATGGACATAGTATACAGATTTTGCATTTAAGTCCTGTGTGAGTGGCCATTGTTAACAATTTTTACAAAAATTGTTTTATCCACGAAACTCGTGTTGTTATGTAAGACGTTTTTCGGTATTTCGCCGACTATTATTAAAATTAAAGTATATATCTATCTTTTATTTTACTACCTATAACCACCTAAACCATAAAATATGAAATAACCTTAATATGAACTCGATTTATATAGTTTCGGTAGGACTTTTCTTGAACTATTAGTTTTGGTGCTCCAATCATGTAGTGTGTAATCTAAAGCTCCTAGTCCCGCTCTAAAGTCTCCATCCTATATTAGGTACTATATTAATGTAGTAATGATGTGTATCATTATGAAATAGAAGTTTACATAGCTATCTGATTCAGTCGACAAAATGTATATAAAAATGCTATTAAAAATTTATTATTCTTTTTTCGTATTAACTTTTTAATAAGTAGATATGTATTGGATTGTTTTATCGATAGTACTAATTTATATCTTTGGTCTTTACTTAAGCATATATGTTTACTATTTTGGCCATAGAAAATGCGATTCGAGTATAATTTATGGTCTTTTTTTAAATTGAAACATGATTCTTATATTGGATGATACTTATCGATTTATTGACAGATAAAATCTATAAGTTTCGATTTATGTCAAGAATGTCAGACGCAGCACATGTGTCAAAATGAAAAGTCAAGATAAAGATAGTTGATAATGGAATCCCGAATTAATCGTGAACAATTCTTCGCGATAACATGACTTAGTCTTTTTTATTTATATTTTTATAATTTAAAACATTTAAGCCAACTTATCCACTACAGTGCTAGTGACAAGTTGAAGTGCCTAGATCTACACATGTTTATTTTGTGATGTTTTTACGAATAGTGACATAACCTAACCTTTGTATTTAAATCAGTTTTGTGGCCTTACTGGGAATCAACTTGTATTAAACTATAATGGAAAACGAACAAACTAAAAACGTTATTCGAGTGGGATCGAGAAAAAGTCAGGTATTATTTTAAGTATATTATTTAAAGAGCTGTGCACCCGTATAATTCAACATGGAATAATAAATGTATTTTATAACATGCAAATTTGACATTCAAATTTTTAAACACGTTATTCTGGTTCCATCGAGCCTATCAAATCCTAGTCTGTAAAAATCTCGTTCTAATAGGTCTATAGATAAAACTTATAGGAAAATCTGACCTCTGTAGCCAACTGGTTAATCGCATTGCCTAGCATTGCGTTAAGCGCGAGAGGTCCTGGGTTTGAATCCTAGGGAAACAAAAAATTGTTTCCTTCAGACAGGGCACAGAAGTTTGATTGGTAAAACAAACACAGAAACGTGTTTGCCTCATGCCCGATGAGGGAGAAACGGTATTTCACACAAAAAGTATAAACTATATTTTCTTTCAGTGATAATTATCATAGGTGTAAATATTTTGAAAATTAAACCTTCTTAACAATTTCTTTAAAAAATGTTGTAAATTGTTTTCATTTTAGAACATACAATTCTTTTGCAGCTTGCACTCATTCAGACAAATCATGTTATTGACTGCTTGAAAAAAGTGCATCCAGATAAAGAATTTAAATTAGGTGAGTTCGCAGAATATATTTTTTAGTGTTTATATAGTTACTATTAATTTTTTTAGGATGATCATAACTTTATGAACTCTCAACTTTGTTGTATTATCTATAATTTAACCTTATGTTATGCTACATCACAGTTTTAAAGTTTTAGCTAGGTGTTAGACATTGTTTACAAAATTTTATTGATACTTATGACCTATTATATACTTAACTGGTTAGTGCTTGTGTGACCGACACATAATTTAGACATAAATATGCCAAGTGTAAACATGGATATTTTTATATTTTAAGTAAAAACTTTAAATTCTATCGTATAATCCCCTTAAGTTATTATATAACTTAGTACCTCATTTGAACTTAAAAACTGTCTGATTTTAGTATCTATGACAACTTTGGGTGACCGTGTACTAGATGTTTCACTGCCTAAAATTGGAGAGAAGTCACTATTCACTAAGGACTTGGAAGATGCACTAAATAATAACACAGTTGATTTTGTTGTACACTCATTAAAAGACCTTCCAACTTCTTTGCCAGATGGACTGGCGATTGGTGCTGTCTTTGAAAGGTATAGGGGAAGATTTTTGGTACCTTTTTTGTAATGTTGCAAAAGTGTACCTAGCTCCCTACATGAATTTTAATTTTGTATGATCAGGAGTGATTCTTAATTCTGCACAAAAATTATTTATCATTCTATACTCTTGCTATCTTTAGCATGGTCTAAAACCAATAATTTTACTAAAATAAATTCGTTTTACATGGGACAAGAACACCTCTCATTAAAGAAGATAATACTAACAAGTTATAATAATAAATATGCTCTTTGATATGAAGTTGAAATGACGTAAGTCATAAAACAATGTTGTATTTATTTAGAGAGGACCCGAGGGATGCATTAGTTCTCCGAGATGATATCAAGAAAACATGTCTAGAAGAGTTACCTGAGGGTTCTGTTATTGGTGAGTTGTATTTTATTTTTCTTAGTAATCTTAATGTGAATATTACAGTTTTATATACACAAAGTTTTTCAGTTTTGTAAAAGTCTGTATCTTGTAAATTATTCATTGTTATAGAAGTTTGTTAATTAATGACTTAGCATTATATATTTGAGAGAAAAATACTAAATATCAATCACTTTACGGTATATATAGCTATAGCTATGAATAGTTTTTCTACGAATATCCAAAGCTAAAATAGGTCGACATCACATCTTCTTTGGTGGTAACATGGCTGAGGTAAATACTGTCTATAGTTTCCGCGAGTAGTACACATTTAAATAAAACAATTTAACGGTTTAAACGGAGACGAGTCTCATCACGACCACGGCTCTTGCAAAGCATCGGAAACGTCGGTTCGAAGTTAAAAATCGTTTTCAAATAACTTTAACCAAAATATCGCATTTTAAACCGTTAAAGTGTTTTATTTAATAATTTATTTATTTATAAATGGCTGAGTTACTTTACCTCCCACCAAGTGAACACGAGGTTCATTTGCTTATCTGTCCTCCTCTATATTAATAAAAATCTGCGATTATGGACCCTGATGCGATTCACGATTTTTAGGTACGTCATCACTGCGTCGAACAGCTCAATTACGCGGTAGCTTCCCAAAGCTAAACGTGATAGATGTAAGGGGGAATCTCAATACGCGATTAAAGAAACTGGACGATCCCACTACGGAATACAGTGCATTGTTGCTTGCAAGCGCTGGGCTGCATAGGATGGGCTGGGCCCATAGGATAACGAAGGTATATGACACAATTATAAATCTATTGTCCATGTGAAATCCCTTTTCCAATCATGGGGCATGGGGCGAACACATTTCTGCGTTTGACTGATCGGTTTTCTTTACTGGCAAGTAGTTGATCAGACTTTTGCCCTGCTCGACCGATACAATCTATTGTTTCCTCAGGATTCGAATCCAAGACCTCTTGCACTGAACGAAATGCTAGGCAATACTGTTAACCATTTAGCTACAGATGTCTTATATCTATATTTTAGGGCATACTATAATATATTATACTTGTTTAAAAGATCGGATTACTTAAGTATTGGAAAAAGACGCGTTAATCCGTAGGCCGTATTTAGTTCTACGATAAAAAAGCTAGCTAAGCCAAATTCTTGATTTGTTTTTTTAATAGCATTTTAAGTTATCCCTTGAAGCCTTGTTTAAGAAGTATAGCATTCGCACGCAACTTGCATTAGTTACATTGTTCCTAATAATAATGCACTTTACTGAATACGTAAATTATTTTTATCAAATTCTTCCTTTCCGTCTTTGTGAATATTAATAACTAACAATTAAACATGTTAAGTGCGTATTCGAAGTAGAACAAAGTCAAGGTTTTACTTGTAATAAAAGGTGTGTTACTGTATGAACAGATAAAAATTAGGTCGTGACCAATTATTAGTTATTAACTTGTTACTTTATTGAATTATATTATTGTTTAATTATATTTCTTTCAATACAAGGATTTTTTCGTCTTTTGTCTAGTTTAAAAAACATGTACTATGGGAGCTATATAATTTTCCCCACAACAAAAGCATATTAAAATTAACTTAATGGTAGGTCTTAAATTCTTTTATATTCATTTCCAGTTACTGCCATGCTCAGATATGATGTACGCGGTCGGTCAGGGCGCATTAGCAATTGAATGTAGATCGGACAATGAAGAAATATTGGAAATGTTGGCACCCTTCAATCACCCAGAGACCTACTGCAGAATCTTAGCCGAGAGAAGTTTCTTGAAGACATTAGGTAAGATTCATATTGCAACTGTAAACTAGCTGTGTCAGCGACTTCGTCCGCGTATAAAAGTTGTTTTGGGTTTCAAAATTTGTTATTGCAAACATCTTTATGAATTATTAACGCGTTCAAACAAACACACAAACTCTTAAGCGTTATATATTATTATAGATAGCCCTTACTCACGATATTGTCTGCGTCCCGCCGTTGCAAGTAAATCTTAAAAGGCAAACATATACTGTCGCAGACTTTTTTTTAGATCATTTAAAGAGGAATCATTCTGATATACATATTTATTTTTTATCTTGAACCGTTTAGTAGCGTACGCAACGGAATCTCACAAGGATCAATAATTATTCTCATTTTTTTTCACAGTGATTCTTCGCCCCTATACGTCGCATCGCGATGTTTTATAGCCTTCCTCGATAAAACAATACATAAAGATTTCAATTCGAACAAGTAGTTCCTGAGATTGCCGCGTTCAAATAAACAAACTCTTCAGTTTCATAATATAATAATATAGATGAACAAGTCCAACTTTTGTACTTTTAATAATATAAATATATATACCAATTAGCTTCTTAAAGTATTTATTTTGTTTTTGTAGGTGGTGGTTGCAGTGCTCCCGTGGGGGTGTCAACCAAATTGAAGAAGACAGATACGAAATTCTGTCTTAGCATAACAGGCGGAGTATGGAGTCTAGATGGTAATACAAAGATTATTCACAGCCTAGAACAAACGTTTGAGCAGATAAAAACTACTCCAAAACATAAATTAAGTCCCACCGAAGATGGATCTTCGAAGAAAATTAAAGTCGGCGATACAACAGACCAGAAGTGTAATCCTTTGGCAACATTGGATGATACTGTAAAAAATGGGGAAGCTAATTGTGAAGAATTGAGGAGTACTGAGGAAGTGAAGGGGTGTAGAAAGATCTATTGCGGATTAACTGAAAACTTTAACATTCCGACGGACGTCATTGAAAAATGCGATGAAATTGGCCGCGATCTAGCCAATTCTCTTATCGAAAAGGGTGCTCTCGACGTTATGAAAGTGACCCAAGATTTGATCCGGTCTTCTGTGGTCAAGTCATGACTTTGGTTTTATTTGTATAAAGAGAGGGGTAGAGAAGAATATACTGGTTATCGTCTGACGTATCAAATATTTAAAATAGCGGTTTGTTCTGAGCAGATTTGCAAAATTTCATTAAAATATGCCTAATAGTTTAGGTGTAGGAATTCTCTTTCAAAAACAACAAACATTGGGTAATAACTATAGATAACTGCAAAGCGCGTGCTGTCTTTATTATTTACTATTTTCCAAAACAGTAACAGTGTAAAAAAGAATGCGGCTATTGATTTGTAGCAAATTGGATTGGAAATAGTTTTATTTTAATAATTATAACGCACAGGATAATTTAATGTGATAAGACTGGCAAGCCGTTGTATATTATAAACATATACATATTTATATATACTATTTTTCCCAAAGTCCTAGTGCAATTTAATATAGATTGTATGAGTACCTTTTAAATCTCTTGTTTCCTATATTTTGTAAAGTAAAAAAAAAAATTGCCAATCCTTATTATTCCTGTAATATATTTAACACTCGTATTTTTTGTTATAGTAATATTCCTATGACCTATATGATAAATACAATATAATAATCATGTTTACATATTAAAACTGAAATAATAGAAGGATCTATCCATTAATCTTGTTTTTAAGAACAGCTCACAATGGACTCTCTGTAATATAATTAGAAAATTCCTTACTTGTGAATGTTATATACAATTTTTTACTTACTGTAAATTTGTCTTAAGACTATCCTACTGAGGATTTAGGGTAGATAAGAGTTTATTTTTGTTGTTGCGGAACTTTTTGTAAATATAAGTAGGTAGGGGGATATGTTGTAATCGCGTACTTATTGTTGTAATATTGTTGATTTATGGGAGAATTTATTAAAGGGATTTACCAGAAGTTTTTTTTTATTGTTTTATGAAATTACATTTATGACACCCGAGAGAAACTATTCCACCAACTGATAGAAAAAAAGCGAAGTGTGCAATTGGGTTTCGGGTTCGTTCTAGATATCCATATGTTGAAGCCAAATAAATAAATACAGCCAAAATAGCTCGACAGCGAATCAGTGTGTTCACCTGGAACCTCCTTCTCTTTATTCCTTTGCCATAAATAACAAGGTATCGTAATACTTTATAATTGTGCATTTATCAAGTCGAACCCATGCTCCCAACCCTTCCTTCTCAATCTTTTGCAGTTTCAAACGCAATATTTATAAATGATACTCAAATTATTAATTTACTTTTATTTCACAATAAAATCTCAATCAAAACTCAAGCACTCTTAACCAGTTGTGAACACAAACTAAATAACACTAACAAAGTACCTACAAGTATTTCATGAACTTTTATTATATTATTTAGAGAAGTTTTCCAAATGGCGGTAGTTACAATAATATTGTGTCACAGCCTCTATTATCAGAATATTAAGATGAATATCCTCTTTATCTCTTCCATAAGAGTTTAAAGAGATAACATGATAGAAATTAGATTAAAAGAAAACAAAATCGGATACAAGTGCAAATTAATTATAAGTACAGCAAGTTTCAATAGGCCAATAGTCTAACTAGAATAATATTACTAATACGATAAACCAGCCATGCAAGTTTCATCCCATTATTTTGATAAAAACTAAATTGGATTGGGCAATATTCATAATACTCTACCTCGTTATAATAGATATTTTTAATTCAATGATAAGACTGTATTAATATATAACTTTGACAACTAGGGACTGGTGTACCATATTATACTGTAGAACAAAAACAGTATATGATTTATTCGACATCTTCTTCTTGTAAAGTACGTCCGCTGGCTCCCATAGATGCTCGAAGACGGTCGGACACCTCAGGTAGCTTCTTGAGAAGCAAGTGGAAGATTGGAGCCGGCATTGTTTGTTGGAGCACCTGTGAGTGAAAACATTGCAATATTCATTTTTGTTCTTTGGTTAAGTAAAAATTTAATATGTATAAATACTGCCAAGGAAAGGGTAACTATAATGATTTATCAGCATCATTTGTTTTTACATTTCTCAAAAATCTTATATAAGTAATAAACACATGATTAAATAAAAGAATTGATCTACTCACACTAAGAAGTTGCTGTGTCTGCCCACAAACTGCTACAGCCTGACCGAGATGTTCAACTCCAGCCTCCAAATTTCCAGCTGCTAATAATTCTTCACCCAATTGAATCTGAAATTAAGCACTTACTAATATCTTTTTTATATAACTCTAACTTATCTAGCTTTAACCACCACAGTTACATTTACAACATATTATGATAGAGTATATACCTAATTAATACATGGTATTTATGAGAGCTTGTATAATTTTAAAATTGACACAATTGGCAGACACTAATACACAAAAGATGTTATTAATCATATTGAGCTATCATGTTGCAGTGATGATTGTCAAATTTATAAATTTTGTAATGGAAATCATTTAATATTTTTAAATATATTTAATAAATTAGTTTGATCTTAAAATATAATATTTCATATTCAGCATGTAAGCATACTTAGCCTTTAACTTGTTCTAACAAAAATATGCCGTCAATTGAAAAGAATTTCTATAGATATAATGTTTTAAAGAATTTCATTGTGAATTATTATTACTAGGGTATATGTAGGCAGGGTACACAATAGATGATTACCTGCTGTAAGAAGAATCTTTGCATTGCTTCATGATCATTCATATCTGGCAAGGGTCCACCCAAGGTTCGTGAATTTGATGAGTTCTGTTGCGCCATTTGTCTACCTGTAATATATTAAATTAATTAGGAGCTAACTTTGTGTGTTCATTATCGATAGCTTTAGCGTGCTCCTTGTTTTACTTAAATCAAGTGCGTATATTGCAAGAAAAAAAATCATCTATCTACAACTTTCTAGGTTGTTATTATACAATAGTTTATAGAGACAATGAATATATTCCATGGGATAGAACATAGTATTACTACGACTTATTGAATATTGCTATTGCTTTTTCAAGTATAATTATTAACTACTTACGTTCCCTCAGTTTCTTTTTGTACAGAGGATCTTTGCGACGTTGTTGGTCAAAATACACACAATACCCTACAAAAAGAGTTCCTGCTATTCCAACAGCGAGTCCTAGAGTTGTGCGACTAAGCTCCATTATAAGTTATTTGTTTTTAATAAGATATCATATAAGAAAATTAAATTTATTAAAGAATTTGGTTACAAAATTCCTGTGTCCACCATTTACTGCAACGGGTGAGTTTTTATATGTTGGTTAAAGACTAAAAACATAGATAATGCAAACACAACTCAAATATAGACTTTAAAGAACCTGTTGATCGACTTCGTTTTAATTTCTTATGGACGTGGTTATGGGTTATCTTGGAAAAAAAGCAACTTTTAAATTACTACATATTTTTCTTTAGGAAAAAATTACAACACGCGATTTTTATCATTGTTTAAAAGTATTATAATCTTTTTTAGGGTAACAGATACTATATAATTTTATTGCCATCTTCGAAAAATATCAAATGTACACATGATAGAAATTCGAGATTTACTTGATTTAAAAGTACTCTTTTAATTTAATATTTATGCCGGTCGACCCTTGTAAGAAATACGCCTGTGAGATCCAGAGATGCCTTGTTGGTGAGTTTATTTCATAAAAAAATAATTATGAAACCGCTTGCCGACAACCAACAATATTGTAGTCGCCATCTTTACTTCATTCTTCCAGTCGCCTGTAGATTTGCGGGCGTTTCACGCCGTATTTCAATGCATTGCTCAAATATAACACTATTGTTCCTTTCAAAATATACATAAAAAGTGTCCGTCGGGTGTTGCGTAATAGTTAAGTGTGAAAATGAGTTTTTTCGGATTTGGACAGACAGCGGATATCGAAATTGTATTCGATGATGCTGACAAACGCAAAGTTGCGGAGGTAAAGACAGATGATGGTAAAAAGGAGAAACTACTTCTCTATTATGATGGTGAAACTGTTTCTGGGCGTGTTAATGTAACATTGAGGAAGCCAGGCTCTAAATTAGAACATCAAGGTATTAAGGTAGAACTAATCGGACAGATCGAACTTTACTACGATAGAGGTAATCATCATGAATTTATATCGCTGGTAAAGGAGCTCGCTCGTCCTGGGGACCTTTTGCAGCACACCTCTTATCCATTTGAGTTCGCTAACGTTGAAAAACCTTACGAAGTGTACACAGGTGCTAATGTGAGATTAAGGTATTTTTTGAGAGCCACAATTGTCAGACGCCTGACGGATATAGTAAAGGAAGTTGATATTGCGGTACACACATTATGCAGCTATCCAGACGTCTTAAATTCTATAAAAATGGAAGTAGGCATTGAAGACTGCTTACATATAGAGTTTGAGTATAATAAATCAAAGTATCACTTAAAAGATGTTATTGTTGGTAAAATCTACTTCCTTCTTGTTAGAATAAAAATAAAACACATGGAAATATCAATTATAAAAAGGGAAACAACTGGATCAGGCCCACATGTATTTACTGAGAATGAAACGGTTGCCAAGTATGAAATCATGGATGGAGCGCCAGTTAGAGGAGAGAGTATTCCCATTCGCGTGTTTTTGGCCGGTTATGACTTGACACCAACCATGAGGGATATCAACAACAAATTTTCTGTAAGATATTATCTTAATCTTGTGTTGATGGATACTGAAGATCGGCGCTACTTCAAACAACAGGAAGTAACTCTGTGGAGGAAAAGCGATAAGTCTCGTTTGCCTCTCCATAACCCACACCATCCCCAAAATCTTACAAATCCAACACCTCAGAGGCAGCTAAGTGCTTCCAGTGAGGACAATTCAGTTAGGACAGTGTCACCCAATGCACCAGAAATTCTACAAAGATCTGTTTCACCGCCAATGCCTAGTGATAAACAAAATGGCCCTGCACAAATGGAAAAAGAAGAATCTGACCCTTTACCAAACAAGATGTCCAAAACACACATTGATAGTGAACCTGACATACTAGAAAGCCCTGAAAATGACTCCTCTACAAAAGAACCAGAAAATGGAACAGAATCATCATTAAACCCTGAGAATATTGTTAAAATAGTAGAAGCGGAAAAACCACTGATTAGTGAAAAACCTCAAGTTGTTAAGAAACCCAAACAGCAAGCGGAGAAAGTGATGGTAGCAGAGAAACCCCTTCTTGCTGAGAAACCCCTGCTAGCTGAGAAACCCCAACTTGCTGAAAAACCCACACTAGCTGATAATGAAACAAGTCCAAGTCAATAGCCTTTTACATGTGCGAGGACTCGCACTGATAACATGGACTACATGTTTTATTTTAAAATCATTGTTTAAAGTATGTATAGCCAATAGATTGTTAATGTTTCATTTTGAGGTTTTATCAAGTAGTGTTATAAATAAATTAAGTGTAATAACAAAATTGTGATAAGGATTGAACAATGCACTTTTTTATTTTGTAGCGTGCCTACAAGGCTCAGCTATTGAATATAAAGTACACATAATTTATTCTTTATTTAGGTTAGGTGAATTATATCAATGAATATTTGTAATTGTTTCATCTCAATTTTGTTAAGTGCAGTGCACATTACACTAGCTTAGTTTGCTTTGCAAGGAGATTTGTATATATATTTACACTGTTTAGTGTATCGAGAAAGCAATATTTAAATATTGGGTAGCCTTATATGTATATTAGAATGATCATGTCTATAGCTGTGTAATGTATGTCAGTAACATAATTATGATATAAATAAGTAATAATTGATCACAACTGTGATTCCTATTCAGTTATTCACAATTGTACCCTCAACTGCTTGAATGCATTTTTAAAGACATATAATATGTTCTTTTATGTATCTAAAATATTAACATCATTATCTCGAAATGCTTTACAACTTCTTATGTGGTGTTAACTCACCAACTTACATGAGATTGGCAACTATGACGATCTGTATGTTCTGCTTATTGCAAATTTCAAAGCTTTCAAACTGTTCTATATAACTTTAATTAAGGAGAACTCTGGTGAAATAATTAATATTATAGATGAAATATTTATAGAGAATAAATTGCTTATAAAAAAAGATTAGTAAATATCACCCCAAATTCTATTCATCTACGATTGAAGAATGTGTTCTTTTAACTTTTCCCTTTGTTCTTCTATATTAAATAAGTGTAAAATTGGAACTTCTAAAACTCCTCAGTGAACTTTTAACTAAGCTTTAAAGAATATTGCCGTAGCTAAATATTTAGCCAATAACGATCGCCTGTTATTGACTTCAATTTACTTCAATTGAGTACAGTGTCCTTCAATCAATGCATTATCTAGGTAATGCAAACGTGTTTAAACACGACTTATTTCCGATTCTCCTAGGAATGTACAGTTTTACAGGAAAGATTAGATCCTGGGAAAATTCTTTTTTATTTGAAATTCTAATGTCAATCTGTTAGTGTTACAATACCACAGAACCTTTCTGCTGTAATGTTTGTAAATTAAAAACTTATTGTAAACCTTTCTTTTTTTACAAGCTCAATATAATAAAACATGGCAACTTATTAGTCAAATATTTCAATACTTTACTGTATGTGTATATCTGTTAAAATTGTATATTATAGTCAATATTAATATGTAAAATTAATTTGAGATGAATACATACATTATGCTTATTATTTAGTTGTCTAGATGACTGATAAGTCCATTATGTAAACATTTTGTTAATCAATTTATTTTTAGTGTTGTATAGACCTTTTTTGTAAGGAGGTTGAAAGCATGTCGATTATATTATTGTTAATAAAATATATGTATAAATTGCATACTGTTTTTTATTGTACCCTTCCCGCTATCCTCTTGTTTGTCTAAATTTGAATGACATGCCGAGGTAAACATTTTTATTAAACGGAAATTTAGAAAAAATATTTTTAGCATACCTATGTTAATTTGTGTTAAAGACAATCACTCTTAAGTTTAAACAACTTACAAATCCTTGACACAGGCGAGACTTTAAACTTGCGCCTTAAAAAAATATAGGTATCTGCAAATGACTTGTTTTTCATTTTAATAACATGTGATATAATAGTTAAATCACTATTTTTCTAAAACTCTGATGTTCAAACTTTTGTGTTCTTCCACAGAACATAATTTTCAAGAAGTTCGCTGCGATCGAGTATTCGAAGCTATGCGCCAATGTTGTTTGAAACATAAGCCAATATCGTTAGTTTGTGAAGGGTATAGCTTGGAGCCGAGAAAATTTTCGCCCGTCACCGACAGGGCGGATAAGAGATCATAGGTATACATATTTCATATTATATAACCTAGCATTTCTACGTGGAGGTTCAATTTCAAATCACCTAATCTTTGAAATACGAGCTGGTTTGTGAAGCCACAAAATGTCAGGATACTTTTCTAAGCTTTACAAAGAATGGGTCAGCCAGCCATAAGAGATTAGAGTTATATATCTAGGCGTCGAAGGAAAGCATAACTTAGTTTTCTAAATGATGGAACAAGAAAACAAGTACCTATAATTTAAAAATTAATATTATTTTCTTCAACTTTTATTTATTTTGCATATCTCCTTAAAAACCAGTTACAATTTTAAAAAGCTGTGAAACATAAATTAAGACAACATTTAAAAAATCATTTTCAGGAAGATATGGAACAACGACGACGTAGTAAGCCACTTGGTCAAAGAAGTTGGATTTACAGATATCCGAAGACTTTCCAAATTACATTTACTGCATTGTTCTTGGGAGTATTCTTTTCGAAACCGATTTACGACATATTTTTCAGGAAGAGGGAACCCATTGATATATCTGAACCTCCGACGACATATAATCGTAAAAGACAAGTCGTAGATTAAGCTATGGAAGCTGTTTCCAAAGCAAGAGAGAGATTAGCGAAATACCCACTAGTTTACGCAAAGTGTTCTAAAGTAGGTGCGCTTTATGCACGCTGTGTCTTACTCAAAGAGGATTCAGTAAAGAAAGGTGACTGCGCCAAAGAGTTCTTAGAATTCAAAACTTGTTTGAATAGCGCTGCAAAAACTTTAAAAACTAGGATTTAAGATGTTACGAATTTTAAATTTACCATTTTATTTCCACGCGAGCTTTGCATTTGTTATACGCATAGCATTTGTGCTATACTCCATATTTCACGACAGCCATTTCAAAGTAAAGTATACGGACGTAGATTACACAGTTTTTACAGATGCAGCAAAACACGTTTTTAACGGGGACTCCCCTTACAAACGGCACACGTATCGATACAGCCCGGTAATCGCGTTTCTTCTAACACCCAATGTGTTCGTGAATTTCAATTTTGGAAAGGTCTTGTTCTGCGTTTTTGATATTCTCTGTTCTTACGCAATCAAAAAACTAATTGAGCGACAATTACACGATAAAATCCATCCTTCAAACGTTGCCGTTTATTGTGCATTGTTTTGGCTATACAATCCGATTAGTATTGCAATTTCCACGAGAGGTAATGCTGATTCTTTGCCATGTTTTTTAATAATAATGTCCTTAATGTTTTTACAAACAAATATCATAGTGGGAAATCAAAAATACCTCTTAAGCGGTTTCTTTCTGGGACTGTCAATACATTTACGGTTGTACCCTGTAGCTTTTTCATTTCCAATGTATCTTTCCCTGGGGGAATACAAGATCAATCGAAAAACTACTATTAGACATGGTAGTTACCAGTTACTGCCAAATAAAAAACAACTCATCTTAGCCGGTAGCTGCCTTGTATCCCTTTTAGTAATTACAGTTGGGATGCATTACTTATATGGGTATGAATTTTTATTCGAGACATACATATACCACCTTTTTAGAAAAGACACGAAACATAATTTTTCAGTTCTTTTCTACTATTCATATTTAACATCTGGCCAGCTATCATTTGATTTAGTGAAAATAGTTTTGCAAATCTTCCAGTGCGGTATTTTGTTTGTGATAAGCTTAGCTTTTGGCACAAATGGAGAAACGTTAGTGTTCGGTTTGTTTTGTCAATCTGTGGTGCTAGTAGCGTATAACAGTGTTATGACGTCACAATACTTTATATGGTTCTTATCAATTTTGCCAGTGGTGATCCACGAGTTTAAGATGACAGTAAAACTAGCCATGCTCTTGGCAATAATATGGGTGTTTCCTCAAGCCTCTTGGTTATACTTCGCTTATTTATTAGAATTTAAAAATCACGAGACCTTTATATTTCTGTGGCTTAATGGCGTTTTATTTTTCTTGGCGAATGTCTACGTTTTGGGGCAACTTATAAAATATTATAAGCCCAAATATGGTTTTGGTCAGCTAGATGTTAGTGAAATTAAAAATTAAATATATTATTAGACTGTAGTTATTTTTGTAGATAGACTTGAAATAAAATTAATAAACTATTTATACATTCTTTTATTACCTAAACTAAATGAAACATACTAATAATTAACAAATGCATTAACTGCTAACAGTTATAGGAATAATGGCAGCCGATATAATATATTTGAGCTTATTGTACTTTGTCAAACAGGTGAATATCTTGCAAGAAGCACACAGTTAAAATTCTTTTGTGAAAGTCAGATTTCACTAATTCTTAATTGAAAAACATATTTGCATTTCATAATACTATTATTTTAATTACACTAAAATAGTACAGATAACTCTCATATAATCTGTAGGGTTACATTTTGACAGCTTTTTATATTCCTGTAGCGTAAACTCTTACTAATAGAGACAACATAAAGATTACCAACTATTTGTTGTTTGTTTACCCAGTGTTATTTTTTATCCTGAAGATTAATTTTTGTTAAATCTTCAGTTTCTCCTTGTGACATGTTGGACAACTTCTTGCCAATGCGTTCATGAACATCGAGGTATTTGGCTACACAGCGGTCAAGACACACAGATTCACCTTTACCTGAAAGCCCAAGCATGTAAAATATATTGAGTGCAACATATTTTTTTACATATTAAAAATTACATACAAAATTGTTTTCCAAAGTTTCCATGCTAATGTATATTACATTAGCATGTGTGTAATTATACATTATTATTATATTATAAATCCATTGCAACTTACCAAGTTCTGGTTCATAGTATTTAATAGGTATACACTTCCTGTGACATGCTCCAACAAGGCGGTTGTACATGTCTGACATCATTTCTATCTCAAGCTCTTGAACGAGCTGCAGCTTAGCTGGATCCAGCTGTGGTACTGCCATTATATCTTCTTACTTGTAATATAAATAACCTTGAAAAATTATTCAGACATTCAGTAGCTAAAGCGGTAATCTATAGAATAGTTAAGAAATATGGGCAAAAGATTTCTTTTATTTACGATGGGGAAAAATACTTACGTAATTATTCAAATTTTGCGATATACGTCGGGGTACTCTCCTTCGTTAGATTTCCTCATGCGTTCACGAGATCTCATAATCTCAACGCGCTGTCCATTTATATGATTTTTCGCCAATACAAACAGTGACAAACTCGCCACAGTTACTCCGACCCTTAAATACGAAACATATCATTAACTAGTCGTGGTTTTTTTTAATTACAAATGAAAATACACCACTATAAGGAAACCAACCTAACCTGCAACACTTGATATACAAAAAAAAAATTATAGCTATAGCTCACCAAGTACTAAAATGGTAATTTCAAGTAGTGTGATGTAATTATTATTAAATAATTACCAAGAAAGTGTTATTTTTCCAAATCTTCCAAGCGGCATATTCTGCGAAAAAGTTATATTTTATCAAATCCTAATTGACAATCAGTGCTAGATGTCATGAAAAAATTAAAAAAAAAATTACTTCTATATGAATGAGGAATTATAGAGCAGTTTTTTATCTAAAAAATCAATTTTATCGTCATGTTTGTCGAGTTATACATCAATCGTAATCAATATGACTGTCGTCTGATTTATCTTCCTAAAATTCAACAATAAAGGAATAGAGTAATGTTATTCAGTGATTATCTGTGGTAACATAAGCATTTGTCAGTTGTCTGTGGCACTGTCTTGCACACTAGAAAAAAAATGCGGTAAAACCTCAAACAAACCATAGAAACAAACTGTGTATTAAACAAGACGTGTATACATTAGAACGAATTGCAAAATAATTTAGTTTTAATTAATACAAAATGCCGAAAGTAACCAAATTACACAACACGGGAAGGCCGAAAGCATTACAAAAACCAACAAAACCCGATGGATCAAATCAAGCGGATCCTGAAGAATCATTAAGAGAATTTCAGTTGCAACTTCTTTGGTGTATTCAAAAGTTAGAAAAATCTATTGGCGAAAAGAAAGGAAATGATAGACAACGTAAGTTTTCAAAACAAACTATGAATTTCTTTCAGGTAATTAAGTGAATAACCAAATTTTATATTTTTATAGTACAAGAAATGTGGAAGGTGTTGACAATATTGAAAAATAACAACCAGCCCATAATTCGTAAAAGACAATTAATGAGAAAACACCTAGGTGATTATAGAGCGAAAATGGCAGCTGAAGAAAAGACCCTGGTCAAAAGTATGTAAGGATCTATTTTAATGTTTTTATGAAACATCCACTATAGGTGTAGTATTTTTTGTAACAGTATAAATGTTTTGTCAGATTTTAAAACCCACTGTTCTGTAATACCTTTATTTAAGTTTATTTATCAACAAAAAATTCACCATGTTGATACTATTACTTTCTTAGTTATAGATTCAACTATAGCTCATAAATCTACATGACTTTTGAGGTGTTCAACTATTATAAACAAATAATGGTTCCTAACCTTTTGTCATCACAAGTGAAGGGCATCATTAGAAAATATTAAACGGACTAAACACAGAATTTATTATAAATCCTGAAACCTACACAACTCTAAAATACTGTGAAGGGCTAATACAATTTTAAGATCCTATTCTGTATTTATATATAACTCCTTTTTTTCTTCTCAAACTTATCAGTATTTTTTTCAGTGGCAAGCAAGATAAAGATAGCAGATAATCCAGTACAACCCAAAGCAACTTTTCTTAGAAAATCAGCATTTTTATCAACTGGAAACAGTTCATTTAAATTCAACTTTAATGTTCTAAATGAACAAAATGATAACAAAAGTTCAAATACTGAAAACAGTGAACTAATTAAAGTTATAAATAAAACACAAAATATTGACCTAACAGGAAATAAGGACAATTCTAAAGCAAATTTAAAAACTGATGATATCGCTACTTCTCTAACAGAAAGCAATTTAAATAAACCTATGTTTTCCGATTCTGGTTCAGAATTTAAGTTTAATTTCAATATAGACAGTAGTCAGTAAGTAATTGTAAGTTAGATTTTAAGTAACTTTAATTTTGTGTTACAAAAATAAACTTATAAATTTAATTATTTCTATTTCATATTAAAATGTATTTTTGGCATATAAATAAATATATATGTGCAATAGGGGTATTCAATGTTTTTTAAATAGTGATTTGCACAGTGGATATATTAAATTCAATTGTACATAGCAATGTTCTTGAATTTTTTGCTTTCTCCAAATTTCAATAGCAATAATATACAGTAAGATGGACTGAATTTTTCTATTTATTGTACAAACATGTTAAAGTGCTGTTTTCGATAAGTTGTAATAAATTCTGTTTGTATTACAGCAATGTTTTTGTTTAATTCTTAGCATTATTTGTTACAGAGTTCTTGGTAGAAATCAGGATTGTCTTCTTTAATCATCTCGTCTTCTTGTATCTTACGAGCACAAGCGTAATCTTCGTAAAAGTTACGGGAATTGATAACCGAAAGCCCAACTGGCAATTCGTACTTGCTGTAAAAAGCACCCCACGTTGCAACACCAAGTAGATAATTCTTTTCTGTGTTTACCACTGCACCGCCTTCTACGCCATGATAGGAACTGCATCTGTTCTCGTCGTGTCTGTAGTCGTCCAGGGTACAAGAATGGTAGCAGGGCACGTTGAAGTCACCCATAAGGTTGTTGAATGTAAACACTTCGTTGCACAAATGTATATCTATAAACACCTCCAGTTCGGTAAGGGGAAAGTCGGAATAAGTGGAACGTATTATGTGCGATCCCTGAAAAGGTTTTATTCTAATTAAATATTATTGAGTCTTGGTATAACGGATAACAATTGGGATGATATTTTAGCGTCTAAAAGGCTAAACAGATTTTGATTGGAATTACAAAATTCTTTGTCGTCTAGACATAGGTGAAATCTATACATTTCATATCTCCCCGTGACCGACCGGATGCTGCAAAGTAATAAGTTCATTTCGCGTATTAAACCGTTAAGTGTTTAATATTGTGTACTACTCGCGTAAAGTACAGACAGCACTAACAAAAATGTAGTTCATATCCTCAAAGCAATATTTTATCTAGAAACCCCCACCTTATTAAGAGAATATCCTACAACTTTGTATGTGTCGATGAAACGATTGTTCCTGAACCACTTATATACGTTGTCTGTTCGGTTTTTGTTATACAGCTGTATTGTATCCCAGACTCCTTCATAGTATCTTTTATGCACCACTATAAAGCCTATGTCATCATAGGCTTGCTTTGTCCCGTTGGAAGGCAAAATAAATGCTTTGGTGTACAAATTATGATTTTTGTAAATAATTGTAGTATATGTAACGTGCAATCTGTAACGGGTACAAATGAATAATTTTACCAGATTTCGTTTTCAGCTATTTAGATCATGCTTTTAACTATAGGTATCAAAAGAAAGTCTCCTAGTTTCAAGATTCTTGTCTTCGCCTAAACATTTCTTTATTAAGACGGCTTAACTTTAAGTGATCTTACTTCTTACGTTGTAATACACCTTGCCGCCGTAATAAATATTTCCTCTTTAACGCAAATAGCAGTACAAACATGTGGCTTGTTCAAGCTTCTGGAATGTATAACACGAGCTATCCATGGATATTTCACCTCCGAAACTAGTGTTGCATTAACTTCATAGTTCTTTAAAGGGGGAAAGACTAAAAAAACACAATAACCTGTCTAAGTCATTCCTCAGGTAATACTTTTAATGTATATAAGAAACTTACACGTTTTCGACAAATTCAAGTAGTTTTTTTCGGTTTCGTCGCGCCTAAAGCTATACTTTTGCCAAATAATGTCTTCAAAATTATCCGTATAATCTCCGCCGGAACAAACACCAAACGCAAAACCCATAAAATATAACTTATCCATTTCGCAATATAATAAATATTTCACAGCACTTTACTGCTATCGCGAAACAGTACATGTATAGCTGTTAATGTTTTTCATATGTCAACCATTTAATAAATTAACAACTACCTTTAAAATATTAACAGTTTTATGAATTTAACTAAAACAAAGTTATATAGGCATGTTTAATAATACATAATTAGAATACAATATAATTTGACTTAAACAATTTCGTATTTATCTGGGTGGAAGGAAATCTCTTGCGAGAAATCGACGGGAGTACCGTCATCAGCCTGCACCACTTTGCCTGACGAAATCAGAGCGAGAGATGTGTCTGACGTCCACGTAACAGTCAACGGGAAGAAGTCGTTGGGAATGGCCGGTGTTACACTATAAAAAAGAATTTGTAATTAACTTTAAAATTTTAAAAGGCCACTAAATAAAATAAATAGTTTATGTTAAGCAGGGCAGACGAGTCAGATCAATTACCCGCCTGTAAATAAAAATCGACCAAATTTGCTTTTTCTATAACAAATATATAGTAGTGTGTACGGTTTAGCAATTCATATATACTCACGTAAATTCCAAAGTCCCTGATTTCTGTTGTTTGTTGATAAGTGGAATGTTCCAGACGAGTGTTCGTCCCTTCTGTGTGTAACTACCCTCCCATTGATGCACAACTAGCGAAGTATTGCCAGACCTAGCAAAGTTGCAATTTGTAATCCATGAAGACGAATTATAAACACAGAATTGGTTAGGGTGGTGTTATGATAAAGATACTTACGGCATTGGTATATTTATATTCACGTCGGCCAGTACAAGATGGTCTTGCTCTAATTCGTATTCAATGTTTACGTCGCATCCACCACCAGTACCCTCAGATGGCCAGCAGTTTACTGACAAACAAAATTAGTTGATATAAATTTAATATATAATTTGATACCACTAAAGGAGTTGCGAGTTTATAAAATATTTTTTTTTGCTTCTAATGGCCTACTATTGCTGACAACTTTTCAAGAATCTAGCGACTTAAAGTCACATTATTTAAAAAAAAAAAATAGTTCCTTTTTACTATAAGGTAATCCTTAAATTTTATTGAAGTAAAAAGTTGCACATCCATTTAAGTGCCAAATAATACCTGAAAGTGGAGGTCTATCATCATTAGCGGCCGCCAGTCTCCACTTGAGAACACCAACATCACTGTTCATAGGGAATGGTCTCTGGGCTTGTTTTAGACGGATTATTCCCTCCGATCTGAATGCTTCCTTATCCACATTGGGGTGAGTCTTTAAAAAAAAGATTTTTATTAGAACACAAAAAAGATATTAAATAACGTAATATGTACCAAGTAGAAATACATGCACATGAAGACTTGAATCAGTTATTAGTCTTTAATTTATTACCTGCAACTGGAGTGGACGAGTATCCTTGTTGTTGACGTGTACATGTATACGTCCATACTGTTCATTGGTTATCCGTAATGTCAACAACCCTGACAACTCAAAGTTTTGTATATCTCCATCACGACCTGCTGTCAGGTTTAGACGTTCTTCGAAGCGTAAGTGAACACTATCAAAAAATAAAATTATTATTGTTTCCAATCATTATATTATATACATTAATAATTTGTAATAGTGATTAATCATAGCACTTCATTGTGTGGAACATTGTGTTCCAATTGTTTTAGTGTGTAAATTTGAGGGTAGGCACAACAACTCACTCCTTCTGATCAACAGCAGGTATTTTCTCCACTTTGGCAACAGCAGTTGGTGTATTGACAATCTTTTCTCCTTCTGTCTGAAGTCGTGACACGAAGCTATCAGCGTCAGTACCACGAGAACCCAGTTTCATAGCTGAGCGTGTTGTTCGACTAAAATAATATTTCACATTAAAAAAAATAATGAAAACATTTGTTAAATTGAAAACTATTCAAACTATCATCTTTGTATTGAAAAACTAATACATTAAAAGACTTACGCCTCTTTAACGGGTGTGGTCGGTATCTTCTCTATCATCGGTTCACCACTGGACACTGATGTCATTGTTGAACTTCCAAAACCAGTACCTGCAAGAAGACTCCTACATTAATTCATAATTGTTATTAAAGCATATAACCAAAACATTGGTTATTTAGATAAATAGTTAACAGAATTCAAAATATAAGAGTAACTGAGAAAAAGCGCGATATATTAATATATGTTAAACTTATTTGAAAATCATAACAGTCTCTACAAAAATGTCAAAAACACTTATAAAGAAACCCAACTAAAATAAGTATCACCGTGTATAAGATAAATTATCGTGACAGAGGTTTAATGAGGTGCATATTTACGTGAATTTTATAATTACAAAGACAATATGTACCGAATGATTTATGCGGTACACCAATATATCTTCCCTTTGCCGATTCCAGCCTCTCACGTTGCAACTGTTTCGCTTTTTCACGCATACGATTAGCAGCCTCGCGTTCTTGTGTCTAAAACATACATATGTACAACAACAAAACTTTTAACATTCTATTCCTACAGCCATGTGGAAAAAGGACGATTACCTGTCTAACAGCTTGATAGATCTTCTCTTCATGGGAGTCCATTTCTACAAATGATCGCACCTGTAAAAGTCATCTCTTTTGAAATTGAGTTCCATTATACTAGCAACATTTTGATTTTACAAATGCTATTCCATGTGATAGCTTCTAAGAAATTAAGACTATTTAAATTGACAAGCTATCACACCCTAGATGGAACTCAACACTACAACCATACTATTCTCTACTGTTTCTCTACTAACCAGACAGTGTAGCACAATAAGCTATTTGAGTTTATTGTAATGTACAATATAGTCTCTCATTTCCTAAAGACATAAGTAAGAAAGTTACATAAATTATTCTTACAATCTTTACACTTTTATGTTGCTATTTGTTACTACCATAATCTTAAGTACTTACCTGTGCCAAGTTAACACTCTCCCTGTAACCAAGAGCTACAATCTCATCAAAGGCAAATAGCAGATTGAATGCTTGGTTCAGAACCTCTGCTTCAGTTAATTGCGTGCAGTATTCAGGCACCTGAAATTGAAGGTTATTTAAATGAAAACCCCCTTTTTCAAAATACTGTATACATATATGTAAAACATTTATAAATAAAAGGCACATACCACTCTGCTAAAAAGTCTCAGTGTCTCCAAGTCTTCTAAGATGTTACTGGCTTTAGTAGTGATTAGCAGCATGTATAGTTTATCAAGTGGTTGATACACATATCTGAAAAAAATGACTAATGTTCATACTAATGAAGTGTTAACTCAGTGTAAATAAAAGTAATTAAAGAATAAAGGAAATTCTTAAGAATAAAATAAAACTGTAAATTAGGTATGTAACATCATAATTTTCAGTGTCAATATATCAAAGCTAATATATAAATACTATTAGGTTATATTCATTAAAGCTACATATTTCAATGAGTACATCCCATTTCGCCTAAGTCTGACACAGGGCAACAACAGGCATATTTCTAAGTTTGTATCTATTTTATTACCAGGCAATTAGTTGATTAAACTCTAACAAGGTATTTGTTGTGTTACCCAGAACCTCTTCGAAACAGAATGACATACAATCTGATGATTTGTATAATTTTTTTGTGCTACATACCTAACCGACTCAGTTTCGACAAACGTATGTTGCCTTCCACCTGTCATGAGCTTCGGAAAAGCTGCTAACAAGCCTTCTATACGGGCTTTCGTCATCTCCACGAACTGACGTGACACCAGAGCTAAAATATTAAAGATGCAACTTATAATTGTAAGTCGCATAATCATACCTCTGGCTTAGTTAGAGAAAAAACATTACCTTTTCCAGATTTTGTGCATACTGTAGCAGCGATAAGCACCTAGAACAGTCGAAACATTAAAAACAATTAAGAAGTAGTAATGAAAAATATGGATAACACTGCGTGATTTAGGAACTTGCCATTTTGCTTGTTAGTTATTTTATCATTTAATATTGCACGGTTCTATGTTTTAATAACATACAAAAAATATATGTCCAACAACTTTTTAATTAAATTGGATATTTGCAAATATGTATGGAATATTCAAGTCTGACAGTTCCTAGGTTTGACAGGATGACGTGTACAATATTACACATATGATATGACAGAATATTCCGTGTTCTCATTTCCCGACATCTGCAAGGATGTATATTCTGTTGGTATGATTATACCGTATAGTCTATCAGCAATTTTTTTCCACTGCCTTAAATATATTTCACTTTGTGTTAGTTGACAACAGATTGACATTGATAAGAATGTCCGCTGACAGATGTATCAAGATAAATAATTTCATATAATTTACCTATTTCGAAAATTGAAATAAACGTATTTTCGTATTTAATTCCTATTTCTTTCTAAAATATATATTTCTGTAACTTTGTTTGAGACATAAAAATCTATGAGCAACAGAAAATTACTGCCAGATTGGTTTATTTCATAAGGAGAAGCATGCTAGGCAACGTTTAGTGGTGAGATCAAAGTGCCGTTTCACAAAGCAACACACTGTGGTGAGTGATTTCTACATTTTTTCTGTATCGACTTGAACACAACAGTACTTTGAGTCACATGCTCATTACGCGTTACCATATTGTTATTATTTCGGCTAATGGTCAGTTATTTGATTTGCATACAATACGTTTTCCTCTTACATTGATAATAATAGTATTGTCGTTATAGTTAAATATAATGTCTGACAAAATAGTGATACGGATTAAGTAGATACAGTGATTTTATATGCATTACTGCAATAAGTGCATATATGGAAACAACACCTCTACTTAGAAATGATAGTGAAGACGAGGTATGGTTTAGTTTTGAAAAGTTTTCTATGCTACAGTTAGTGGAAATTATATTTATGTATGCTAAAGTATAATAATGTTTCTGAATCAAGGGTATAAATTTAAAGTACAAAAGGAGAGTATTAGAGATAAAACTTTATAGATATACATTTTTTTTTTGATATGGCATGTCTTTTTTTAGGAATAAACAGTGTTGAATATATTATGTATTTATCTTGGGTCGCAGCTCCTATTATATTTTTTTATGATTATTATTATGTTATGATTGTTGTTTATCTTTCTTATTGTCTCTCTTTAATGTAGTTTTGTTGCATTATTTAAATAAGTATGACTCCTCTTTATAACATATCAAAGTGATTTAAAAAACTAAGGTCATTATAGAATAATTATAAGCATCACTAGTGATTTTTAAATAGTACACAATATTCACAGTCCCAGAATTAAGAAGTATGAGTAGAAATGAAGAAATGTGATGCACATCATAATACTGAGCGTGTGACAAGAGAGCGCACTGCAAATGATCGAGATCCACTGATTAAGCCCCCAATCGCTATACCTGAGGATCCCCACGATAATCAGAATTTAGTAAGACTAACACAGATAGCACTCGGCCGTCTAAGTACAAATGTTCATCATACTATTATCATGATGAGTGTTACGCTTATTCTGTCACCACTGTACTAGTCTTACAGAGAAAGTGAATTTTAGTTGATCAAAGCATGTCTGGATGCTATTGTTTATTAACCTCTTATCAACTTATCCTGATAGTGAATTTAGTCTTTTAATTCCATGTTTTACTGCTATTCCTTGGCATCAACTGAAATTCTTCTTGTAAGAGATATTAGCACACTTGTAGTTAGTATTTAGTGTGATTGGCTGAATGTTAAAATTGAAAAGATTCATAGCTTAGCTGTATAGGAAATGCATGCTAATTAATTGTATGGTTTTTATAAGCATGGTAATTTTTAGTTTATTTATGTATCAATTTAAGATTTCACATTCTGGTTTATTTATTTCAAAGAATTGTGAACACGGGGATATTAAAAAACAAATCAGCAAATATTTTCATAATAAATATTACATTTCTAAATACTTTGTGACAATTTAATATTCATTTTCTTAAGCAATTTTTAATAAGTTATAGTTTGTGTAATTAAAAATAATTACGTTGATGACAAACAAATGACTGATTTCAAATAATTATCAAGAACAATGCACTTGTCCAGTTCTACATTATGGTCAGATTAAGTTATGTCTGATAATAATTCGAGCACAACAGATTAGTCGAGATAAATGGCATCCCTCTAAGCCTATCTTATCTGTGTCCATTGAAAGGCAGTCAACAGTCTGTGTAGAAAATATAATTAGCAGCTATCTTTTTGAATGTGTTATAATTTTTTTAATGTTTTGAGTGTTTCGTGAGGAAGTGATTAGTTCAATTTTTAATATGAAAAAGAAAATTTATATCACCAAACTACCAAAAAAGGTGTGTCTTCTACTCAATTGTGCAATTTACGTAAAAAGGATGAGTAAATTAAACATATAATTTAAAATCTCTTGTCTGTACTCCCATACAAACATCTCGTAAAATATAGTTAAAAGTTAATTTGAATTTATAGTTGAATCATTAAGTCTTGAAGTTTTGTGGAGTTTCCGGGAAGACAAAACCGTTAAAGTTAGTATCCTACAAATATAATGTGAATGATAATATTTATTTATTGGATTTTTTATGGATTCAATTTCGGTATCAGTTCATGGATGGTCTAGCAAAGGATATTTTTACCCATAACAACAATAATATTGAAATTTCAACCGGTTCAAGGACGTCCATATCAGCGTTCCAACCACTAATTATTGTAATAAATTATTAAGACAAGGTCACAACTAGCCAGTAATAACTTTAATTATGTAGACGTGTGCTCCTTTTCTCATAATTACGAGAATTCAATACAAAGCATTATTCTTCGCATCGTGTTCATGACATTAGATACAGAAAAAATAGCTTTTTAGGGACTAGCCTGTCTTTGTGGTGCAATGGGGTCGAATCCTGGGAAAATATTATTTTATTCGACCACGAAAGTCGAATAATAGACGGGCTAGTTGGTAATAGTAATGAATGGCTAATAATTAAAATCGATGTCGTGAGTTCGATGTCCACCGGGTCCGATATGGTTTTATCTATCATAAAAATTAAATAATTTACCTATAATAAAATCTTTCAGGGTAACGGACACAAAAAGTGTGGTTTTACAAATTGTTTTTGATTACCAGAATACATTTGAAAACTTTAATATTTTTTACAAGTTCCTGCACATGAAGGCACTATATAATTTGAAAATTACGTACGAGAGAAACGCGGTAAAAGCAACACTATTTTCATTTATTCTTAATTTAAAATAAAGAAGAAGTATTTTGCATTGCTCTCCATAATAAATAATGATATTTATAATTATTAAATATTCAAAGACTTTAACGTCATATTGAATTATTTCAAAACGTCGTTAAATATCCCTCAACCGTTAAAAAGTAACGTTGTACCGACGCGATTGATTTTTATGCCCACGCCATGGCAGCCCTTGAAATGTCTAATTATCTCCTGTCTTTTGATGTCGGTCAAGTTATTATGTCACTGATATTAATCAGCTGCCATCAATTTTGGAAACAAGTGTATATATAAACGACGGCAAATATATTCATTAATTTAAGCCTAATTAGTAGATCTATAATATTTAATATCGTTACATTTTTGGTACTCAAGTCTAACCTGGTGTGCAGCACATAACAGTTACCATGAGTGCTGGAATCGATTCCGAAGTACTTAAAGAATTTGCGTGAAACGGAAATATTAATTTAACAACAAAATAGTGCTATACTATTTTTGGATATAATATGAGGCCGCTAGAGGTAGAGTAGCCTAACTGTGATTTTTCCCCTATGTCCGGAGTGCAGAGGAAGTGAGGAAACAAGCATCCATCTACTCACTGAATGCTCTGCGTACTCGAGACTAAGGCAAATGCATATGGGTTCGGACGAAGTTACAGAACATGACATCAAAGAACTAAAGATGGATTAAATAGTAAGATTCTGCAAGCAACCCGGAAGGTTTGAAGGGGACACGGTAAGAGTTGGATATCCCTAATAATCGGCAAGGAGGAAATGGGGTAAACTAGTCAGCTGATAGCGTGGACTATAGAAAATAATAATAAACTGTAATTTTATGTTTTTCTACAAGAGCACAGTGACCGAAAATGGTTAACATAATTCTTACACAAATATCAGTATAAATTCATTTTCGCATTAGTTAATTGCGCATTTTTATTTTCCTCCTTATTGACCATGTTTTTTGTTATTAGGCCACTCTGCCTCTAGCAGCCTCATATAACATATAAATATATATGTAGATATAAACTTTTGTAATACAATACTTTTTGGATTGTACAAGTTGAATGCTTTATAAGATTATATAGAACCGTTAACGCTATCACAATTTCAGTTATTTGTACATCAATAGATGCCCTTTTTTTGCTTGGCACTGTTTCAAGCGAATGCTCTAGCTAAAGGTTAAAGCTGAAATATCATCTTAACGACACTTGACCAGAAACGACTGCTTAAAGCGTTGTATTTTTCTACGCGGTAAATGTAAATTTTGATTTTCCTATAATATACAACGACCGTCATAATCGCGACGGTTTAATGCATTTAGTTTAGGGCTAGCGGTCCTGTGTCGAATTTGAGGAAAGATGGAAGTTTCAACTTTCAATCGGAATAGAAGTCTGATCATGAAGACACATGTTACCCAAACAGGAAAGGTTCTAACTTTTAAATATGGCATAATCATTAACATTAACATGAACTCAACTGAACCCGCTATTACAGTTTGGCAGGTTGAACATTTTATAATCCACACACACACTACAATCATTAGTATTATACCTACACATGTTTACGTTTAATTTATTGCAAAATTTACATCGCCTTAAAATGTTACTAACAGTGCTTTAGCAAAATTCGCTTTCGATTTGTCGTAAATTCAAGATGTACGTTCTTATATAATGTATATCTTTTCCTTTAGAATTTCAATTAGTGATAACTGCATAATTACTCCGCTGGCAATAAAAGAGCGGTGATTTGAGTGTATCAAGTAGTGTTTTGAAGGCGACGGAAGAAGTAAGATGAGCTTTAAAAATAAGGTCGTTATTGTCACTGGCGCCAGTGCAGGCATCGGAGCTGCTATAGCGATAGGTTTCTCCGAACAAGGCGCCAACACAGTAATAGTTGGAAGGAATCAGGATAGACTCCAAAAGGTTGCTGAAGATTGCAAGAAACATGCAAGAGTACTGATTGTCAAAGCAGATATTTCAAAGCGCGGTGATATAGACAAAATCATGAAACAAACTATCGAGGAATTCGGAAAATTGGATATCCTCGTGAACAACGCTGGTATTTTTCGTAAAAGCAGCCTCGTAAACGGGTTTTCGGGGCCTTTCGAAGAAATAATGGCTACTAATTTACGATCAGTTGTAATTCTTACCGAATTGGCATCACCCCATCTCATCGCTAGTAAAGGCAACGTTGTTAATATTTCCAGCGTTGCGGGAAGAAAGTTGTTGACCGCCGAATATACGGCATACGGCATGTTGAAAGCGGCTCTCGATCATTTCACTAGGGGTGCGGCTCTGGAACTTGGGAACCATGGTGTTAGAGTGAACGCAGTGAGTCCAGGTCCTGTCAAAACGGAGATATTTGCCCTCGCTGGCATAACAGTTCCGTACGAGGAAATGGGAATTAAGACCATCATGAACAGGTGGGGTGCCCCCGAAGAGATTGCGAATCTTGTGTTATTTGTAGCCAGTGATAAAGCGACGAGTATTACCGGTTCTAATTTCACATCCGACAACGGTTGCTTGTTGCTGAATTGATTATTATGAACGTTTACTATTGTATCAAAAATGGCTGCAGTTAAAACTCTTTTAACAATAGACTTACTTAAATTTTTATATCTATAAGAGCAGGTATTTTCTTTAGTATGAATTATACTAATAGCGGCAGGTTACTAATTTTTATGCAAAAAGCAATTCGTTCGTATTTTGCTCGTTAATTTGTTCCCAGCATTGTTAGTTTTACTTATAATTGAGAGATAATTTTTATATTTGCTAATTATAAGAAATGGATCATAAATGTTTATGTTTTAGATGTTTGTGCTAATTGTGCGGTTTAATAAAATTTGTGAATTTTGTGACTCTATATTTGCCCTATTTGAGTTTGGCCTTCGCCTGAAATGGGTATAAATCACATTCCAGACATAACTTTGCCATTATAGTCTATTTATTATCTCGTAAAGGGCGTAAGGTCAATGTGCCATTAGGAATTTTTCAAAACGATCTTGGTTATTAGGAAGAAAGAAAGAAAGAAATTATATTAACTAACTCTCTCGAAATGGTATAAAAATGTGATTATCAATTTCAGTTCAGTACACCACCATCAGATTGAATTCGATCTTAAAACTCACAGTAATCTGATCAGCTACTTGCATATCAATAGATAGTAAAACGGACACGGATATGTGTCCGTCCTTTTTAGATGTTCAAACTTTAGACTAACGTTCTGTGACCAAGGGATGCTACAATTTAGTAGTACTAAAAATATATTATACAATTTCGGAATAACCTAGCTGAAAAAATCGCTGATAATTTCACAGATTAAACATGATGAAAAAGCTCTCGTTTGCAAGGTGACGGCACTTGACACTGATCATTCGTTTCACCGGCTTATCTTTGTGTGCGGCTTTTGATAACGAAGTGGAGCGAACCGCGGGCAAAATACCATATTATTTTATGTGGGTGCTACTAAATAAATATTTGTAACGTGTAGTCTTAAAAAATGACTTACGTGTGTAGACGTCTCTTCTATTAGTTTAAAAGGGCGAGTTATAAATTTTAAGTACACGTTACTGTTAAAAATGGCACTACTTATTGTTAAATCATAAAGATAACCCTTAATGGTTAAAGTATTGCTTGGGTTAAGCGCAAAAGGTCCTAAGTTCAAATCCCGGGGAAACAATAGATTGTTTCCGTCGGGCAGGTCAAAGAGTCTGATATCTACTTTTAAATAAAACACTTTCACATTAGTTAAACATATTTGAAAATTATTTTAACTCCAGCCCGACGTGACGGATGTTTTTGAAATACGTTTAACTAGCAATATTGCGTTTTAAACTGTTAGTGTTTTATTTAAATTGTGTACTACCGGCGTAAGCTACAGACAGTATTTTATGTCTACTTGCCTGTAAATAAAACCAATCAGTGAAACGTTCAGAGAAATGTATTCGCCCCATGCCCCAAGGGACAAAACGCGATTACACTTTTTTAAGTTAAATTTAACGGTTACGTAAATTAAGTATTAAGTAGGTATTACGTATTAAGTTAATGTTGGCATAACGCGTGCCAAAAAGCCTACGACGTATTTCAACGTATGAAACATACAGATGCGATTACTTGACCACTGCTATATACCTATACTAGCGGCTCTGGCCCGGCTTCGCACGGGTAGATATAAATAGGTACAGATATTTAAATTATAAGCATGCTAATTAAAACGACCATGAATTTAGTGAAATTAGAAAAAAAATGTATTGCGTGTCCTAATTGTTAACGACCTGCGAGCGTTCAGTGTTAGAGTCCCGTGCATGCGTTCGCGAATTCCTAGCTCTATTTCCTTCAAGTCGCTGCGACGATCTTGCATTTTGTTCTGCAAGACGAAACTGAACAATCGACGATCATTTTAGGAAGAAGACTCCAATACGACGAATTTTAGCTAATCTCGCTTGGGAACTATTCTTAGATAGCTGCGACGTTCTTCTTCTAGGCATATTGCTATGAAGGATATTTATTTTAAATCAGATAAATTAAGAATAAAGTAATAATAATACAAAAATATTTATTCAAAAGATAGTTCTAAAAAGAACTTTGACAAACATTATGCAAAGTGTGATTGCTAATACTAAAACTAAGTAGCTTTGAAAGGAACTTTTTAAATGTAGCAATAAAATTTAAAAAAAAAACTCGAAATATTCAATGTCGTTCGCGCCCACTGCCCCTCTATCGTCGAATTAGTTACTCGATGCGCGGCGTGGTGGCCGCCGCCGGCATGTATTTTTATTTTAACTTCATGATATCTTTTGAATGGAATGTCCGATTTCAAAATAATCATCAGGTATTGAGACAGTCTTGAATATTAAGTTATTTATTAGGATAAAAATTTATTAATGGTACGGATAACACGGTCTGATTTTGATCGGCATTTCTATTATTTTTTTAAATGTAAAAAAGTAGTTATAGCGACGTAACTACAATAATTAGACAAATGCTCTCGTGATGTTTTTTGTAGATATTGATATATTCTATAATATTGCCAAACATTTTTTGTGCTATCATTAATACTTTTCGCAGCGTATGCGAAGAAAGATAATAGAGAGAACATCGGTCCAGTACTTTTTGAGTTTATCCGTTACCTACAACAATATAAATCTTTCCTCTTTATAATATTAGTATAGATAATAAAAACTGCTCCACGCGTTATCGATCTTATACTGCGTATTAAGTAAAGGTTAATACACTTCGTATTTATAATTCATTCGAGATATTCAGATAGTGTGTTATCTACGAATTAAATCATCTAACGTATCTTGATAACAATAAATATGTATTTGTTTGATAAGATTATAAATAAGATATTAAGATTATGATCAAGACATTGAAATAAAGACTATATTTATGCAAACACTTATTTCTGTACTATTTGCTTAAGGAGAAGAAAGAAAGAGGGAAGTAGTTACGTAATTATGTCTCTGTTTCGTATTAGGAGGCAATTCTCTCAACGGGTTATATATATTTGTCTTAGTCGAAGAATCACCCCCAAAAATCATTTGACCTTTATTTGACATACCTACTTTGTAACCGACATCTTTACTAATATATAAAGCTAAAGAGTTTGTTTGAACGCACTAATCTCAGGAACTACGCGTTCGAATTGGAAAAAACAAAATGGGAAAATTATTCATCATAATGGGTTTCCGAGGCATACGCTGCAACAACGGTTCAAGATACCCAAAAAATACGAAAGAATGGTTCCCCTTTAAATGATCTAAAAAAAGTCCGCTACGCTATATATATCTATCTTTTAAGATTAACTTGCAAGAACGAAGGGAAGGGCCGCGGCCGATGTCGTGGATAACAGCTTAAGTTTATAAAGATGAAGGGGTTTGCAAAAAGGAATTTGGATGCCCAAAATAACTATTTTACGGACGAAGTCGCTGACACAGCTAGTAGATCATAAATCTTATTTCACGATTTCTTTAACTACCTTCGTAATGAATGCAGATTATTCAAACACGTACTAGCAGTCCTTGTAAAATAACTAATGAGGTTGTTACAATTATGACGCTAGTTCGCCCTTAGCGAAAAATCAAGTTCACCGAAAATAAGTTGGATTTAATCCATATTTAAATAAGTACGTGCTATTTTCTTTATTTAGAGGAGAACGGACAATCAAAAGATCAGTGCGTTCAAACAAACTCTTTAGTTTTATATATTAGTAAAGATGTAGGTTACTAAGTAGTATGTATGGTAAGTAGGTATGTCAAATAAAGGTCAATAGAGTTAAATGATTTTCGGGGGTGATTCTTCGACTAAGACAAATATATAAACCCGTTGAGAGAATTGCCTCCTAATACGAAACAGAGACATAATTACGTAACTACTTCCCTCTTTCTTTCTTCTACTTAAACAAATAGTACGGAAATAAATGTATGCATGTACAGTCTCTTATTTTAATAACTTAATCTTGATGATAGTTGAAATACCCCAGTCATATAACATTCTAAAATAAACGCACTGTCGGATGACCGCCTTTGGATGTTCACAAATCCACAGATTAAAAACTAAAAGCAATTAAACACCCGTCCAAGCCTTTTTCATCTGTGGACGGTGGTACGTGACGGAGGTAAATTCGATTTTCCCGCCACAAATTTAATATCCAGATTTCTAGAAGTCGAACATGTTTCAGAAAAAATATAAAGTTATTAAAAACATTTTAGACCTGGTGGAGATCGAACCCACGGCCTGTTGATTATTAGACATACATTGCTACCATTACACCAATGAGCTCGTCAAATGTCTATATAGCCTTTCTCGATAAATGGTTTATTTAACACAAAAAAAAAAATTCGAAAGTAGATCCTGAGATTAGTACATTCAAACAAACAAATTCTTCAACGTTATAAAATTAATATAGAGATAGTCCCTATTATTGCAATCAATCCTATTTATTCTCAAGTATTTTTCGTAACTCATGCGCAGCATGTTACTCACTTAACCACATTGTATAGTTAAACGTAAGCACATAAACACTTAGCTTACGCCTTTGTTCTTGCATGTTCTGCCTTTTTAGAATAGTCTTGTCTAGTATAATTCATTGCTAGCATTGTAGCTTAGTTACACAAAAATGTTTCTAGTTGTATGCTTTTTGTTAAGCGGTATTTTATTGAACGTGGGCGTAGTCTGGGAAATACTTGTCTTAATTGTAGTAGGTACAGGTATGATACAAGAAGTATACACTTTTAAATAAAACACTTTAACGGTTTTAAACCCCATTTTTTTTTTTTTGTAAAACTTGCTTGGAATGATTTACCGTTAGGACGGAAATGATTTTCGTTATGTTTGTTTTAAAATATTAGTATAACGTCTTGCTTGGAATGGTTTTCGGGTTGGGGGGAAGTTCCTACCTTGACTTAAGTTAGAAGGTCCTTTCATTATCATTTTTGATATCATAATTGTTTTAACAAATTAAACCCACTTGAAGTTTAAAAAAGTAATAAAGCTATTATTTCTGAAAACTGTTTCTTTCTAACTTGGTTTGTTCTGGGTGTCTTGTTTAACCTATTGTGGCGTTGTAAGGCGATTACGAAGATTAGCTTTTAAGATGCTAACCAACCAGATTTTAAAATCGAAGGTCAATTTTTGATGGCGCTAATGAATCTGTTATAGACTTAATTTGACTTTAGTTAGTACGACATTTTGATCAACGTATGTTACTGAATTCTATCCCTAGAAGGCACAGTAGGGGTGTTTAGTGGTTCTGATACGATTTACAACACTTCCCACGTCACTATTGCTCGACGTGGGTGTGCATTAGGCAAGCAAATCATCCGTAAAAAATGTTGCAGAATGCTTATGTCATTAAAACAAATATCTTTTGACGGCTGCAACTTAGAACTGCAGCTAAAGAAAACTCTTCTGCTAATTCTTTCAAGTCAATTGTATAGTATCCATGGTATTATTATATCTGTAAGGACAGAACACAATGTCCTTTGAATTTCCGTCTACGCTCATGATCAGTATTTGCCAAGAGTGACGCATATAACGTCTAACGGTTGTAATGTGTTTACAGTCGTGCGGCATCTGCACGATGTTCCCATCGTGCATGTCTTTGCTCCCGAAGCGGAATGAGCCGCGACCCCCCAGACCTGGACAAGCACCGGTCGTCCTCAATGTATACGACATGTATTGGACCAATTGGTAAGACATCGTTCGATGTTTTCGCTTCACATAGACAGACAGGCATAGGTTTTACTTGAGGGAAAGTGACATACCCCAGAGCCCAGTCATGTAACATCTCAACACGATGCGCTAACTACCTATATTGGCATTCGATATTTAGAAACATCTGTGTACGGCAATAGCATAAAGATTACAATATAATGATGCCATCACCTTGTAATGGCATAACATGGGGAACCACCTGTCAATTACTACGGTCGTCCAGCTCGAAAAGCAAAGTAGCTTTTCAAAATGCCCGCGAAAGCATCATTCAATTTATATGATTAGAGCGAAGTTTGAACTGTAGGGCTTAGAAATAGTACAATTTCAGGTACACGGCCGGCGCCGGAGTCGGCGTGTTCCACAGTGGCGTTCAAGTACACGGCTCCGAATGGGCGTACGGAGGTCACCCGTACGCGTTCACGGGCGTCTTCGAGATAACGCCGAGAGACGAGCGCGAACTTGGCGAACAGTTCCGCTTTAGGTACCTTCTTTATTTATGAGAAAACGACGAAACATGATGCATTGCTTTAGAGGACTTTGACTTTCGCTAATAAGTGGACTGGAAGGTCTCCTTAAAATTTTCGTAATACTTAAAAAATGTTGACAATGGATTTGTAATTATAATTGTCTATAGTTTACACAAGTAGTATACAATAAATAAAATAATATCAACGGTTTAAAAAGCATTTCCGGTTGACCGAAGTCGAGTCGTAGTAAAAATTTTTTTTTTGTAAACCTTAAAAATGTTTAACTAAATAATACTTAACCATTACAAAATACATACAATAATTTTATTTTTTTTATAAAAATTTTGATTTTGAAATTTACAGACAAAGTGTACATATAGGATATACGGACTTTAGCGAAGAGGAGGTGAGGCGACTCGTCACAGAACTTGGGAAGCAGTTCCGTGGGGATAGGTTTGTATTTTTCAAGTAAATACACTGATATGTGAAATAGTCAAGAAATTAAAACATTTTCATTTTCTAGTTTTAAAATCTAAAATCACATTCTTAATATTTTGATGACATTTAAAATGAGGCGTATAACAATATTTTTATTCACATGTTTTGGCAAATAATCTATGTAAATAAAAAATCCTAAAATTTTAAAAAGAAAAGCGTTCAAAAACACGGATAGAATTCGAACCCGCGGCTACAGCTTTCCGTACTGATGCCAATGTGGAATTTATTCATTAAAAAAAAATATTAAATTAATTTTGAAAAATGTTTCAGATATCACCTAATGAACAATAATTGTAACCACTTCACATCCGCTTTTTGTCTTGTAAGTATATTTATATATGAACAGTTTCTACATTTACAAAAACATAATGTTAAAAAAAAACTACATTGATCTTTTTAAATAAAGGACAAACCGGTTAACCTTCATATAATCAGAATCTGGAAATCATTTAATTATTAACTAAGTAAAAATACTATTGTACATAAATAACTCTGTTGTATGTTTAATTATCCTTGGGTATATTTTAATTTAGAAGATAAATTAAGCATTATTTTTCAGACCGCCTCTGTAGCCAAATGGTTAAACGTATTATTGCCTAGCATTGCGTTAAGCGCGAGAGGTCCTGGCTTCAAAACCCAGGGTAACATACAATTGTTTTAGTCGGGCAGGGCACAGAAGTCTGATCAACTACTTGCCCGTTAAAAGAACAGATCAGTGAAACGGACACAGAAATGTGTTCGCCCCATGCCCCACGTAGGGAAACGGGCTTTCACTTTTTTACTATTATTTTCGAGTTGCCCATAAGTGACAAGAACGTTACTTTACTAAAAGAAAAACAAATTGTCAGTGACTTTGACAGTTTACTTAAAATAATCCTGGCAGCCTATTAAAAAAGAATAAAATATAATTTAATCCAACACTATGAAAAGAGTTAAAAAGATATTAGATTTTCTTTACTACCAGTTCTCAATATAAATATTCTCTTTGGCTACATTGGCGATCTAGTTACGTTACCAGGCCATTAAATATTACAAAAAAAAGATCTAGTTATTGTTTCTGAATCTATTGTCTATTTATTGTTTTAGGCGTTGTGTGATCGCGACATTCCCGCGTGGGTCAATCGGCTGGCGTACGTCAGCTCATGTGTCCCATTCCTCCAAAGATGTTTACCAAAGTAAGTATAAAGTTTAATATATTATCAACATTATAATATATTAAGCGAACACATCGCCAACTAACACTACTACGGAACAGATGGCACTAAAGTAGCAGTTTTTGACATTAGAGACAGTCCACCTTTAGTCTCCTCGAGACCACGGCTGCAGCAAAGCATCCGAAACATCGAGCCGTAGTTAAAATAAAGTCCAAAAAGTTTAACTAATATATATCGCGTTTTAAACCGTTAAATTGTTTTATTTAAACGAACGGTAAAATTGATCATTCGCTGAGACGAGATTTTGTAAAACTTAAACTCCAGAATAACAGACTATTGTTTATTTACATAAAGTATAAGTAGACAATAAGAAAACAGAATATTTAAGCATGTTAATCATAATTGCATATGCATAATGTGACATGTAGCTTCAGCATGCTAATGGCTTTTAGCACTGCTAGCTTTGCTCTTGCTTTGCTTTCTATCTTAACTTCATGGAAGATAAAATATTTCGGCCAACTTAACAAGATGCGCTGTCGTCCTTTTTTTGGTTTAGCATGCCGAAGCGTGGTTTCAGTATGGATTTTCGAGTAACCAAAACGCGATTAAACTTTACTTTTTTATGTGTGAGTGTGGTTCGCGACCCCGAGACGGTATATGAACTATTCAATATTCAGATTTCCAGAAGTTCAACATTTCAGAAATATTATTCTCTTAAAAACCAGGAGTTGATAATTATAATCTGATTCTATTCTATTATAATCACAAAAAATCAATAATCTTACATTCTAATTATTAAATAACACAACACTGAATTATTTAAAAGAAAGATAGATTGACTAATCGATCGAGTCTGCCTTTAGGCAGGTTATCGACTCTACAACATCCGTCGAAATGAGACGCGCACGAGCTTGTCCCTACTACTTTTTATCCCCTCCAAGATAACGTCACTTCAGTAATCCTCTAAGAATACATTAACTTAAAACATATTAGACTCGGCGAGATTCGAATGACCCGTCGATAAATATATTGCTCCCAAATATATTTGACCATTCAATCTTGTCGTGATTGGATTTAGCGTATTCGTATTTGGTAAATCAATGGTAATTGACAGTGATAAATGTTATATTAGGGAATGGTTGACGCCGGCCGCCTTGCAGCAGTCGCTTGCAGTGCACTCCCGGTCCTCGTCGCCCTCCACGCCTCAATAGCACCGTAAGTGACCCGACATGCTCTTCCTTAATCCTCATAGTTATGATATAACTAAACTTCTTTTCCATTACCACACAATCAACTAAACACCCAAAAAAAATCTAAAAAATTGAATCCAACTTACGTTGAGTCTAACGGACTAAAGATGTACCTTAAATGTATTTCTATTTTAATAGCAGTGAAAATAAATTCCATATATTCCTAATTTGATCTTTTCTTTCAACAGACGCGGTCCTGCATTGATGCAGACATACAGACAAAAGTGTTGTGCGATAAATTAGTGTTAAGGTTTAATTTAAGCTAACAACAATTGTGGCGCATTGTCGATTTTTACTTAGGTATGTGTCGAAGCGCGATTTTGTATATTGAGGTAAAAAAGTTATTTATAACATTCGTAGATAGAAGTATCGTTGTATAGAATAACGTGCGCATCTCGGGAGAGATAACTTAAACAATTTAATATTATAGTTGAAACAAAATGCTGCCGTAACGCGTTACGTAACGAAGCGGTATACTTTCATAGATACTTAGATATCGCTACAAAAAACTTTTTTACCTTGTTTTATAACGGCCATTACGGCATTAACAGGTACAAAATCGACGCAACGAATTGACATTAAGATAGTATACTTATAAGATTACTATACACTGTTACTACTGAAAATTTGTTTAAGCCCTAAGATTTATAAGTGGCCTGCGAACTTACAATGTATAGTTTTATGTTGGGGATACCGATTGTTGACTTGGTGATCCAGGTTGACATAACAGAGGACGTTAGGCTGTCGTAGGTAAGTTTGTATACTCCAACTTTTATCTTTTCTTAAACAACATTACTGCTTTATTGTTTCTTAATGAAGTTAGAAATTTAAACAATTATTTATTAGTATGGATGGTATGATTGTGTTTTAATGGTAGGTCCTTTTGTGTACTTTAATATTTATATATTGTTCTTCTGTCTCGTCCCACTAACGTCATCATTTAAACATTGTAATGAATAGTTGTGCCTTAAATATAAGACTAAGTACCGGACGCAGCTATTTTGCACTGAAGTCAATAGCCATAAGTTTAGTAATTTATTTCTGCTACCGCTCAAAGTATAGTTCCTAAAACTAACATAGATACATCTAGAAGTGATTTCGATTACCAAAAACGAAAGAAATTCAAAAATGTGCACAAATAATTAGAATAATTCAATCGACAAAATTTTCTTTAAGCTAGACTAAAAAATTAAACCATAGTTTCCAGTGATTTAGCGTCTGGTGGCGATATAACATCGTTTTTACAATTTGCTATTCAAAGTCTTAATTGTAAATTAACTGTAGTTTTCCGTCCGTTCAATTTCATTATAATATTGGATCATGTCTCATTAAAACCTTTAAATAAAACACTTTAACGATTTAAAACGCGATATATTAGTTAAACTTATTTGAAAATGATTTTTAACTTCGGCCCGACGTTTCGGATGCTTTGCAGCAACCGTGGTCACGGGGAGACTGTTTAACTAATATATAGCGTTTTAAACCGTTAGTGTTTTATTTAAATGTGTACTACTCGCGTAAACTATAGACAGTATCAAACGAAAAAATTCAAAATTATGTAAATAAAGTAAAATTCAAAATTAACCACATTTATAGTTTTACTAGTAACATTGTCAGACGTAAAAAGTACCAATTTTAGTCATACTTGTTTCTTTGAGCCAATCGCATTCAAAAATAATATAATTATATTCAGCGACACTCATTCACCATAATAACATTTAAGTACATAGTTATTTGTAAGTGTTCTAAATAAAGGAAATGTGCCATGTTGTTAAATATTATGAAATAAAGGGCGTTATTAATGTAAATGAAAACTTCATTACTTTAGTAATAAGATTCTCTCTAAAACAGAAACTGTCATAAAATAATAAGACCTAGAGATAGATAACCTAAATAGATCCTTAATGTAACATGTTACATAATTATAATAAACAATTTAACTTGACAATGCGCCAAAAAATATGAAGGTAGTGTGAAATTAAATGAGCCTCATTTATAGTTGTTATTACCAGATTAAAACGATAGATGGCGTTTTAACTATATAGAAGGTAAATACGCCAGGAATTTACAGTTTATAGACGCGACATACCTACAATAAAGATTGTAGGTATGTCGCGTCTATAAACTTTCGATTTGTTGTATGAATTAATCCGTTGTGTCTACGAACAGGTTATTTTAATCGACATTTTGAACACGTATAACAGAATTTAATTTTTATTAATTGAAAACTATTGTACTGTTTAAAATGTAGGTATATTTTATGCCTACTACGGCCTATTTCATAATTTTAGTTATTTTTACCATGTTAACGGACCATATTTTTTCTAAAATAATCTGCCTGCCGATCTAGCTCTCCTTTGCCTCAATGAATATAAGACACAAGATATACTCCTCGGTGAAAACTGGTTTTCTTAAACATACTTCTACAATGGTTCATTTGATAGTGGGAAGTCGCCCTATAATATTAGATTTTTGGAAATTCCATTTTTGTATGTTGCAGTGCTATTCTATGTGGAAAAGGATACCAAAAAAAGGTTTTATAACACGAAAAGTGATCCACAATTTTCGTACCTGTGGTACGTTTTTCATATATTAGATTAGATATTGGTTTGCAGTTTGGTAGCCGTTTATGAAAAATAAGACACCAATCAGTTGTTTACTTATATTATTCTCCCTTTTCTAGGTACTTATTTATTTAACAAGTCCTTATAATTAATATGACTGTGTGTTTGCATTTATTAATAAGCGATATATGAATATGTTCTCGAAACTTAAGTAATGTTTAATTGAAGGTATGGTTCGGAAAAAATCTCTATTTTATTATTTCTATACCTAGTTTAATTGTTAAGTATTTCATTGTTAATAACGTTTTAATCGAAATTGTGAAGTGTTAACAGAATACGTACGACTGAATTGCAGAATACAGAATTGTTGTAAAACGAAAAATATATATCGGCAATAACATTTTGAAAGAATTAATAAAATTGTAAACAGTTTTCATTTTGAAGTTTAATTTCTCTGCTTGTAGCGTGTTTAGCGTTATTAGTGTTTTGACCTAGTTATAGTAATCAAAAGTAATTAAAACCATTTAGTATTAAGTGAAAAGAGTTTATTTAAAGTAAACGTGATGAGGGTGAAAATAACAAAGGATTCAAATAAATTGTGTACCTGTAATCTTTCAGATTCACTAGAGTTTTACTTTACATTTTTTAAAACACATTCTTATTGTTAAAAAATATTTATCGGAGGTTCAGTAAATGACACCTTGATTGCACAACAAAATAAACACTAACGATATCGACAATTCTGCTTAAAAAAAATATTACTTCGCAAGAAGTCTTCATCCCCCTCGGAAGCGGACGTGCCAGGGGCATTTTTTAAAACAAATTATGCTCTAAATAGTTATTCAACGTTACTAGGAATATAAATGAAATCGACAACTACAGTACGTTTTGTCGTCTTGTGTTGCAGTGAGCCTATATAAAGATGTCTGCCCTTGGCGGAAATCAATGTTACAACTCACACTTAAATCTAATAAAATATTTGGTGTCCAAGTTCGCAGCGTGATGCGTATAATCTTATCTCCTACACTCCCCTTTAGCCCCCAATTCTCCAAATTTACTTTAAATACACGAGTCTCATACAGACGTTATATGCGATTATCTAAACGGCTTGAAGTCCCTTCCCACAGCTACCTTTCTACTAGACAAATAATGTTACTGCAGCCAGGTTGTGGAATCTCCATCACAAAGGCTTTATAAATATTCCCATCGTAGTGATCTATTTATTTTCTTATGTATATACTTGGGTGATTAAAATAAATACATATATTGTTTAATTTAATGTATTTTCATCAAATACGTGTCGACAGTAAAAACTATTGACAATAGCCAGGTCGTGTAAACAAACTTTGATGTTATTTCAACATTGTTAATACTTTGTGTTAACTCAAAATGTATTAAGACCATAAAATTGTACATTGTTTCAAATTCGAAACGATATAACTCTTACACTAAACGTGCCCTGATCATGTCTAGTAAAAATCAAATTGAGGCTACAGAACGGTAGTCCAAAGATTAAATCGATAAAAATGAATTAATACAATTCTAGTAATCATTTGAAAATCAAAATCTTCATTTATACAAATCCAATATTTTTGAAGTAAAGACATATGATAATAAGGATTGCTTTAAGACCGTTTTTATCGGAATGTGATTAAAAGTTCTTAATTATCTTAAATAAGTCTCACCAAACTATGATAAACATCAAACACAAGCACTACTTCTAAGAATGTGAAATTAAACATTAGCACAAACATATTTACAATTGAATCACGCGAGGTGTTCTATCTAACAGATATAAGCCGTATAAAATGATATAAAGTATTTTTACAATACATTCAATAAAACTCGCGCAATTTTTTTGTCTCCTCTTTCTAACAATAGTCATATATTACATGCGTTTGCGCACTCTCAAAGTAACTGTAGTTACGTATACTTAATAATAAACTTAAGATATTGTTAACATAAATGTTGAAACCACACTTACCGGTTCACAAACATATTCTAAGAGATACTAATTCGTTTTGAACTTATTTTTTGCTTTCGACGGCGTTCGATGGGTTAGTAGTGGACGCGGCCGCGTTGCCTGGCCCATAATTCTGGAAATTACAATTTTAAAGGGATTTAATCATTTTAATATTCCTTATATACAGACTATAAGTCTACTTTCAATCTTCTTTTAAGTCCTAGTTTAATTGTATAACAATATCACGATGTGCCCGCGACTTCGACCGCGTGGAATAGTTAATTTGGGCATCATATTAGTTATTTTTGCAAACAACCTCTTCAGCTTTGTTAATTATAGCTGTTACCCACGACATCTTCCGGGTTCCGTCGTTCTGGCAAGATAATCTTAAAACATGCTATCGTACACATTATTTAGATCCTTTAATGAGGAATCACTTCTGCAGCATACGCAATAGAAGCCCCCCAAAGAGGAATAATTTCCCCGTTTTTCCCACATTTCTCGCCGTTACTTTATTCCAAGTGATCGAAGCCTAATATTTTATATAGGCTTCCTCGATAAATGGTCTATCCAACACAAAAATAATCGTTTACTGATCGAATCGAAGCAGAAGTTCCCGAGATTAGCGCGTTCAAACAAACAAGCAAACAAACTCTATAACTTTATATATCAGTATAGATTATGAATTAACATAGAATTAAATGATGTTCTCCTCATACGTTTTTATTTTATTTTTAGTCTAATATGAAGTTATATCTCACCTGGTAATACTGAGCCCAGGCCTGTGCCTGGTCAGCGGCAGTAGCACCCCCCTGACCGGTGCCTCCGCCCGATTGATTATACTGTTCAAAATTAATAAACGTAAGATTTATCACTATTGTTAACAATTTATTTTGTTGTTTATATGGCATTAACTAAGTGTAACAGTACACTTTTCTCCTATAAAAGTTGCAAATAAGACAGGTCTAAAATGTTTCTACACCCAACCACAAGCTGTGTCGTGAATTATCTACAAATGAAAAGGCTACAACAGTTTCATATAACCACTGTGGTGTATGTATGTAACTGGTATTTATATTGTGTATTCAAGCAAACTTACTCCAGGCCATCCTTGCTGCTGCTGTTGCCACTGCTGCCACTGGTACCACTGCTGTGCGGTATAATTGCCCCATTGCCCTTGACCTTGCTGCTGACCGGCGGCACCTTTGCCTCCTTGCTGTGATCCACCCTGATTGCCGCCCTGCTGTTGGTTATTACCCCAGCCCCAATTGCCCCAGTTACCCCAACCTGACACAGATTAATACAAATTGTACAAGACTTATGCGTTTATTTTGCACGCATTTTTTGCAAGATGTTCGGTCGTTGTTATAGAAACATCGTAAACCATTTCTCAATTGGGTACGACTAAGCTAAAAATTTAAGACTATGAAAGTTATTTTCTTTTGCGTAAAGTAAGAACATACACAGAATCCAAGACGATGCCATTTACATACATATATGTATATTTATATGGTTTACCTCAAATATCTGCAAATATAAAATTACCTGGATTTTGATTGCCCCAATTTCCCCATCCGCCCCAACCTCCAGACCACTGGTTCCAAGCTTGATTTTGGGATTGATTTTGGTTTTGATTTTGCATTTGGTTGCCTGAGTCCTAAGGAGAAGATAATTTTTAGTTGGCATTGCTACATTTTAATTTTTTTTTTTTTATCTAAAATGTGTACTACTCGCGTAAATTATAGACAGTATCTCAACTTTGTTCAAACGCTATATGACAAAAAAAAAATGCATTCACTTCGAATGTAATACCTTCTGTGGCGGCGGTCTATTGTGTCCTGGTCTGTTGTTACCACGTTGATTTTGAGCTGATCCACGTTGCCAAGATCCTTGTTGACCACCCATAGCGCCACCTTTAAAAATAATAATACTTGCAATAAGTATATGAGTTCGTCATGTTATTATTTGTTATTTACGAATTATTAAATTTATAAATAATAATATATGATGCGATTCCATTTAAATTTTACATCAACTTCTAATCAAAACATTATTATATATTATTATATATTATTATATTCTGTGTACCTTGATTTGGCGGTCTATTGTTGAGTTGTGGGCGGTCACGAGGGAAGTTTCGATCCATAGGACCACGCGGACCGCGGTCATTACGGGGCCCTGCGCCTGGCCCCATGGGACCCATGCCACCCATCGGACCGGGACCGCCGGGACCACCTGGGCCTCCAGGGCCGCCTGGACCTCGTCGGAAGTCACGGTCTCGACCAAAGTCGTTTCTATAAATACACAGATATATATATATTATAAGTCACTTTTAAATTCAATATGTTTTCTTCAGCTTTGTTAAGTCTTTATTTTTTTAGTCTAAATAATCTTATCTTTGAGAAACGACAGAGAAAATAAACAGTCACAGATTGATTACATGAAGGATTTTTACTTACCGTGGCCCTTGCCAGCTCCTTTCCCGCGAGCCACCGCCGTTCCCGGGACCCCATCGTCCACCTCCAGGGCCTCGACCACCTGCGCCACTTCCAGGCGCCCCCCAACGACTTCCTCCACTGCTCCAACGATCTATTGAAAAATAATGTTACGTTAAATGTCATACACAAAATGTTACTTGGACGATTCAGATATAAAACTAATGAAGATCTCTTAATTAAATTGACCACAGTTTATGACAATATCTACAATGACTTTGACACTTTACCTCTCTCCCTGCCTCCGTCCCGTTTCTTGTCGTCTCTTGACCTTCTCCTCTCCCCAGAACGCGGCCTCTTCGAGGACGAGTCCCTCGCTGCCGAACGTTCCCTCTTCTCCCTCTCCTTCACAACTCCCGCCGCCTTAGCTTCCTTGTGATACTCCTCTATCACTTTCTTCGCCTCCTCTTCATCGAGTTCTGCAAATATGACCTCGTCTACGAACGGTCCCTTCTCCGGTAAAGTGAAGTTCGCTGGAAAGAAATATTACAAATGTAGCATTGGACGAGGCTCTCGCGGTATATAGGTTTGCTGTTTACCTTGAAATGTTAAATTTGCGGGATTTAAACTAAAACTTGAATAGTAGAGGGGGTGGGAGAAATCGATTTTCAAGCTAAACAGCATAACCAAGTCCAGTCGGGAAGCGATGGCTCATAATAATCGTTCGTTCGTTCGAACCTTTCATGTCGATGACGGCAGGGTCGGGCACCTCCTTGCCGTCAGCCGTTTCCCTGGAGGCCTGTCTCTCCGCGAGGACCGACGCTTCGGGTACGACGACCACAGCTACTCTTCGATAACCCTCGAATTCTCTCAACTTGCGACGTTGCGCCGAGGGGTATACGTTCGTCTAATAAATATACCGCCGTAATGTGGAACAAGATTTGACGATTATAACAGTGTTCACGCGGGCACCCTAAAACAAGCTCAATAGAGATCTGCTTTCCGCCCGTTTAGTTAACTATCGCTTAAGTTGTAATTTAGCACGTACCTTGAACACGCTGCGAAGAGGCTAAGAAGAAAATGAATTAGTGACACGATTAAGCATTTGAAGTTCTTCGGGACATGACAGTAACGTTAAAACGGTTTCACGGGAGAACGATCTCGATTGTCCTGATAGTGTTGCCCATGATACAAAGGGATTTAAAGGAAGGGCTCTCACCTGATCTAGGATAAAGTTTCGGCGCCGGCCCTTAGCCATTTCCAACAATTTAAGTACGCATTTGGCGCACTTGGAGACCATCGCATCCCAGCGGCCTTCGTAGCTCGCTCGGAACGGTTTACAGTCCACCTGAACACGACACATCCATACAATCCTAGTACTTAACACTTTAGGCTACTTAACGGCTAGCTCTTACTTCCTAATGCTAGTGCAAATAACGATACCAGGGATTCCATGTTGGCTCGACAGACGAATCGGACCTCTTCGAACGACGATCCACTGGTATCATTTATACGGACCGCTATCGGTCATAATTTTTTTTATAAAAAATACTTTATTATTGCACCCTGTTGAAAACACAGACTGACATTAGTATAAAGTATTATGAGCTACACGCTCCACTTTTATGTCAAACCTGATGCTGAAAGGGAAGCTACGATTAGACCTGGAAAGTAGCAACATTTATTTGCATAACTGTAAAATACAGCACTTTGAAATGATTCGATTTCAATATGGTTCATGAAAGAGAATGTGCATATGTGTATGTAAACTGACATACCTTCATCTTGTCGAAGAGTATACCCGTAGAGAGGATGTTGTATCGTTTGTCTGGATACGCCTCGCAGTGTTTCTTGGCCCAGTAAGTTTTGCCCGAGCCAGGCATGCCCACCATCAGAATAACCTGTTGAATTTTTATGTTGTTAGAAAGGATATACAATATATTCAAATCAGGATGAGCTGAGGCATGTAGGGTGTTCTTCTTCTAACTATAATTGTTGTAACAATCAAGTTGCATTGGCTACTTTATTCAGACAGAGAAATAAGGAACACTAAAATTCTTTTATTTTAGATAACCATCACTGCGAGGGATATTGGTTGTGATAGATTTTCAGTTGTTGTTATAGAATTGGGATAAGTGAACTGGTAGTTCTAGACTAGGCTTCTAGTAGGCTTCAGCTTGACCATGAACTTCTCATCCAGAAATCCCCTTGACGCTGCATCTTCTAAGTTTTCAGGTATTTTCTACTCCACACTATGATTTACATATTGTTTCATTTTGAGAAACATTTGTAGAAGATATTAATGTTTGCACTCACCGTTTTGAAATTGCGTATCACCTCCCGTGATATTGCATTTAATCCACGGCTGATGGAGGTAGTTTAGTCCCTAGTTGGCTAAAATATCTTTATAGGCACAAAAATCTAATCTGATGTGGTTTTTTAATTTCATACGCTGCTGCTTTGTAACGCTGTATGCGAACAAGTATTTTTGACACCGATTGTAGTATAGATACTGTCCTAAACTAGCTGTTGCTCACGATTTCATCGCAAACTACACACAAAAAATATAAATAATGAACATGAAATGTCGAGTAGGTGTACAGACAGTCACTATGACATGGTAATATTATTCGTTTTAGTTTTATGTTCAAGTAACAGGTACAAGCAAGTCTCAATGGGCCTCGCTGACAGAAAAAGTAGTCTATAAGACATTTGACGATCTCTAATATTCCTCCGAGGCCAGAGGGCACTGTTTGTCATTATGGATCGTACCTTATACGGCGCGAAGTATCGTCGTCCGCCGGTCAATGAGTACCGGGCGCAGCTAGCCGGCCTAGTAGGAGTTTTATATAAATATTACATTATATTTTATAAACATATATATTTATATGACACATCCCAGCTGTCACTGGATAATGCAGTATTTCAGTACTTCTTTTTATTTTTCTCTGAAGAAACTCCCGTAGGCATCTTCTTAGGAAATGTTGAGATTTTCATAACATTGTAAATATGATCCATCTAGCGAGACCATGCAGTTGAGAGTACATCTCATCACCTATATTGCCACTTATACACTTGTATTGTTCACAAAACAACGATGTTGTGTGATAGCAGATTCGAAGCGTGCCATGTTAAAGGTAACAGGACCCCAAAATCTTAATTCCTTGGTTGTCTATACCCGAGCGATTGTGAACGCAACATGTACCAAAATGTGTGTGAATAAAGATGAAGGCAGTGTCGCACACAGGGTCGTGTGGATTTTAATGTAGTTTACCTCGCACTCGGCGGTGGAATTGGGTCGTCTCGGGCCTTCGACGAGGTCGGCCTGGGCAATCAACACGTAACCAGGTACAAGACAAGCCTCGCTGCCGTCTATTTCTTCTTCCACTGTGTGTCTGCAAGAAAAAATTACTTCTCGTCTATGAAAACAATATATATATATATATATATATAAATATACTAGCAGACCCGGCCACGCGTTGCTGTGGCTGAGCAATAAAATAAAATTGCGACTATAATTAAAAATCTAAACTATCCTATGTCTCAAGTAGAACCAGACTGCTCACGGTGTGCCAATTTCATTTAAAATCGGTTCAGTAGTTTAGGAGTCCATAGCGGACAAACGTGACAGGAGATATATATATATATAAAGATAGGTATTAACGAGTATGTGTTTAGTTTTTTCACCTATAATAAACTTTCATACCTGATGACGAATTTGACTCTCTTGTCTAGAGTGATTCCAGCAAACACCTGCTCTTCACTCACCTCGGGGACGTCACCTATTGCAACCGAATATAAAATTAAGAAGTTTCCTTATCTATGCTTATGTTATCAGGTCAGTGTAATTAAAAATATGGGCCATGTGCGGATAGCAGTATTTTGATATCCATCAAAGGAAATGCTTAATAAGATCGATAATAATGATTTTTGGTCTATTATCATTCTACCATCTATACTAATATATAAAGCTGAAGAGTTTATTGTTTAAACGCGCTAAGCTCTAGAACTTCTGGTTCGAGTTAAAAAATACTAGTAAGAGCGGAAAATGGGGAAATTTATTCATCCTTGTCGCTTTCCGTTGCGTATGCAGCGAATACGGTTCCAAAATCCAAAAAATATATGTGTAAGGATGATCTATCTTTTAAGACTAACTTGCATGAACGACGAGACACAGTCGACGTCGGGAGTAACAGCTAAGATTTTTGCAAAAACTCTAAATAGAGTTAATCTTTTACCCACACCTTAAAATAGATTTAATTATTAGAACTTACCTGAATCTGGTTTTGGTTCTCCATCCTTAGAGGTCTCATCATCCTGAACTTCCATCTTAATCTCTTCTTGTAACGCCACTTCAGATTTCTCTTCCTACAAAAAAAAATATCTACTGCAATAACCATATACATTTATTTTTTAGAATGGAATATAGAATAGGATACGTTTATTCAGAAACAACATTTACAATTAAAACTTAATCCGATACAAATCAAATCTAATTAAAACAATATCAAAAAGTATATAAAGAATTAAAGTTAATACTACAATATAGTAGCTACGTTGGGACTGTTGTCCCAACACTGATAATCTGTGGCCCCTTCAGAGGCTGAGCTAATCCAAGCGAGGTTGTTTTAAATTTTTCTATTGAACTTAAACACTAAATCTTTTAACAAGTATATGTCTGTAATTTTGTTCGCGATCTCAAATATTATGAAACGATTGAGAGTAAATACAAAATTCTGATGTATCTGCCGTCAGTTTCGTTAAATAGATAAACCACATAACAAGTTTAATTTTAGGCAGAAAGTAGTTTTTTAATCAACCAACAAAGATTCCATTTCCTATTCTACTGTAATAAAGGGTTTTTAAGATATAAATTCTCTTGCAGTAAAAAATCGAATGAAGATGAAAAAGGTCAGGTCTGTCTATAATAGAGACAGAGGTTGTCCTTCTTAAAAGTACTACTTACTGCCTCAACCGTATTCTCATTGTTAGTATCCTCCTCTGTCTTAGTTTCGTCTTTGGGTTTATTACCATCAGCCTCTTCATTTTTTTCATTATCTTCATGTTGGTCTTCTTCTTTTTTGTCCTTTTCTTCCTTCTCTTTGCGTTCACGCTCTCTTTCTCTTTCCTATAAATTAAATAAGAATTGCTTAAATCTACTTATATAGTTGGATATTTCTGCATTATTCTTGGTGTCTTTGATATCCCGTTATATATAATAGAAAAGTTGATAGCCATTGATAAAATTCGGGATTTAAAATGATTATTTACCTCTCGTCTCTTTCGCTGTCGTTCCTGTCTCTTCCTAGTCTGCTCCTCTTTTTGTTTTCTGATCTCCTCTTCTCTCCTTTTCTTCTCTTCGAGCACTTCGGCTATGGGTATTTCAAGTCGTTTGCGCACTAGTTTGGTCCGTGTCAACAGGTTGTATCTGTTTATATGATAAAAAAATTTACAAAATTAAAGAATGCTTATGGAATTTTCAAACTTAAATCCTTAATTTCAAATCTGATTAAATATCACATTGAAATGCATAGTGATATGTTGAAGAAGAACATTTGAGTAAAACTGTAAATAAAGGCCTCTTATAGTCTTTTGTCTCATTTAATCGCTATATATCAAAATAATATGAGTAATATTAAATAAAGAAGCAATTCATATATTTCTTTCTTTACTATTTTGTCTGCAGATAGTTAAAGACATACAATCACAAAAAAATAACAATCAAAATGACATACTTTTCAGATCCAAAATTGACTTTGTAGCACATGTTCTTTGTATTAATATGAGGAAAGAGACCTCTTCCCCCAAGAGACTCCTTGTCAAACTCATATGCATTGCCAAGTTCCACACCATTCAATGTGTAGAATATTTTGCATGGGTTAGATTGAAGATCCTGAAAGAGTAAGATTTGAAAAGTCAAAATTAGTTAGTTTTTGTTCAACAATTGATAGACGTATTGTTAAAGCTAATTGTAAAGTGAAAACCTGTTTCCCATATGTGGTATGGGGCAAACTTTATGATGGCTTTTATTTACAAATAGATATACTTCTATTCGTTGCCCATTAGAAGCAATCGTTATTCCCCGGGATTACTAAATAGAGGCTGTCAACTAAATGTATAGTAATTAATTAAGGAATGTAACTCTGCTTGCGATCACAAACATTATGAAACATATGAGAGTAAATACAAAGTTTATTTTTGTACCTGCTTTTGTGAGTGATACGCTATTTGTGGTAGCACTTATTAGACAAACGCAGGATATTAATACATGCTATGTTAAGTTTTTTAAGATATTACAAACTGAATAAAATGCAAGGTATTTTGTATTTATGTGTACCTTGTTAAAAATAGTTTAAACCCCTCAGACCGCACTATCATAGTGAGGTGGATCTAAGCTCTTAAAGCCCTGAGCCCAGTGGAACTGCCTGGGAAAAAGATGAATCCCTCCATTGCACGTAATCAAATATTTGCACGACACAGTACTCACCACATATGCACCAATGACATCCTTTTCATTAAAAGCTTTGCCATACTCCTTGAACTCTCCATTGTTAACAATTCGACCAGTGCTCTCAAAACCAAAGCTAAACTCCCCGTCACCTGCAAACAAACATAATATATTGTAATATTATTACAAACATCTCCTTTTATTTATAAATATGTATTACCACTATTTTTATAAATTCCATCTAATTACTGCCTGTAGTTGACATGAGTAGAACACATTTAAATAAAACACTTTAACGGTTTAAAACGCGATATATATTAGTTAAACTTTTTTAAGAATTATTTCACGGTCATCGGGATAACCACGGCTGCTGCAAATCATCCGAAACTAACTTATTTAACTAATTTCTTTCGCGTTTAAAACCGCTAAACTATTATTTAAAAATTAAACTTTATAAAATGATTATTTTTACAACTAGAATAAATAGTCTTTAACAATATTAAGAGTGACAGAGATTAAATATTGTCTTTTGTTGTATTTATTAAATAGATATTAATTATACTAGATGTAACATGCTCACCTAAATGTAGATTCGAGTCTGCAGTTGACCAGCCAATCCTTACTCCATTGTTGGGGACCGTTTCTTTATCAGCAACTTCATTGGTAGTAACAATTGAGCCGACGCGAACCTAGAATTCAAAATAATACAACAATAAGCATTTTAATAACTAATAAGTATCAAGTTGTTTTAAATAGAATTATAGGAATAATTTGGGTCACCTCAAAGCACACCCTCTGATCTACAACCCCATGTGTAGCTCGCACACCAGCCCATGCATGAGAGAAGGCTCCCTCACTTAGGGCAATAACGGAGTTCAGCTCTGGCAGCTCCAAGTATTGGTTAAGATCACTGTCATCTGAATGTGTATTAAAAAAATATAAACCGTTTAAAACCATTTTTTTTATATACTAATTTAACATCTGTCTAAACACACAGTAAAACCTGCTTAACTGGGATCTCAAGGGACCAAGAAATATATACTAATTATTGAGTGTTTCCAATAATCCAATTAAGCAGGTTTTAAATTATAGTTGTCTCATTTACAGAGACCACGTATGCAAATGACAAATATGTCATAATATGTTAAAAACTGATTAATTTGTCTCACTTATACAAGTTGAGCTAGTCTCGTTTATAGAGGTCAATGAAAAATTCTTAGACGTTTTATATATTATGATAAAATTAACTCCATGTGTTAAAGGCACAGATCACCTACCAGTAAAAATAGTGAATGAATAAAACAGACATAAATATGTGTCTATGTTATAAATACTTAGTAATGTACTCAAGTTTAATATTTAATATATAAAATATACTAACACCATGAAAGAGTCACTTTATTGTCATTCAATTCAGGTTCCACCACCTTCTGTACTTCCTCGTCTTTCTTTGTCAATAATGGAGTGTCCTGTAAAATAGAATAATGCTTATACTCTTATTATTAAATAAGTTTGAGAGGTACAGTTTCAACTATATAAGGCTTTGAAGACAAAACAATAGATTGGAGTATATTAGACATTGACTTGTACTAACTATAATAAATATTCTATAAACAAATATAAACCAATTTTATAACTATCTACCTCTTCTGGTGGTGTAAGTAATTCGTTTGTGACTTCAATAGTTCTGTAATAGTTGCTCCAACGTGCTTTCCTCTCAAACTTGCGCTTTAAACGCTGCAACTTAACGGGGTCCTAAACGCAGTAATGGATAACTTTAGAGTTGAGCTATAACCTCACATAAATTTTAATTTGTGTGAGGTTATAAGAAGGTTATAGTTGAATAAGAAAAGACTTAAATTTGATGACAGCCGAGTCTCAGAAGAAAAATATGAAAAGATGTGTTGGATCCCAGTTAAATTAATACATATATTTTTTATTTCTAAATACATATAATTTAAATAATGTAAGCTGTTGAAACTGTTTTACTTAATGCGTACAAGTTAAGTACAGTCATTGGCTTAAGTTAAATAAGCTAATTATTTGTCTATACAAATTCTTAAATAATGTTTGCATCAATATAACTTGTCTTTGATGATGTGCCTGCTATAAACATGTGAAGCGTTTACTACGGAGACGGAGTGGATAACCATAGAATGTTTCTCATTGTGAGTACCTACCTCACTTAACTCTTCAAATCGTTTAGCATCATCTTCAGCTTGTTTCTTCTCTCTCTCAATTCTCTCTTGCTCCTTGATGATGAGCTTTTCATTTAGAATTCCCCATTCCTCTTCTTCTGTCAGTTCCCTTTGACGTCTCTGTAGTTCAATATATATTTAAATGAACAAAGTAGACTAACCATCAACATATTTATGGGACTAAATAATCTTCAATTTAAGCTTAAATTACTATTTTTATATAAAGAAAAAATATATAAATTTCATTACATCGGCCCATTCTTCGTTTCTTCTTTCTGACTGGCTACTGTTCTCTTCACCATTCTCTTCTTTATTTTCAATTTCCTCTATATTGGTCTCATTTGTCTGTATGCCTTCACGTTGATCAACTTCCATTGGTTCATCTGAATGATGGATTTTACAAGAAATTTAATAAGTAACTCAAAATTCTTTTCAGATAATAATTTATTCTAACGCTGTTATTTTAAGGTTAACAGCTTATAACAATTAAAGTTGTTTTAAGAATATCCTTCATTTTAACATTTTAAATCTCTTGTAAAAGTCTAAAACTACTGAAAAAATTATGAAATCTATCAAGAATACACACATTTTTGAACCATTTGGAAACAAAGTATAGTATAATCTGTGCTAATTATGAATATTTTCACATGCAAAAAGAATTATATATGTTGTATTTACCTATCGGTGGACATTCTTCTTTCACCAATGGTTCTGAAGGCTCTGATGTCTCGATGCTGAAAAATTGAAATAATTTTATTATAAAATATATGATTATTTACCAAACATATACATTGTTTTAAATAAGTAAGAGGTATGCATTGATTTTATATTTAAAAATAGATACATAGGTCTATATATAGCAATATAGAACACTGCAAAGTAGTTATCAGAAGCTATGTTTTAAACTAGAATATATACGTACTTGTTATCTTGGTTATTGGATGGTTCAGGTTGTTGGTCCTTTTGTAAGGTTGGTTCATCTGGGGTGGAAGGTTCTTTAGTTGCAACAAGTTCTTTAGTTGCAACGGGTTCTTTAGTTACAACAGGTTCTTTAGTTGCAACAGGTTCTTTAGTTGCAACGGGTTCTTTAGTTGCAACAGGTTCTTTAGTTGCAACAGGTTCTTTAGTTGCAACAGGTTCTTCAGGCTCCAAAGGTTGCTCAGAAACGGGAATTTCCTTAGTTACAGGTGCTGGTTCTTTTGCTGGTTTCTTAGGAGGTGGCAATTCTTTTACTGGTGACGGCTCTTTTACTTCTTCTTTCTCTGCTATAACTGCAGGTGGTTCTTGTCTAGCAACCTAACGTGATACATAGTCATATATAAAAGAGCATCATCTATTAGAAAAATTATTTATCTTATAGACATATTTTATTATTCAATTTAACCTGACTATACAGTGAAGAGGTTTATGTTATTTAATGTGATTATTCAAAATATGTATGTGAGTAACATATTGGTGTTAAATTTTTGGTTTAAATTCACATCAAAAAAGTGTACCTTAGCAGGAGTGCCTCCAGCTAACCGGGATGACGATGTACGCCTGGTAGTTCTCAATGCTGGCTTGCGTGGTGTATTAACTTCATCAACATCCTCTGTACTTGTGTCTAGTATTGAAGTATCTGGGAGATCTTAAATAAATATGGAGAAATAGGTGAAATGGTTAGCAGCCTATGTGGACTACTAGTACTCTGTCTTCTATCAGACATAGAAAAATATTAATATTTCTATAGTAAAAGGAACCATTTATGAACCAACATTATATTAACAAAGTTGATTATATTAACTATGGTATAAAAGAAGAAATATCAATTAACAGAAAAAAAGTTACATTTAAAAATGTACAACCAATCTATGTGTATGAAAATCTTATGTACACTGAAACACAAACATTTCTTATCACTTATTGAAACCTGTTTAGCTTTATTACAAACTTTACGAGTAACTGATAACATTTTGATTATTGTAGTGATTGCCCCAAATCATACCATAGAATAATGCGATTAATAAAGTTTGTAAGATTAACGTACGTTCTGGAAGAGTATGATGAATAGCAAAAATATAAATCATCATGTTTACAATAATAAATTTGTAAGAAATATAAAAGCCTCAGTTTTCAAATGTCAAATCACAATATCTATTACTTGAGTATTGGCAAATATAACCAAAAATATGAAGGAACATTTTACACGCGTTTTACTTTTAAAAAAATAAATACATTAAAAAATATAGCTTACTTTTCCCAGTTTTCGACTCCAACGCCTTTTTTAACCTCTCCACCAATGCCGGCTTGTTGCCCTTCGTGTCCAAGCCTAGGGCTCCAAGTTCCGATCGTAGATCGACCACTTTCATTTTAGCGGGATCCATGTTGTTAGATAAACAGTTTGTAACCACGAACTTTGATACACAATGAAACACTTTAATTCACAACAAACATTACTTTGCAAAAATATTACAAACTTATGAGAGCGCGAACTTTATCACAATTCAGGAGTTAAGATGGCGTCGAAAATGGCGTGCAAACATGTATGCTATAAACTATAGAACGCATAGAATAAAAATATCGTGCACTTTAACTTACAGGTTATAAAGACGCATTAACTTCCACAATGTTAATATAGAGATCTAACTTTAAATTTTACTGAAATTTTTGTCACGGTAACAATATTATATTACAAATAAATATCATAAAATGAATTGTATAATTGCCTGTTTACATAAGAGGTATATGCCTACAATAATAGTATAATTATTCAAATATAAAAATATATTATATTGTTATAAGTCATTTTGTTGCTTAGTAACGTTCTAGGTTAATTGTTTCTCATTTATTTTATCGTTTCTATAGATATTTGTTTTATAGTTTATACATTTGTCATGGTGCATTAGTTATTATTTTACAAAGTTCATAAATGATGTATTAACTTTTTAATTTTTATTTTCACCTATGTAAATCTTTGATATTTTTGGAATCTCGTAATACCGACATATAATGGCGCGAAAAGAAGAACCAAAGAGTGTGTATCTATTACTACTGATTTAATAGATAACTTACAGCGAACTTAATATTCTTACTTTTTTTAAAATCTTATTCCTAGTACAACCCAATAATGATTTGGAAAAGAGAATTATTGAAGCCTTTGAGGTATTTGATCATTCTGGAAAGCAAGTGGTTGATGTTCGAGAAATAGGCACTATATTACGGTCTTTAGGTATGTACTTATACCTCATTATGTAGGTATAGAATAGCAACATGATAAAATATAAGTATGTATTCTAATATTTCATAAAACATGTTGTATGCCAATCCACATAACAGCTTCATACATAGATTAAAACAAAAACAATACATGTAATAAAAATGTAACCGATCGATATGCCTGTAAAAATATAAATATATATGTAAAAAAATATAATAGGAGACCCTTATCAACGCAATCAAGTTTTAGAGTCTGTAAATAAATAATGTTTACATTGGTATAGATTGCGCGTATCATATATAGATTTTCTTTTTTCATGTATAGATCTGAAAGTACATGCTTAAACTGTTGTTCAGTACCTATAGGGTTTGTAAAAATACAATTAAGGTATTGTAAGTAATTTGTTTACAAGTTAGATTAACACGTTTTATCATACATATTACAAAGTAGCTAGAGTGACGTCACTGGCTGGTTACATTAATTTGATATTAGTCAACTTAATTTATACAACTACTTCATGCATTGATTTGACATTAGCTACTTATGCTTACTCGACAACAGTAACAAGATCTCTATTCGGCGTATATAATGGTGCATAAAGTCGCTAAACCACGCGGACAAAGTCCTGGGCACTCATAGTTAATTCATGCAGGTGGAACTCAAACCCGCGACAGTCGTCACCACTACTTTCATTAGAGTCAAATCTTTATCGTACTTCTTTGGAAAGTCCAGTTTTCGGCAATTGTTTGCATCTCAACCGTTTGTTTTCAGGATGCTGCCCAACGGAAGCGGAAATACAAGAAGTCATTCTTGCGACTGAAAATAAGGAAGCCACGGGCAACGTACCGTTAATAAACTTTTTACCGTTCATGTGTAAAGTAATGATAGAGCACAGGTAATTAAAAAAAGTTAACTACGGTTAAGTGCATGTTCGCTTAAAATCTACCTACCTACTTGGTACCTACTTGTATAAAAAGCTGAAGAATTTGTTTGTTTGTTTGAACGTTGAATATCAGGAACTACTGGTTTGAATTGAAAAATTATTTTCGTTCGTTCGATCAGTTTCCGAGACGTACACTGCGTACATGACAGAATTATTCCGCGATCTATATTTAGATCATTTTAATGATCTAAAAAAATGTTCGTGGCACTATATTTTTTAAGATTAACTTGCAAGAACGACGTGACGTGGGTAACAGCTTAAATTCATAAAGATGAAGAGTTTTGCAAAAACAAATTTGGATGCCCAAAATAATTATTCTACGCGGACGAAGTCGCTGACACAGCTAGTTAAGTTAACTTTTCTCAGTAGAACAAACAAGTAAGGGACTAAATCCATTCGGTACCATCTATCTAATTTTTGAACGAATATAACTTCTTCTTCATAAGGCACGCAGAGTGCTATGTAATAAAATGTAGTCTGTATAATTATCGTTAAAAATTATAAAGGTTTTATCCAGCCACTGCAGAAATGTTATTGGCTGCATTTCGATACTTTGACAAAGAGGGCCGCGGCTTTCTAACGAAGGAGAGATTTGCACAGCTTATGCTTGAGGAAGGAGAGCCCTTTACACAGGTATTACACTAGGCTGGAGCAAGAGAGATTGTTAATGCTTAAAACGTTATCGCTTTCATAAAATATAAAAATTCGATGACAGAGGTGGGTACCTACGACCTCTCTCAATTTTTCAATTACCATAAATAATGTCAGCATGTATCAAACATTTTTCCTAAATAGTACTCCCTCACTAAAAGATGGTATGGATATGTCACAGATTCCGGCTGGTAATTATAGAACAGACCCAAACATGTTATCTGTTATCCATCTATTACACTTAACTTGTTATTTACAGGAAGAGTTTGATGAAATGATGCAAACAGCTCTTGATCCAGTTACAAATACAATAACATATGAATATTACATCAATCAGCTTATGGTATGTATTTTATTTACTCTAAGACATTTATAAATTGAAAACTATAATATTTATTTTATGATCAGAATTAATTAATTCTAGCATTTGCGTGGTGATATAAAAACAACCTTCAATACATAATTTTATTTATTACTTAAGATGATAACCGAAATACACATTGATGAATACTAAAACTGATATTAATAATGACATTTTAGTTATTTTGTGCCATCCTACTGGCACGTCTAGTTTTGATAGAGCTAGGTGTGATAGCAGCCAGTCGAGACGAAGATCTGGTGGGTGTGGCGGTGGTAGACTTTGCGGTTGTCTTAGAATCACTTTCTTTAAGATTTTCTATAGTATCATTTTTCCCTTGCATCGTGGTTTCAGCTTTTGATAACGAATTTTCAGCAGAAATATCTTCGTTTACTGTTTCAGATTCCGTTAGATTTTCAGCAGCGTTTAAATTCGTTTCAAGATTTTGGTCCTGGTGAGGTGTGTCGTTTGTCTTAGTGGCGTTTTCATTTTCTTCAGATATTGTTTTATCATCTTCGCCAGTAATGTCATCATTAGTGGTATCATTAACACCTGTTACATTTCTTTCTTCAACAACCGCTGAATTATCATGTTTAGACATTGTTTCAGCTTCGCCAGTAAGATCACCCTTTGTGGTATCCGTGGCTGCTGTTACATTGTTTCCATCTTCAACCACTATTGCACTGTCATGTGTACCTTGTTCAGATACACTAAAATGTTCAGTTGAGGTGGTATTACCTTGATCATCTTCAATTAATGTTGTCTTTAATTTGTCTATGTGGTTGTCCTGTTTTTTGCTAATAATGTTATCTTTCTCACAAGTATCTTCACTTTTATCTCCTGCGATTTCTAAACTAGTGTTTGTAATTTCTTGTACACTATTGTTTAGACTAATATTTTGTGTTGTCACTTTTTCACTGCCTTTTACAGTCATAGTATTTTCACCTGCAACAAACAAATACAAAATTAATATATTGAGTTGTACGAAATCTTGTTAATTTCATTGAAAATAAATATACCAATTTTGTGGTCCCCAGCGCGAAGTATTTGGTCATAACCTTCTTTTTCATTAAAGGCAATGACAAGCAAGTTGCCCATAGTTTTATGTTTCTTAATGCTCGTTGGTTTAAATTGTTTTAAGTACTCGTAAACTTCATTACGAGATGGCAAGGTAGGGCGGCCGATTAACTGGAAATAAACATATTATTAACCTCTCTAATCTATGTTTCAGAGATTATCGCAAATATTTTGAAATTTACCTTCACGTAATATGTACTTTCGATAGTTTTTAGTAAGGGTGTTTCGCTGGTCGTTTCCTTTACAGGTTGAGAATCTCTCAACCTGTAAAGAGTGTTGAGAGGCTCTTTTACTATAGGTGGAAGTTCTCCAGTGTTCTTAACTAGAGCTGTCTCAGTTGTTTCCGAAACAATGACTTTCCTACTTTCTCTCTCTTCATTAACGAGTCTTTTCACGATTGCATTCATGGTTTCTTGTATTATTTCTGGTTTTGAAAAGAGGTACTGGTTTTCAAAATCAAATGTTGAGACAATAACCTGATTCAACATAAATATACGTTAGCTATTTATATCACGATTGTAATAAAAAAAAAACGAGAAAATACTTACATCTTTGAATTTTGGAAGAATTTTAGGCAGTTTCTTTTCTATGAGATTATCCATTAAATCAGACAATGTTTTAGCTTTTGCAATTTGGCTCTTCATTTTATCTTCTTCGCTTCTTTCAGTTACATTATTCGCTTTTTCGTTCTCATTTTCTTTTTTATTTCCTTCAGTTGATGTTTCATTGGTATCCTCATCATCACTTATGTAAATAACTTTATCCATAAGTTGCTTGATGTTTGCATCAACTTTATCGGAAGTACTTATATCTTTTACCTGTATAAAAATATAAATAGTAGAATATTTAAAAATAATAGTTATCCAATAGAAACAAACGGATTACTTATTACTCACTTTACATAATATTTCATCGGCTTTCTTACTAAGTATTTGTGTTACATTATCCTTGAAATAGTTCATTGCATCATCTATAATAAAAAAATAATATTGATGTGAAATACAATTTTAGCCCATATGGTAATATATGATAATGGATTAAAAATACAAATTCCCATAGGACATCAAAGTGATGAAAATGATATCTACGAAAAAATATTATTCACCACAATAATACGACAATTGTGATATTGTATGATCATATAAAGTTGTCAGGGATTTATTATATTCTAGTAGCAACTTTGACCGCTAAGATATTTTATTTTGGGCATTCAAATTCGTTTTGGCAAACCCCTTCATCATTATAAACATAAGCTGTTTAACCCACGACGTCGTTCGTACGTTCTTACAAGTTAATCTTAAAATAGACATATAGTGTCGGGGACATTTTTTTAGATCATTTAAAAAGGAATGATTTTTTCACATATTGTTTGGGTATCTCGAACCGTTTTCACAGCGTAGCGTACGAATCTGAAACCCACAAACATGAAAATTGTTCCCCGGTTTTTTTTTTCACATTTCCCGCTGCTTCTTCGCTCTTATTTATTACAGCGCGTTGTTTTATATCCTATAGCCTTCCTCGATAAATGTTCTAACACAAAAAAAATAAATTAGAAGCAGTAGTTCCTGAGATTAGGGCGTTCAAACAAACGAACAAACTCTTCAGCTTTATATATTAGCATAGATATAAGGTAAGAAAAAGTTTAGTCAAAAATGATAACTACCTGATGTAAAGAGGGGATTGACACTGAGGCTATGTATATTGTATACATGAGCATCATGAGCCAGCTTTAGTAATTCTGAATCAGAATCATCGGGATACTTTTGTCGGTAAGAAGCGACAACATCTGCGCATTGCCCGACTAATTTATTCATCATAACAGATCTTATCCTTTCTCGGATTATCTGTTTTATAATGCGTTGTGATTGTAATGAAGCTGTAGAGACAGATAGAGAAGGATTGTCTTGGAATTGTTCTCTCATGCTCCTTAAAATAGATCCTAGAGCTAATTCCAGACGACCATTTAACTGTGGGGATGGAGTTACATTGTGGCGTAGTATGAAATCTTGGCCTATAGCAGTGTCTTTCTTGGATTGAATTTTATTGGGAGGTAAATTTTTGGGTTGGCTTGGCAGTATATTATTAAGAGATGGATTTTGCACATGGCTAAGCTGTTTTTTAACTTGTGCTGCTGGTTTTTGGAGATAGGCAGTACGAAATTTTAGTTTTGCTACTTTTGTGGGTTGAAAATCATTGCGCATTGAATTTGTAGTCCTAATTTGTTTAGGATCTGGTGGTAAAAGTTTAGGAGGGTACTTTGAAGCGATGCTAAGTAATGATGGTGGATTAGACGCAGAGACTGGGTTTCTAGGCCGAACAGAAACAGTACTCTGCTGCCACGGTTCAACCTTTGGGGGTGTGTTGAACCATCTTGGAAAAGTTTGACCAACAGCTTGGCGTTTGCCATGCTGTTGGTTATGACTGGATTGCTCAAATTCGTAATGTCTCTGAAAAGCAGTTTAAATAACTTATTACATTCCTTATCTTAGTAAGAGCACCAAATTATTGAGTAAGTGCATAGTAGTAAGAACTGTCTATACTTTAGATACACAAGGTATAACAAATGTTATAAGCTAAAAATATCTATATTGATAGGAAACAAAACCTCTATATATTATCACTCAAGTTATTAGTTCTGGTTTTTTTATGTTAAAACTGTAAGCCATTCTACAATAAACGCTACATTTACTGTAAAATTAGGCAACAATTTTAAGAACATTATAATGTAATGTACTAAAAGGGAACAACAATCTTTAAGTGACAAGGTTTTGTTTGAAAATATTAAGAAAATACTGATTTCATTAAAGGGGCATTAATAGTGTAATTTTTTTTTAATTATAATTAGGGTATAATATTGTCTATTTCCTCCAAATTAAAAGTCAAACTATTCATTAAATGAAAGGAGCATGAGCTAATATTACCTTTAGGTTATACTCCCTCTCCCGATCAAGAAGCTCATGTTCTTGCTGAATCATCTGCCGTTTCCTATTTAGGATCTCAAGTTCAATGTCAATATCCTGTTTAAAATGATACACAATGTTTAAAAACAGTTTAAATTAAGGTAAGATTCTTTTTCATTACATTTTTTACCTAAAAATATTTACTGTTAATGGTTATTAGGCAAATTGAGATTACTTCTAATTTTTACAGTTGATGCCAAAAATAAGTTTCATGCATACCCAAGAGGTAAAAAGGAACTGTATTCGGTCTTGATCCTAAATACAGCCATAAAAACAAAAAAAAAGCTCTAATTTTGACCCATTTTAAAATGATAAAATGAACGCCTTTGAACGTAAGAACGAATCGAAATCTGCCACTTTTAATATTCATCAATTATATATGGCATAGGCAAGCAGCTCATAATTTTTGTCTAAGGGGATATTCAGATTGTTAACTGGCTCTAGATGGTTTTACATATTATAAACTTTACTTTCAAGTGATCGGTTAGAAGGGGACCGCTTTGTCGATTGTGTTGGGAGGTCGAGTTCCATTCCCTGTTATAACGACTCCCTCCAGCTCTTTGTACACCTTGCCCTCTCATTTTAATGGACCTGGGATTGACGAAATATGTAAAATTGTAGATTTTTGAGAACTAGAAAAATATATGAAAATCAGTATCACACTTTATCGTCATCCGAAAAAGTGTGTTTCGGTTGCGAAAAAGGGTAAAATTGGTTATTAATGAAGAATCAAATTATACTTGGTATATGAATACTTCTTACAATGTTTATGCTTACGTACATTAAAAGTTAAAACTGATTCATGAAATGTCGAATGTCATAGACTTGTATGCATTACAGATGAGAGATTACAGATTTCTAATGCACAGGTAATACCTCACAATATAACTTTTTCTTTTACTACCGGAGTTATAGTCTATGATTTTTACCACAGCGTAGCCATATGTGGCATAAGTTAAAAACAATTTACATCGGATTCTCCTCAGCGAAGAGAATGTTATTTATTCCTAATCAATGATAATATCATTCGAAAATATAACGACTAAAATATATAATCTCAACTACTTTCACCTTAACATTTGCCATCAAAGTTCTGGCAATATTTTCGAAAATTACCTACCCTCTAGATTTTTTGTAATAAAGTAATACCTAACTGTAAAATAAAAAAAATCCATTATAAACTATAGGTGGCACCTAAAGATGTATATAATCTTGCCGATGAATTGGAAGCTGAAAGAAAACGACTTGAAGCTGCAGCTCCTAAGAAAAGACGCGCATCTTCACTTCTCCGCGCCGCTCAAAATTAGTTCCGTATTTCTATAAAATAATTGTATATTGTAAATTCTACGAATGGGTAACACGTAGAGACCATTATCAATCATATTATTTCATTTTCATAGAATTACTACATCACACTATGTAGGTAAAATGTTTACCTACATAGTGTGATGTAACTCACTAAACTAAACGTTTTCTTATTTTTTTTTATTCTTTGCAGGTTGAAGATGAAATCGGAGAAACTTCTGAACTCAACAAATAAGCAATAAAATTTCTGTTATTTAAAATACTCAGTTTGATATTATGGCCTTTATTATATATACTACATTAAAAATGAACGTAAAAATTATTTTGTAACTAGACATTTTTTTATATAATTCTAACAAGTCGATCTATCTACAACCACCAGACGATTTATGGTAATCGGTTTTTATTATGTTATTATATATTTTACTTCTACATAAGATGTTTTATTTATACACCTTGTAAATAAATAAATTAAAATTACCGTTTATTGCAAAGACGCATACTCTTATTATAACTTTTATTCGTCATCAGATCCACATTGATCTAATAGGACTCCTTCAGATAATAGAGCTAATATATCTTCGTCATCCATTTCCTCGTAATCCTCATATTTATTGATGACATCTTTTGTTTGAATTTTTTGTTTAAAACTTTTTTTTGAAGGTAGTTCTTTATTGTAAGCAGGTTTCTTTACTTTTTCTATAGTTTGCTTTTTAAACTTTTCATAATTCTTAGGTTTTTCTTGATCTTTTTTAGTCACTTTAGTATTTTCAAGATTTTCTGTTCCCTTACATGGTTTTATTCTTTCATACTCCTTAGAAATGGAAACGTTTTTATTACATTTACCGGGAACTTTAGCCATGGTACGCTGCGGCTCAGAGGGGAGATCTTTTAACAGCTTAGTGCTTTGCGGTTTATCTATAGAAGTTTTATCAAACGCAGCGGTTTTATTGACAAGTTTAGGAAGTGGTTGCACTCTATCCATATTCTTTGTTGGCACATCCAATTTTACATTATTACTCTTTTGTGTTGTGGTTTCAGTGTTTTGCTTATAATCAATTTCTGATTCGTTTTTTTTATTAGCTACATCTTTCTTGATACTTGTTGTTGGTAAACTTTTATCCCGTTCCTGAATTTCCTCTGAAGCCGACTTGACTTTTGTTTGTGCCTTTTTTTCTATTACCCTTTTATCTGCTGTTTCATTAGGATTTTCATCATGACTGTTATCCAAAAATTTTGTTATAAGGTTGGCTGGTCGTTTTATGAATTTGTAGCATGGTGTGATTGTCAGCTCCGCATTACCTTAAAATGAAATTGTGGAATATAAAATCATGTAAAAAATAATATTGTAATTTTTGTTGTTTTGTTTTTTCGAAAGATCTAATGATATAAATATGTCTATGACCGTAGGGTCATACACATATTTATATCATACACTTATTATAACATATATTATAATAAGTGTATGATATAAATATGTACATATACATATTTATAACATATACTACACGCGCCTTTACATTACTAGATTTGAAATCTATAAAACTTACCACATATAATCTCTTTGTCAGAGCATAATTTATCAAAATCTTCTATGCGCTTCAACCGTGCAGCAAAAGTATTATTTTCCGAAGTGATACGTTTGAATCCACTGATTCTGTACTTTTTAAGAAACGCCAAAATATGTGCCCTTTCCGGTCGACTTAAAAAACATACCTTAAAAATTATAGAATTTTAGTGATATATTTTTAACAGTGCTCAAGCAGATATTCTTTCGTTAATAATAATAATCATACCTTAACAATCAGTTTGTTGTGAACCTTAAGTAGTCTTTTTGTAACGTTTAAGCCGATGATCTGTAAAAATATCAATAATCTTAAAACTGTTTTTACCACTATTGATCCTTAATAAAACCGTGTTTATCGCACATACGACGTTGGTGTTCACAGAGTGGACTCTAACCAAGTCTATGATTAATAGTATTATCTCGTTTGCAGAATACGACCCGTTACGTTCTTTCTGAGATGGTTTGTTCAATATCACTTACATCTCTAATATCATCCCCAGCTTCATTTCTGAACTTCTCAACAACAAACTTCTCCTCTTCCGTTGGTGGTTCATCGGGGAACTCTTGCCAAACCTGAAATGAGTCATCCAGTGAAGGAAAATGTTTGTAGTGTCTATTCTATAATTTGTTTATTTTTACAAATATTATACTTTAATCATAATGTGCCGTAACTCGTGCTCCAGAATTCTCGTGGTGACTGGACCCAGTTGTTTCATATCTTCGGACCCTTCTTGTGGGAACATATCTTCTATCTCTTGTTGCATTGCATTGTCTGTAAATAAACAATCATTCATACCCAATACTATGGGCTATCCAAAGCAATGAAAACTTTTACAGGGAGTACAACTTATATGCTTTGTTATAATCACAAATAAAATTAAAGCATGATATGCAAAGGGTATCTTTTTCGCAACATACCAAAACTATTTAAAGAAGACGAAGTATTTTACCTGCTGTTTTACTGTTCGCCACGCTTTTATCTGATTGTTCCTTAACAGAATCGACGCTTTCTGTATAAGCTTGAGTTTTTCCACCTAGAAGAATAAATATTATATTATAACACAGCACAGCACGAGCTATTGCCTAGCATTGCGTTATGTGCGAGAGGTCTTGAGTTCGAATCCCATGGGAACAGGTCGGGTCGGGTAGGGTACAGAAGTCTGATCAACTACTTGCCTGTTAAAAAGAACGATCAGTGAAACGGACACAGAAATGTGTTCGCCCCACGCCCCATGAGGGGGAAACGGGATCTCACTTTACAGTACGAGACAAATGAATAAAACATAAGTTATTTTAATTTACATACAATTTTTGTTACATTTTATATTATTATTTTATGTTTATGCTTTTATTACTATCTTGTTTTTCTGGTACATACTAAATTAACCAGCTAAAGTGTCACAGTTTTTCGGTATTTGACTTAAGGTGTTTCATCTCATCAAAGAAAATATTAATAATATTATAGTAAGGGTCGTCCACCAAATTTAAACTAACTTTTTACTGTACACAAATAAAGACGTTTACTCACTCGATCCTTTTAAAGTAAAAGGGGTCTGCTTATCTTCTTTTCTCTGAGAAAGGGATCTCTTTTTGTGTGACACATATTTGTATCTCTCTTCATGCCTAGAGTTAGGTTCTGAAACAAATACGGGAAGAATTCGTTAAACACACATTTCCTAATTATTTTGTCATACTTAAAAACTTTAACTAAAAATGTTATTTTAATAAAAATAAAACATTTTTTGGCAGAATTCATACTAAAAATTACATCAACACCAAAAACAACATCGAATACTCCTTAACCCGACATGCCCCCCCCCCCCACCCCACACCCTGCTCACCTCCAAGACTTTTTCCGAAGCATTAATTGAAAGAACAAAAGTAGATACTACAATTTGACTCCAAATTATTTTCTTTATTGAGTATCATCGACCATCCAACCCTAACAGAACGTCCGAGAGCTACCGTACTCGCTACTAAAAAAATTCCAATGACGCAGGCACCATTGTTATATGTAGATTATCTGATATAGCAGAAAGGTTCGATCAAAGAAACCCAGCAGTACTAAGGAACCAAGAGTTTGATGAGAAAAAAATCTTACTCCCATCCACCCATCTTGTTGCCAATTATGTACCTAAAAATTTAGAAGCTTAAAAAAACCTGGAAATGACCTGTCAAAAGCAACTAGATATAAAAACCTATGAATGAACAACAATATTCTCACAAAATTGAAAAACAAACGTGATATAAGTATTTTAATATACTCCGTATCCGTAAACGATCGTAACTTACTTGATGTTTCATCCTTTATTTGGTTTGAGCGTGGACACTTAGATAGTTGTATCTAGAACGTTTCGAATTATCTTGACATAATCCCATTAGTTTCTTCCTCTGAAACCCTGAAACGAACTAAAGTACTTGACTGACATACTGAAACTTATAAATTTCAATAGCGGTTGAAAGATATAAAACTTACCTGAATAAAATTATTTCAGCTCCGTTAATGTAAATCGAAGTTGGACGCAATATTGAGCTTTGGGGAGAGGACATTTTTTTGTGAAAAATATAGTGATCATATAAAACGAATAATTTATCATACATTTTACCAGGTTTATTAAGAGTAGAACTACCTATTAAATTAAAACTAAATAATTCTTAAAGTTTACATGCTACGCATAAACCGATTGGCAATCTTGGGAGATGAATAAACATTATTATCATCAACAGACTGAATCCAGAAAATTAAATACGATACAACTTTGCGATGTAAGATAAATAAACACTCCCTTCTGGAATTGGCTATACCTATAGTTTAATCGAGGCATACAACATCGCCATCACTTTGTTCGGATCCGGAGGATAATTCCATGTTAGCTACGTCATATGAATCGGTCGTTTCTTGCTTGTGTTTCTGTATTATCTCTTCTAACTTGGAGAAGGGATATTCGGATTTAACTGCAGCGGACATACGAAATTCATCCACGATATAATCTAACTTAAATTTCATGCGCGAGATCCTTTCAACAGACTCTATATCCATGTGTACTTCAAAGATGGCATGGTTAGCATTCTTGTTAACATCCAACTTTTGACGCCGCCATTTATGAAAATAAATACCTTTTATACTCTGGTTGCTACTTCGTATTATGTCGAACACCTGGGCGGCAGTCGTCGGCTGCCCGGGTACCATGACAAACATTTTTATATAGAATGTATGGAGCTCTTCGGCGCCGAACACGATTATAGGCTGCTTATTTATATTCCCCATTTGCAAAGAAAAAAGCCACCGTTTAGATTCATCATTTTCAGGAAGCACACCGAAAAAGCCCGGCGTAATAAAACCGTATTTGCTGAAATCGGTGCGACTGGTGCCCCCCATTTGATGGTATTTGAATAAATGGTATATAATAGAGTCCTTAATTTTGCGCGCGATAGCCAAAGAAATTGGTTTATCCCCTTTGGCACAAAATCTTACCGCGTTTTGTTCACTAGGAAGAGATGGCATAGGACTATTTTGCAGGTTCGGTATTTGTTTTATGGAACTTTCTCTCAAACCAGCGTCAAAAGCATTTTTGTCTACGGCGACAGCTTTGAGAAAAACGTTAACTTTCTGAAGTTCGAAGCTCAGCATCATTTTGTGGCTTTCCAAAGCTCGAGCGGACGACGGTGGCATATCGACGTAAATACGAGTACCGTTAGCAGTTACGATTTTCTTGACAAGCTTCCACTTACCTATATTTATACTATCGAGAAACTTGTTTTGCAATTTAAGCTTCTCCAAAGGTTCTATGCTCCGACATTTTGAATGACCTGGCAACCAAACAGCGGCGCGCTCGTACCACAACTCTTCCTTGGTGTACACCAGTACGTTAAAAGTAGTCAGGTCGCTGAAACTTATATTCAAGAGCCAATCTCTGGAAACAGCATCGCGAGTAACAACTTCATATCGAAAAGGACTTTGAAGACCTTTTAAAGTGAAATCCGGAGCCCATCCTTGACTGGATTGTGTAACATCCACAATTTTCTGAATGATGTAATCCTTAATAATTTCAGCTTCATTACAATTAATTGGCTGAAAGTTATCTTTACATAAGAACAAGTTGAATCCTTCATTTTCGGATTCGTAGTGCATTTGTGAATTTTGAGGTGGTTCAGTATAAGCTGGAACGAATGATGCAAAAGGAACCATATAAGGGGCCATAAATGCGTTTGCTTGCATTTGTTCCACTGCAGTACTAGCAAAACTATAATCCCAATGTGGAGCTGTGAAATAGAAACTATAGTAAATTATCAAGTGTTCATTTGAAATATTTTTTAAAATGCGTCTCTACTTACTTTGGTACGTAACTGGATGCTCTTCCACTGAAAGTTAATTTTAGTAGGTTTTAATAAGAATTTTTGATGAAAATTAAGAAAAATGATTACTACGTTGTTATCGAGTTATGTGAGTAATTTTTACCTTTAGTCACCTCGCGTATAGGAGATTTTTTTGATAATTTTGCTGGTATATCGGAAGGTTCATCTGGAAATAAATAATTCATTTAACGCAATGGAACTCGTCGATAAGAGGTAGAAAAGCAAAGTTTACAAAATTGACTAAAATTCTCCTGTATAAAGTAACATTAATATGTTATAGTGTATATTCATTCCTATTTAGAAACTCTTAAATTGTATTGATCGTAAACTTTTATCGAGTTGTTTCTAATAAGGCAGCTAACATTATAGTAAAGTTATTTTACCTTTCGCTGAGCGCTTCAATATTCTGTACTGAGAGGGAAAGCTTGATAGGATTGAATCGTAAATTTTTTCTTCATCTTTTGTCGAGTGTTTGGAGTTAAATTTTATAATCATTTCAATAAATGAAACATCTTCATCTCCAAACATGGCCTTAAAAATCTTGGACACAGCATATTTTAATTCATCGAAAACTCGGACTGATATATCTTTCGGAAGCATGTCACCAAATTTGGTCAATATTTTTTCAGATACAGCTTCACAGGCTTTTTCTCTTTTTGTCTTTGAGCCGGGACTTTTGGTTATAGGATAGTTAGATTCTACCATTTTATTTTCTTCGTGATGATGACTCGTCTTACCCTCACGGCTTTTTGGTCGAATATTATCCCGCTGGTATTTCCAATCAGAATGGCGTTCTTCATTGAAACGGCTCAAGGTGGGTAGATTGAAGTCTTTAGGATCATGTTCGTCGCGGTGACGCTCGTTGTTATAATCTCTTTCGCGACTTCGATCACTTTTTTTATACATCTCCGCCTTTTTTGTAAAATCTACTGCCCGTTTATACACATCTTCAATTTCTTTGTGAAGTTCTTCTTGTTTTTTGAGTATTTCTGACTTCTTCTCAATACGGCGTGATAAATCTTGTTTTAATTGAGCGAGTTCGCTTGCATCCTTAAATTCAGAACCATATCTCCGATCGTCCGGTTCACGTCGATTTTCTTCAAATTCTCGCCTGTTCAGTCGCATTCTACTCTCTTCATGCCTTCTCTCTTCGTGTCGTGCATCAACTTCGTTTCTTCTCAAAGTCCTTTCGTTTTTTTCGGGATTGTAACGTGGTGGAGTTCGCTTGGGACTGTCATTGCCGACCGCCTTCCATTTAGCTGCATCCTTTCGGCTCGCTATATTTGCGTGTTCAAAATTTCTTCTGTCATCGCCTGATCGATTATCCCTTTGATCTTCAAATTTCGATTCATATTTATTTATATCCCAAACTGGACCCCGCGGTTCATCTATCCTCTTAGAATAAGATTGCCTCTTGTCATGGCAATCTTTCATACGCTGCGATTCCTCCACTGGCCAGCTGGGTGGGGGCGGCACTTTAGCATCCTCAGGGCTCCTTCTCTTTTCTAAGGCCCAAGAACGTCTAGGCGATCTCGGCGACGGTGAATGCCTTTTGTATCGATCGCGTAGCGGAGATCGATCTCGTCTTGGAGACCGGGACTCCCGATTTCTTGAACGAGACCTTTTTAGTTCCTTTTCTATAATTCTAGGAATTTCCATAGGTCGGGCAGGTTCAAATTTCGTCATTCTTCCCCTTTCTTCATCATGTACTTTACGTATTTTCTGTTCCCTGTTTGACCATCGATCTATTCTATCTTCTCGCCCCTGGGTATATTGCAATTTGTCAATAGGACGAAAGCCATCTGCGTACATAGCTTCAGTTGTTGCCTGTAAATTGAAGTTTATTTTGCAAGAAATAGTAAACAACTAATGTAGTTTTAGGACTAATTGTAGATTATTTAACTAAATTTCGAGATGTTGTTCACCCAAGAAGAAGCAAAATATATATAACACACGTAGCAAATGACAGTTACCTTCTTAAAAAGTAAAGTAGTGTTAGCAATAGCAAAAAAAAACCACATTATTGGTTGCAGATCTACCAGCGACTCTATATGTAGAAATAAGTGGTCAGCTATCCTGAATGTAACGGCAACAATTCTTTTTCCAAATGATGCTTGATGTCATTTGGATATCGTTAGCTAATATAAAATAATGTATTGCGTTTATTCAAACTGATTTTAATTTATTTATTAATGAAGTGATAATATTACAACTGCAAAACTACTTGTGTAATCTAGATCTGAAAATTCAGTATATAAGATTCTATTATCATTGTAGCTACATAAGAAGTTGTCTTGAACTTTCCGTCTTTTGGTGCAAATGTATTCCTGAAGTTCCACAGGCTCCATGTGACGCCTTTTACCCGTTATAGGCCTTACAATATTATGTACGTAAGTAGCTTATTTATGTTTAAAACGTAAGATGAAGGTTATTATTGGACATCCAACGTTTTAAATAATAACTATTCTTTCTGCTCTCAGCCCCTTTATCAGGTTTTCCACTTTTGGATTTCTTATATCTTCTCGATTTCTTTGTGGAAATATTTTTATTCTGCTGCAGTAGTATGCCCAATCGATTTTCCCCAAGAGAAGATCTGCTTACATTCATCATTCATAAATGAATTGAACTGTCTCTTCTATTGAGGCACCAAATATACAGCAACGTTGTGAACAATCTAAAGTATGAATCTTCATAACTCTTTCCGGTGCATTTATTTTACATTAGAACTTAAGGGTCGGCATAAGCTGCGGGTTTCTTCTTTAATATTGAGGAGATTGTATGTTCTATTAAAATGACTTTTTTCTTAAGCTCATAGAAAAAAGGTCATTTAAAATTTCTACTTCCACTTACCGATGATGGTTCGTAAGCGGGTCTCACTTCTTTTGCAGCTCGCAGGTCTTTTTGGAAATTGCGTGTTGGAGAGTACCTGCGTGTGAGTTAATACATTAAAAATAAATATCTGCGTTCTGTATGACTTGTTATTTAAGTCCAACAGATTTTTTTTTTATTTGGTGCCTTTTGACAAATAAAGACAATTTTAAAACACTTCGCATATATACAAGATTTTAAAATCTCGATGTCAAGAATACTATTCATTTTACAAAGACTTTACCTGTGTTGTCCAGATGTGATTCCCTTTTTGGGTGATCTACTTCGTGGGCCTTCTCTGCCTGCAAATACAAAATTATATGACTGTATACGGGACATTTTTATTATTAAAACAAGGTCTTTGATAAACAGAGATAATATTTTTAATTAACACATATTAATAATTGCAATATAAATTTCATAATATATTATAAAATATGGTATGATATGGTATTTAAATAAAAAATTAAGTAAAAATTGCTACACTAGCGCCATCGTTATTTTTTACATTAACGTCAGAGACATCCTCCATCTTTAGTCTCCCCGTGATCAAAGCTGCTGTAAAGCATCGAAAACGTCGGGCCGAAGTTAAAAATCATTTTCAAATAAGTTTAACTAATATATCGCGTTTTAAACCGTTAGTGTTAAATGTGTACTACTCGCGTAAACTATAGACAGTATGTATGGTATATAAAAAAATATTAAAAGAAGTCATACTTAAATGTTCTTTAAAGCTTGATGGTGAGATTCGTCTTTCATGGTAAATATTCCTTTCTGAGGGAGAAAATCTCCTAGGGGACATTCTTCCCTGTACAGGTCGAGCTCCTGAAGGTGACTGTGGTCTTTCCGTCTGTATCATGTTGCGTCCAGAGCTAACACGAACTCGATTTGGTGATACGTCTCTCATAGATGGTGATTCACGTCTGCTCGAAGGAGAAAAACGCCTACGAAAGGGCGACACACGCCTGCTAGGTGGAGACATGTTTCTGACGAGCGGCGAAGGGCGTCTACAGGGCGGAGAGGGCCGCCTACTAGGGGAGGGTTGCCTACCAACGGGACAGTCTACTAGAAGGTGACATGCGTCTACTAGAAGGAGACATGCGTCTACTAGAAGGAGACATGCGTCTACTAGAAGGAGACATGTGTCTACTAGATGGAGAAATGCGTCTAACAGATGGAGACATGCGCCGTCCAGGTGGAGACATACGTCTACTTGGAGGAGATATACGTCTCGCAGAAGATGTCCGCGTGTCTTGGGGTGATATATGTCTATTGGTTGGGGATGGTCTTTCAGATGTGCTGAAGCGGTTAGAGGCTGTTGGAATAAGAGGGATATTTCTCCCAGAAGAATCAATGCGGCCGGCAGCAATATCTTGAACTCTTCCCTGGGAAAATTGTGGTTTCTGGGTCTCATTAAAAGGATGAACTTTTTCATTAATTTGCTCCCTCTTAAACTGCAAAAGACAAACAAAAGAATTTAATTAGAATAAACTAACTAAATGTAAATACTTTTGACTTAAAAGAAGTATGTATTATCAAAAGACAACATTTTATTCTATTTAAAAATTTGACAAGTTACCTTCTTATAAGATTGCACAAATTGAAATTATTATAGGAAAAAGTACAACAAAGGGATCTGACTTGATTTTCAATGAAACTCTACACCCTTCAAAGTCGGTATAAACACATTCAGTTCAGTTAATTTTTTTTACAGGTTCAACATTTATTTAACTACAAAGTAGAATTTGCATATTCGGTTGGCATTACTTTGCTATGAATATTCTTAGTGTAAATCATCAGTAAAAGACTTCTTACCTGTTGATTCCATGGGTTTGATGTTTGGTAATGTCCAGGATTCTGAGTACCAATACTGGTTCCACGAATGTTTAATGCTTCTTTCAAAACTGGATTCTGCTAAAAATGTGTTATATAAATAATTACACCGCAGTACACAACAAAACCCAAAGTAAATTAAATATAATATAAACTAATAAAAATAATATAAAACTTACAGATTTATCTTGAGATAGGTCATAATTACTTTCGGCATGTCTGCCCTGTTGCAAAGTTGAAGTATCTATTAATTCAACCGTTCTAAAATAACTTGGCCTTGTCTGACTCTAAAAAAGGAAATTTATCTTTCTCAAATTGACAACATTAAAATTGAACTATAATATTTCTTATATAATGTTTATTGTGTGTAACATTAAATAGTACTAACACTTGGATTGGGTGAATTTTTTTGAGCAATCGAAAACCCTTGTGATGGAGGTCCAATGCGGCTGAGAATTGATGGTCTTTCATTAACTTGGGTCCTCAATTGCTGATTGGGGACCTGCTTGAAACATACATGTACATAAGGAACAATTCTGTACTCCAATTTTAATTGTGTTAAAATGGGGTGCTTACTGTAGACAAATAGTTTCCAATTTGCTGGGGCTGTTGAAATGGATATGAATTTTGCTGTGGTGCTACTGGATTTGTCCACTGTGTTTGATTGTTCCAAGAAACGGACGTACTTTGATCCACATAATTATTTTGAACTGGATTCTGAAAGCCCTAATGGTAATAAATAGAAGAATACAAATTTTAGAGAGAGAACAAATAGACCTCTTGTAAGTAACAACTCACTCCCGATTTTCCAACAGGCGCAACTTGGAGAATATGTCCTGATAGGCGATAACCATTTAAACATTTAATTACATGGGCTCCTTCATTATCGTCAGCCAATCCAACGCGAACTTTTTTTAAATCGTTTGTATCAATAAGCAGGTTATCTAAAATAAAATCGCTGATCTTACACTCTTGCCTGATAATCTGCTTTAAGTCCTGATACTTTACCTGCAATAAGTAAAAAATAATAATGATACATTCAGTGGTCATTTAAAGGAATAAATCCTTGATATTATTAACATTAAATCAATCGCCATTTTTAACTTACGTATTTAGGCAACCCGTGTATTGTAATCATCATCTTGGTGGTTCTTTAAACAATATACTATTCATAAATTAAAACATTTATTTTATATTGACATTATTTCCTTTATTATGCTTTAATCTGTTAATAATTACACATTTGCTCGCCTCGAGCCTCTCAGAAGACAAACCAATAATGATAAATGAATTATGAAACTAGACTCCCTAGACCTATAGTACAGTTTTGTACAGACTATAGACTAGAGCACAGACATCAAAATAATATAATAATAGCTGATATAATCTCTTTGTAAAAAGACTAAAAGAAGAGTCAGTCTGAATTAAAAATTAAGTTGTTATATTATAACTGACCATATAATTTAATACTATTAAAATCAATATCAAATTGTAATTTGCAATGCGGTCGCGACATTGACGTTCTAGGAATTTGTTGTTGTACCCGCAATTCTTAATATTATTGTACCTAGCGGTTGTTCATTATTTTTCATTTTTATTTTTTCTCGTCGTTGCCAATTTTATAAATATTTACTTTAATACAATAGTCAGTTGACATCTTCATTATTTTTAATTCTGACTGACTAGTCTTTTTACAAAGAGGCTGTTTTATTAGCTTTGAACCATAATTGTATATTAATAAATAACAAAGAAGTTACAATATAGTACGGCGATCAAAAAAGAAAATTAGTGTTTGAGTCCTATTGTTACAAGCCACCAAATAAAGAAACATACCATCATATATATATTGTATTCTCTGTTACGTGGTCTTCATAAAGTTTTAATGCATGGACAACGTTTAAATAGTTATTATAAAACAATTTTATTCACTTTAAACTATTAAAATTACAACGCCGTTCCCGACTGTTCACTTACGTCTTAAAAAATTAGGAATTTCAGTATAATTTTTCATCTCTTTGTGCTGGGAATCAACATTTTTTTTTTAATATTTTTATGAAAGGCAAAATTGTGTTGCGTAGATTTGTACACTATTGATGAAAGTGAAAACAGTACATTTAAATTACTCTTTTTTCTCAAGCTGTCGTATAATCTTTGATACATAATATACTCTGATATTCTGTTTGGCTTAAAAGTCTCGTTACCAGGCCATTAAATATTATTAAAAAAAAAATCTGATATTCTGTCTAATGTTGTCTGTGGTAGTTCATCATTTTAGTTTTTACGACATAATTTTAGATTGGATTTCGGCTTATTTGCTCAATGTCTCAATGGCTTATGCCGGTTAAAGTTATTGCCTAGTCGCCACTCGCCAGTGAAGTTTAAGCAAAGTTCAAGTAACCAGTCGACTTCAAAATGCTTTTAATTTTACATAATTTACCAAAAACTGTAAGGCCACATGGGATATTTCCATTTTATTAACTTATTACTTAAAAGTTCTTTAACGGGCAAGTAGTTGATCAGACTTCTGTGCCCTGCCTCACCAAAAAACATTTTTGTTTCCCTAGGATTCGAACCCAGGACGTCTCGCGCTTAACGCAATGCTAGGCAATACGTTTAACCATTTGGCTACAGAGGTGGTCAAAAATTTACTATAAAGATTGCATTAATTACATGTATTTTACAGATTACTAGCACATACATTAAAGAGTTTTTACGAAGACAATGTGGTATGGATCAATTTATCCTAGATAAATTGGAGGATGAGAATTCTCTTTCAAAGAGAGTTACTATTGGCGTAGCTGAAGAGACTGATGCTGCCATTTTAGTTAGGAAAGTCAATGGATTCAACCTATTTGGACATCAACTTTATATTGAAGTCATTGGTCAAAATAAATTAGTAAGTTGTTTTTATTTCAATATGCTTTAGCAGGCTGAACAGGCTAAAAATCAACGGGTCATGTGTTTGATTCCCACCTGGTTCAACATGTTTTATAATTTATTTTAAACATTTTGGGCTTTGACTGGAAACATGGATATTAAATGGACGGTAGGAATATAGACAATCTGTCCGTGCCACAATCCACCATCTATAGAAGTCCTGATGTTTAAGTACGTTTTGGTATCAGTCTAGACTTCTGAATATCCAAAGCCATATATAATACTGTAGGCGGAGGTATTTCACATACCATTATGTGAACCCCTTCCTTGTCTGTCCTCTTCTATCATTAAAAGAAAAGACATGACATTGATTTATATTTCGGTTTATTTTAATCCTACATTCTTTTTTTACAGATATCAGAACAAGCAAAGCCTACATTAAGTGGTACGCAGTCCTTACAAGAAAGTAACTACTCTGTGCAAACTTATTCTTTCCAACAGAGTCCTAATCCACCTGGATCTTGGACATTCAACCCTTATGAAACTCTTGTCAGTAATAATATGCCAAACAATAGTTTCGTGCAGGTAATCAACTGAACTCAAATATAAATGTTTTTTCTCCATTTTTCCCACTGTTTCTGGCTCTCAATGGTCACAGCATGATGTCTTATGGCTTAAGCCTTCCTTGATAAATGCTCTAACCAACACAACAACATTTTTTTAATTAGAACCAGGAGTTATTGAGATTAGCCTGCTCAAACAAAGAAACTTTACTTTAGTTTTCTAATTATAGTAAAACTAAGAAGTATTATCATAAATACTAGTGGGTTTAAGTAAAACACTAACGGTTTAAAACGCGATATTTTTGCGTGGTCACGGGTCTCCCTGAGATCACGCTAATATGCTGCAAAGCATCCGAAACGTCAGGCCGAAGTTAAACATAACTTTCAAATAAGTTTAACTAATATATCGCGTTTTAAACCGTTAAAGTGTTTTATTTAAATGTGTACTACTGGCGTAAACTATGGATAGTATTATTAGTGGGTTACTTGAAAAGGTGAGTTTTTGTAACTAAGGATTATAGTTTACATTCCTGAGTGTACACAGCTGGTGTAATTGAGATATTATTCTCTATATTTCACCATTGTATTCTTTGAATAAAGGAAAACACCTGTCTATGCTTAGTGGTAAATCTAAGAAGCCAATCAATAGTTAAAAACCAGTTATATAAATTATAACCAATGATCATATTTGAGTATGATATATACCTAACCACTTCATAAGATTAAAGAGAGATTTTAATCTTCACCAATTAGCCTAATATTTATTTTGCTCATAGGTAGAAATAGGCTCCTATCAATGCTCCAAAATATTGTGGGTTTGATTGTCACTGAGTCCTACATTCACTCCATTAAAAAAAAATCTTGACGCATTAATTGCAGGATATAGATTCCATCCCTTACTAATTTCTTTGAAGATAGAAAAAATGTTAAGTGTAAATTTGTAATTTGTTTAAAGTCTGTGGATTCCTATAAAAAAAAAACTGTGGAATCCTGAAAATTCCAACTAAAATAGGTTAACATTCCATCTTAATTAGATGTTTAGGGGCTGAGACATTTCACTTTCTATAAAGTAAGCCCCACATATAGGGTAAAAAAATTACCTCACATTTTATATTGAAAAGTAATCATAAAATGTTATTTTATTTCAATAGTCTTTGGTATCTAACATGATCCTTAAGGTTATTGGTCACTTGTGTTAGATAACACATTGCCTTAAGCTGAACTTTGAAATTCTGCGGCGATAGTTTTGTGTGCAAGAACAAGTTGAAGATGGTGCTAGCACCATTAACGATACAACTATCATTACTTAGCACATAATACTATTTGGGTAATATCGTACAGAGTTCTAGTGGTATAATAGTGAATTTATTTTTTATTTGGAAAGTAAAAAGATCAATTGTAATATAATTTGAAACATTAGAATTGTAAGATTGCAGATTTTGTTTATAGATCATTACTTCCCCAGGCACCAGCGATGCCATCAAAACAAGCTCAGTCTCAATGGACTACTAATTTGGGGACCTATCAAAGTAATATCCCCTTTTACCAGCAACAGACGTGTGATAGTACTGAACCGCAAGAAAACTTCCAGGTTCCTGCAGAACCTATGAGTTCTATAAAGACAGCTTTGAGCTTTAATACTCTAAGCGACAATTGGGAATCTCTGAGGATGACGGTTTCGTATCCGGACAGGAAGAATCAAAATATTAGTCATGTTACTTATCGTCAGTTTGAGTTATCAAATCAGCAACAGAGTACGAGGGATACTCAAGAAGGTAACGATCGTTATCGCGATAGTGATAAGAGCCTGGATCGTGATACCAACCGCCTAAGCGAATGGCGTACCCATACCAAACAATCCCCACAACACGATCGTGGTGAGCATAAGGAACGCGCTACCCACGGTCGTAGGTTATCTCGTGATCGAGGCTCTTCTCGAGATAATCGCCATAGCGATTTATCGCGCAGTAACTACGATAACGCAAAACGTGACACTTCTGTCCGAAAACGTAGGAAAGATTCCTACAGGGAAGTAAGAGGGCGGGCGGTGGATGATGATGATAAACATCAAAAGTCCCACTCACAATTTAAAGGACGTACTACAGATAATTACCGAGACATCGCGTATAAACGTGTTGAACCGCCAAAATCATCTCAAGGCAATAAAAGTTATTCAAAACCGTCATTTAAATATTCTGAATCACCACAATATTCTAAAAATATTGACGATACATATATCCAAAGACCTGCCAATAATGAATATAATACAAGAGAGAGTAGCAATTTGAAAAGGAAATATACACCTGACATTAACGAAGTCAATCAAGAGAGTGAAATTCAACAAAAACTTATGCTTTTGGCTGAAAAGTTTAATGCCCCTAAGTCACAAATAGAATCTTTGGAGAAAAAATCCAAACCCAATGAAAATGTTTCTAACAAAGAGAAACACCAACCTGTACTGGATTCTATGAATAAAAAGCTTAACAGACATACAACATGGGTCGGTCAAGCCACATCGGATATAGCAAAAAAAGTCTTAGCTCTGGGTGGCCAAATGACGGCTGACGCAACTTCAAAACAAATATTAGCAGAGTTAAAAAAAATTATAAGTACCCGTATTAATATGATATATGGGAATAAACTATCAAACTCCTTGATTGAAGTTTTAACAAAATATAATGAACGATTTAAACCAGATCTGAATTATGAGTTTTATAGAGCAGTGAAAGAGAAAGTAGAAAGAGCACTACTTACAACGGCATCCACACCTCACCTTTCGAGCACAGCTTCAAAAGTTGTGACTCTTAAGGATTTGCATCAGCCTAAGCCGCCGGCACCTCAAAAGAATCCAACTGTACCCCAACAGAAGGCAACAACAACGCGAACACCTGCGGTTATGCAAGTGTCGCAAGTTGCGAGCGCTTCTGGTAAAGTTGTGTCACTTCAAAAAGATCTGCAGCAGCCTAATCCAGCTCCTCAAACGAACTCCAGTGTACCCCAACAAAAGGCAGCTGCTCCACAGAAACCATCACTCTTAAAACTAACAGGTATATTTATTTTCCACTGAAGTTATTGTTACTGCTGCGTAATTTGCTTTATTGTAGGAGTATTTTGCTTTGTACATTTATTTGTACAAAGTTTACATTTCTATAAACCACATGTAACGGTTTAAAACATAAACTTTAGGAACCCCTCATCGCCAGTATCCCTGCAACCATGACTGTTGTGCGTAGTTTTCGGAACGTCAGGTTGTAGATAGTTGGAAATAAGGTTTTACTATTTATTTCCAATTATACGTTCTAAAGTGTTAAAAATTATTTCAGTGCATACTACACTGACCTACAGGCAATACTTTAATTGACGAGTTGAATGAAATTGAAAGCGCATTTTGGTACTTATATATGAACGCCACCACGGCAAAAATTTAAGCATTAAATTTTTGTCGCGCAAGTGTGGACAACGACGTAAACCTAATGTATTGACGAGGACAGCAATTTAAGCGGGGGGGTATTCGGGTATTATTATGTCTTTGAAAAATACCATGTCGAGGTTATACTGTTTGTGTCTGATATTGATCTGGCAAAATAAGTGTGGCATCGACATAATTTTGTTGGTATACCATCGTGCTTTCATTATATCTCAAAAGCTATGGGTAACTAGGTCGAAAGCATTTTTGTACAGATACTTAATGTTTTTCCTTTATTTTGTTTAACAAAAATCTTTTATACATTTTTCTTGGGAATCTGATCTGTAACAAAGTTAACGTTACAAATGCTCGGAACATATCAAGTTACGAGTGCAAAGGTAATTCCAAGAATCCTTGTCCATGCGATAACTAGATTGATAAATTTAATCAGCCTAGTTAAGCGCTACCTATATCGCAGTCTGATTTAGACTACGGGATACTAGAATAGATAATCCTTTGTAAATCAGACACAGTGGACAGTTGTTTCTTAAGAACAATAATTACTATGTTGCCAACTGTGGCTATACAATAATTTAACATCAACTTATTTTTCCATTTTTATCCACGTTTTATTACCGAATCTACTTTGACGTACAGAAGGCCCCAAGACAAAATCGCGCAACATCACATAGCTGGGGTTTTCACCTTCGATCGTGTAAGCCATATATTTGTGTCCCCTCTGTCATAAAATATGCAAGATTATATGAAAATTATTGTCCTAGTTTTATATAGTATTCAGATAATTTATCTTTTTTACACATTCAACCGAGTTTAATGTCAATTAACTGTATTTAATTTACAGAAAATGCAATTCCAAAAACCCGACGTGTTAATAAGGACACGGATGAATGGAATCGTTATATGACGCCTAAGGCTTCAGGCAGACAGTGGTTGCCCAGTTACCCAGGAGGAAGTAAGTGTAAATCTACTTATATAATATATTTTTTTTATTATTATGTATTGCATGTTAGCTAAAGAGGCCTTGTAAGTTAACTTTTGTAGCTATTTTCCACACAAACGCATTCCTATTTTTCTTCCTGGACTTTTTTCGTAGCATAAGAAGATTCTTAATTTAATCTGTAACTTACATTAAAATCTATTGAGATTGAATACCATACGGGCAGGAGCACAGAATACTGTGGATACCGGTTAAGGATTCATCACTTTTTTAATGTAATGGCAAGATTCTTAAGATATCATAATGAGTAAATTAACGATATTGTTTCTTGTTTCAGATAAAAAGAAATATCTAGGTAAGTGTTTAATTTCATAAAAGTAGAAAGAAAATCTCGAATTATCTCATTCAATATATAAATTAATTACTTTATCAATTTCTTATTTCGTCTAGCACACTGTAATGCTCTTAAATCGGGAATCAAACCAGAGTTAGGAGATTTACTTAAAACAGCAATTTGCAAAGAGTTGAAGGCGTTGCAAGGCGGCGTAAGTTTTTAAAATATCTGGTTTACTTATTACTTTGCTGAATAATCTATCTGCCAAATTGCTTAATATTACAAAAAAAAACCTTTTCTAAAGATTTTGTAATAAACCTTTAATTTTCACCCTTTTGCAGTTGAATGAGGTCTGCAAAGAACTTGACCAAGAATCGGGCGAGGCGTATTCGGATAAATGGAAGACAGCTCTTGCTCATTTTAGAAAGGTACTATCGAATTCGTGTAGGTTGAAAGCAATATTTTTTATACGGATTCGTGTCGTTTTAATAATATTATAAAAAACGTTTCTATTAACAAATTTAATAATACATTTAGGATGAAAACTGACTTAATATTGTTTTTGAGTAAGTAAAACTGGCAATAACTGTTCTACATATACAGTTATTATCAGTTACAGTTACAGTACAAGTTAATATATTGTTCTTATTTTAACACCAGTTGTAGCTGTATTTTATGATGCAAATTAAGATGTTTAGAAGTTATATAAACATATTGATTTACTTTGGTATAGATAATTATGAACTGCTTTTTTGCATTTACAGACCGTGGAGTCACACGTCTCAAAACGTATATTAAATTATTCGCTGGATTTTGGCGTAAGATTATTATTTCATCCAAAAAAACCAAACCGTGAATTATTAGAAGCTTTCCTGGAGCAATATGACGTGATTAGTTTAAGATCAGCGAAAAAGAAAATGGGTATCGCCCATTGCGGGACCTGTAAAGGATATGATGAATTATGTAAACTTCGACACGCAAAGATTGGTAATTTTTTTTAAATTCATTTTAATAGTAGTTTTACGGCGACCCCGAAAAACCTTTAATTTTGAAATCATTTAATATTTGAACAAAATCGTTTTTTCTTAAACAGTTATTATAATTATGTATATAGATATTTATTTTGTATTACAGACGGACAAAATGTCTTGATTAAACCGTTAAAGTTTATTAAAGCAAAAAAAAAGAAAAATAAAGGACATAAAGAAGACAATGATGAATATGTAGAAAATTCAGACGAATCTGCGTGCGAATCACACGATTCCGAAAATGCGGAAGAGTTCAATAAAGAAGTTACCGAATCTCAACAAGATATACTCAACGATTCGGACGTTCTTTTCGTAGAAAATGAACCTGAGATTGTTAATTTAGATGATACAGATGCTGACTATATTGAAACAGAGGGTCACAAAACGTATAGTGAGGTTGTTAACACACAAAACACTGTCAATAATGAGGAACCCGATAAGTCAGAGGACAGCCTGGGTCTACATAGTGAGATTATCTTATGTGAAGCAGTGTTAATTGAGAATAAAAACAAAGAAATTAATTTTAAGGAACCTGAAAAGTCAGAGGACAGTGTTCATCCAAATAGCGAAGTTCCCTTATGTGAAACAAACATAAATGACAATACAGACAAAGAAATCTTAATAACGGGTGCCGAAAATGAAATAGAAACAACATGTGAACCAGGGATGGCTTTGAACTATAAACTGATTCAAAATGTGAAAGATGACTCTCCCGCTTTAATGGTCGGCAATGATTGTTATGTCGTACTTGATGATGCAGCAGATGATGAATTTGCTAATCATTGTGACAATATAGACGAAACTCTTAAAGATGTCGCCACTGTTGAGATCGACGAAAAGGATTTAGAAGATTTTTAAAACTTAATCAATTTAAAACATCATTGATTACTTGTTTTACTTTATTGAAGATTTTTACCAGTTTTATCGTAATATAAGTGCTTTATCAGTTCTTATTTATTGTGGATGAAATTGGGCTAATAAATAGATCAAAATTAATACTATTTTCTATAGAGTGATTGTTTTCGAGAAAATTTTAATTGACTTTCATAAATTTAGTCAGTTGATACACTTAAAAGACTCCAACTTAATATTTTTCTGTTTGTTTTGTTAGTTAACATAAACATGTCTACTATAGGTTTTTACTGTATACTACTTATTAATAGTGTATATTACTGTCAGTTATGTTCTGAAAATAAAGATCAGAATAAATAAAAGCATTTGAAGTTTGTTGGGCCATTGCATTTGTTACTTAGTTTTGGAGACTATTCACATGTATAATGGATTCACAGGTAATCTGTCAGCACTACAGCATGATTGTTCTAGTCAATCCTCTGTCCAATCAGCGAGATCGTCGCACATTTCAGATATGGGTAAGTCCGTGGGATCTACCTGTTCCTTTATTGTATTTGTCATGTTAGCGTTAGAAGTGTCTGAAAACAATATACCAATTCAATAATGTTCACTTACAAAATGAAATCTTTTTGGTTAAATGTATAATAGGCAGGACAATCAATCTATGTCCATTTATACACTTTCCATAGGATGAGCTTTCCCTCCTAAATACTCTTGTTTTCAATCAAAGCAATTTGATTACATCAAAACCATAGACCCACATATGAACTCAATGCCCAGAAAATAACCATTAGCCATAAAATTATAGCTTTTTGAAAAGGCTTAATAAACCAGGTGAACGCAAAACATAATAACTCCATAAGTAAACAAGAGTTAGATATTGAAACAGACAATATGCTGGTATGTGCGCAATATTTTAACTCTTAGAGTCTTAAAACATTGGTTGAACATTCAGCATACTTTTTAACTCAAATATTGCATTCACCTTTCTATTTATTAGTCTCTTGAAATTCTTATTGCATTGATGAGTTGTAGCATATCTTTGGATTATGTTTGAAATCAATGATAATAATACAAAATTGAGGCCTAAGCAACCAACGTCAATCTAAATACCTTTTTGCGAAAAATCTGTAGACAACTGGCCTTGCAAGAGTGTATTTCTGAGGGTTACAACGAATTCCTCATCCATATGTGCAGGAAATGTTTTCCTGTATCTGGATATTAATCCTTTTGTGTTGTGGTTAAACCCGTCCTGGAGAATATCGTGTAGTCGTTTTTTTACGACATTACGAAAGAGTGCATTAAACTGCGGTTGATGAAGCTCAATGACCTTATCCCGAATAATGGGTTTCATCTCCTTCCAGAGGATCTTGCAAGGCCAGTAGAGATGTTTCGATTTTAAGCCCAGTTTATTGTTTAGATGTCGGGGTTGGTTACATTCTCTTATTTTTTGCTGTGGATTTAACAACTTTGATGTTTGAATGTGCAATTTATTTTTAGGGATTGCTGTAGTTGTTTCTTCCAATGCTACTACAGCTGTTGATCCATTTGCCTGTAAAACACCTTAATAAGTTTTCTTTCAAAAACCAAAATATTTTTTTTCCACCAAACCAAGTGAAACATTATATAAATTGAACTTTTCATAACTTACGGTTACAGTACTAGAAATACTTACTTCTAGATATAACACATGAAATTACTTTAATTAGCTAAGTCTGAACACATGTATAGTATTTAGGAAAGTATAAAAATAAGATAAGTTTAGAAGTTAGTCTGTACCCATGAATTTTAAGCAACAAAACTTACTTGAAGCATTTCCAAACTCTTTTGTTCCAGTACAAGTTGCCGTTCTGCCTCCAGGAGCAAACGTCTTTTGTTTGTTAGTTCTATCTCCAACTAAACAATAAAATATCACTAGAAATAGGTATTGTTTATATATTGCATTAGTATTTTGATATTTCTGATTTGGACACTGGAACATGTTAAATTGAATAAAAGCTTCTTAAATGTGAGGATAAAACATAACAGAAGTACCTGAAGTTTAGTAAGTTCATCACGTAGGTGAGGACTACTATCTCGTTCTGTGACTGGGGAGTAGGGTCTTTGGGGTTCAACTGGCTGGAATTCTCGTTCAACACTTACATCCACTTCAAAATTTTGCATTTCTTGTCTGGCAGGCTTGTCGCTTCTTAGCCAACATCTTAAGATATATATCTGTTGATCGGTATGCTGAAAAGGGTAATCCTGAAGACTTCTAGCAGCAATATCAGCGTGGGCCTCTGTCTCAAAACGAATTACCATTTCGTTACAATGCGTAGAAGGTTGCATCGACTCAATCCAAAACTTTATCCTCGACTTTTTAAATATGAAGTGACGAAAGAAATGTGACATCTTCTGTTTTTTTACCTGATTGTGTGAATTAAAATTAGAATATCTTAGTAAAATAATGTTAATTATTCTATAAGTATACACTTACAGTTTTTGGCAGACCACTTACAACCACGTAAAAAGTCATAGTAATCAAATAAAACTACTAAACAGTATACCAATGTATTTTATTTATATTCAAGCCTAAACGAAATAAGTACCTACCCCACTAAGTACTTTTAAAATAACATGTTGTCAGTTGTTGACAAATTGACTATATCGAATTTGGGTATAGAGTATAGACTCTGTACTCTGTAAACTATCCATTTTTTTAAATATTTAATCGCAAGATAGGTCTCGTTACCAGGCGATTAAATATTAATCTTATAATTGAAGTAAAAATAAGACTTGGCTTTAAGGAAAGCCAAGTTTTATTTTTATTTCACACTTTTCTTCTTATGTTAGTGTGTTATATTATAGTGTTTTTAATGTATTTGTATAACGCACTATAACACTTCTTGTTTTAAGTAAATTACACAGTTGGCGGCGGGAGGTTTCACTAGCTTCTATAATATCACTTGCCAATATAAGGTAGACTATCCATAACTAACAGACATAGATTATAACTGGGGTTCAGTTATGCTAGGCCCAGAATCCTCCGAACATAGAATATAAAGACGAAAGTGCATTTTATAAACGATGTATTTATTTGCCAGGCTTAAGGCTACTAGACTACTAATTAATAGTTGACGTTTAAATAAATATGAGTAAAAAATGCAGATATTGAAGCCAAGGAATTAAGAGAAATTGGAAATATAATGTGATAATTCTTATTTATAATTTTGGCATTCTCCGGCGATTAAATGGCAACACTACCTCATAGCGTTAAGCAATAACCGCACTTATTTCTTCAGTTTTCTTCCGCTCGCCTACTGGTTCGTTGTGTGCATATTTGTGTGAGGATGAGCAGCCGTGGTCTATCCCTGATCTAAATCAGTGCTATTATATTTGTATGAGTGCAGTGCTGTGTTAAATAATGGCCCGTTTGACGGAGGAGATGGTAATCGCTAGATCTAAACAATCAGACTTGCCATCTATAAAGAAGCTGAACTGCTGGTGAGTGATTTGATATTTGATGGAAAAGTTAGTTAAGACAGGAGATAGGGCTTGCGTGGTTAATAGCGTTCCGCTGGTGACCTCGCGTTCATTCACCTGTACAACCCTCGATAAAAACTTAACATTTTTATTGGAACCTAGGTTTTCAATTACAAAACAAAATCAGCTGATTTGATTTGTATCGTGTAATCTTCTGTCCCGAAAGCTCTATTACATTATGTCAGTTACCATCATCATATTATATTAACTATTTATATGTGTGTCATTGTTCATCATATTTAAATATTTAATGCTTTTTAGGTTATAGTCATTTGAGTTACTGAGTACATTATAGAAAAATGTTATGTGAAGAATAAAACAAGAATAAGAATATACTCCTTTTCGAAACTCACATCCTAATGCCAAATTTATTTTAACCCTTTTAAGTCTTTTTATCATAAATATAGTATTTCCATTATAGTAACCTTACATCAAATAAAGCAATATCAAGTCCTACCTACAGTACAATTCTGAATCACTTGTTTTTGTTTGTCAACAAGACAAACATTACAGACATTGATTGTTTCAAAGGGGCTATGTATTATCACAAAAATTTTAAAAATTACCTAAAAAATGAGCACTTTGAATATTGAGAAGAAATTTAAAAAATCGTGATTATTGTGACTATGTCATTTTATAAATTATTGATATTAGATAACAGTAACATTATGACCTTATTAGTTTTAATCTAATGTGAAGTTTAATAAGATTAATATTTTAACTTCTTAAAAAGAATGTAAAACAACTTAACTTTGTATTCAAGAAAGTGAATTGCATGAATATTTCAGAAAAACCTAATGGGAACTAGGATTTGACATTGTGCTTCTGGGACATTTTATGATATAATTCAAAAAATACAGAGATTTTGTGTGATGAAATAATCTAATTCATTACAAAGCCATAACATATTATATTAAATTGGAATGGTGTTTACTTCGTAATAAGAGGTTTGTGGGCATTGTTATTACAATGGTTGATTTTTAATGTGAGAAGTCTCTTGTGGGAACTGGCATTGGCTTTGTACACCTGACATACATATAATCCATCCATGTTTATGATCCTTATGTGAAAGCATCAATTAAAGACTCTTGGAAGAGCACTAGAACTATAAAAATGACAAATGTAATGTGTTAACATTATGTTCCATACATTTACATAGTATAGGTAGCTAGCTACATAACTATAGTAACAAGTGGCTTGCATAGAATCAGTGTTTGAAATAGAAAGTGTGTGAATGTTAAAAATTATATAAATTTTAATTCTCTCAGTTGATCATTAAATACCGCCGCATTAACATAAATTACGTTATCCAACTTTCTAATAGAAGATTTTGAAATATTGTCTATCTAAACTAATATATAAAGCTGAAGAATTTGTTTGTTTGAACCCGCTAATCTCAGGAACTACTGGTTCGAATTGAAAGATTATTTTTGTGTTGGATAGAACATTTATCGAGGAAGCGTTAGGCTATAAAACATTGCGCTGTGTCTGTATGAAAATCTATATGTATGTTAAATAAAACACTAACGTTTAAAACGCGATATATTAGTTAAACTATTTGAAACTGATTTTTAACTACAGCCCGACGTTTCATGTTTGCCCCGTGGTCACGGGGAGCTAGGAGGATGTCTTGACGTCAAAGTAAAGAAGGCTACGCTAGCCCCGTAAGTTCCTATTTGGCGAATACTGGCCGAGTCCTTAGTACTGCGTAAACTATAGAAAGTATCTAAGTATGTTATTATTTCACAACACTTACAATTTCTATAAGGTCATGTTTCTGCTAGAATGTTGGATACCTACCAAAGCATTTTAATTCTGGAAGAAGTGCTATAGGTTCTATAAAACATTTATTGATGACCGATACCAGGTGCGATGATACACAAGAAGTGTTTTATCGAAAATGATTTATCAATATAGGTTTGGAGGCGTTTGCAAAAGCTTCTTCAAGATACACTCTCAATAAAATTCTTAAGGTCTTTATGTATATGTTCAGCATTTTCAAGATTAAACTATGACCAAGACAGCGACGGGAAGTGTGAAACGATCAACTAGGTTCGACGTGGGAAACTGTCAGATTCAAAAAGTCCGTAAGTTTAAAAAGATGAAGGGATTTTCAAAAACGACGACTACGACGTCGCTGACACAGCCTCATGATTATCAACAAAGATGTTTATCATAAGAGTTAAGGAAATGATGCACAACTTCTGAATGACAATATAAACACTTGTTAAGAGTACGAAATCATGCAGAGTAAAACATACATCTTAAATATGACATGTTATAAAGTTTTACTAATATGTACATAATTTTGTACCCTCGTCATGTTACAAAAGTATGAAGACATGATTCTAGGGGCTATAAAAGAAAAGACTTGTCTTTGTGGCTTGTAGATGTGCTGGATGAGACGACGAAAGCAGTCAATCAGTGATACTATACTTGTAAATCAAATTTCGATTATTTTTCTTATTTTACTGTCTAAAATCTCTCCTGTTTATATTTCAAACAAAGATAAAAGGAGCAAAAACTCGTGTACTCTATTTAAGGTCTATCCACTATAAACAGCATACATGGAACCTGTTTTACACGATTGTACTTTATGTTTAATTACTTCATCGATTGCTTCAAGATACGTGACATTAATCCCGATAATGGCTCTATAATGTAAGTTGAACAGAGATTGTGATAATTATTATATTATTGTACTAAAAATCTAGCTTCGCCAGCCCAGGCTCAAAATGCACACATTTCTGTTTCCGATACTGATCCATTTTTTCTACAGACAAGTAAGCAGGTCTTCTAAAATTTTTAGCATGGTTCTCCGTGCTTTTGTGCTTAGCGCAGTGCAAAGCATAGAAATTAGGTAGGCATTTTCCAACCTACCCACAAAGTTTTTATTTGAAAGTAATACTAAAGCATAATTCGGATGATATAGGAAGGTATTTAAGTTGCAAGGATTATATGACTGACAATGATTCGAGGCTGATTTTCAATTTAATTGATTAATCATAATGCAACAATTGTATTAATACTTGTGTATTGTTTATTGTTTTAAGTGACGTGCCGTGACGGCTGCCGGAACATCGAGTTCGTGGTTAAAAATAAATAAATATTCATAACTTCTAGTTTAAAGCCGATATTTTCATAATTCCATTTGTATATACTTTTTGTTATCAGATCTGAATTTGTATAATCTACGTATGTATGGTCCAGTGTATAGTAATCGCAAAGGAATGCCTTTTGTTATATCGCAAAGCGTTACTGCGTAGATGGCATTCGATTATTCAATGTTAACTTTACGTTCGCCATGTATGGCATGAGGAACCGACTCTTGCTACTTGAACCCACAAGACGACATGCCATATATGGAAATATAGTAGTCCTTTAATTATGACGTTTTAGCTACAAAAGAGGTCCCAGAAAGTCTATTACAAACTTCTTCTTATGTCAATACTTAACCAGTCCAAAATTGTAGTTGTTTTCTTATGAAGTCTTATTTTTCAATTTACTTCCCTGTTATCATTAAAATAAGATTGTTTTATTTGTATTAATGATGACAAGTAAGGTTAATTTGTTCTTATCTTATTTTCTGTATTTGTGCAGTCTCTGGTCAAGTATTGAACATCGTAGTTCGCGGAGAACAGTTATTTTGAATGATTTGAAGTAAAAACGGTTACAATAAGATTGAGATTTACTGATTACTTACGATCGGTCGACGACTACGTTGAAATAGTAAGCTACCTACGGCGTTTAGGAGACAAAAACCTTAACAGAATCTCTCAGCGGAACCGAAGACAGTGACCTCATCAGTTAATAGTGGCGTATGCGTAACCTTGCGTCGATACCGCAACCAATGTCGAGATATATTCAGAAGTAATAATATACATATATCTAGACTTATCACAGCGACAAGTTAACTAAAATAGCAGTAAACGTTCTTCGTTCTATATCTGTCTTATTTTTAATGTTTATATGTATTTAATGAAATAAGTTGGAAAAAATACATTTGATATTATTGTAAAACACTTATTGTGGCTGATAGAAATAGGTAATGAAATGTTTTAAAGTGGTCGAGCCACTTTTCCACGCAGACGAAAAGTAGTAAACATATATTTAATGAAATTTAACACATCTTTTATTTATTTATTTACACTTTATTGCACAAAAAAAAAATAACAAAAATATAAACTTATATACTAAAAAAGGAAAACGTAACGTAAACGTTACGTTAGAATAGTTATTTTGGGCATCAAACTTTGTCTTTGGAAACCTCCTTTACAATTTTTATAAATTATAGCTGGTACTTACGACATCGTCCGCGTCCCGCGTTCTTGCAAGTTAATCTTTAAAAACATTCTTTCATACAATTTTTTTGGGTATCTATTTTATGGGAACCATAGGCCTTCCTCGATAAATGCAACCAACACAAAAATATTTTTTAATTCGAACCAGTAGTTCCTGAGATTAGCACGTTCAAACAAACAAAGAAACAAACTATGCATATATTAATATAGCTGAAGATACTATACTAATGTATAGATTATTTTTTTGACTACGACTCGAATCTTCGAATGCCTTACAGAATCAATTTGGGGGACGTGGGAGGGATGCTCGCATTGTAAACCGTGAAAAGTGTTTTATTTATTCACTTGTGTAAATATTCTTTATTTAAAATATGAGTGACAGGCTGAAAGGCGTTTAATATTTTTCAAATTCACATGAACGCACTATATAATTTAAAATTCGAAAATAAAATGGAAATTTTTTCGACTTGATCCGGCATCGTCAGCGTTCCGTGTTGTTGCTCTACCAATTGGTGGTTCGATTTATTTATGTAGTCCATATTTCGATCATCTGTCATATAAGGTAGCGTTTGCACGTTACGATTATGCGTAGACTGGATTGAAATTTTATTTACCGGATTAAATAAATCTATGACAGTGTATTACGCATTTAAATAATGA